TAAGGAACGTGGCGACATGTGTAGACACACGTCCTCGAGCAGAATTGCAGTCGACAGGCCAAGTTGGGCTTTCTCTGCGAGTTCACGAAGGGAAACTGAAAGGAAAGCGATCGTAAACAACCAGCTGAGAAAACAGCCTCACGCTCGCGGCGGAGCGCGTGTTCATGTACCGATGGTTACGTGAATAAAGCAGCTGTAGGGCCGCGGTAATCGGCACGGCGGCTAATAGGATCTCTCTCGCGCGCACGCGTGCCCTGTCGGCCCCGTGAGCAGGGATTACCAAGTTGCGTTTCAAGCCGGCCTTCAACCCCTACACCGAGCCCAGCATGGAGGTGTTCAGCTACCACGAGGGTGAGCTCGGACCTGCGAGTGCCGGCGCCGCCGTTACCGCCGCCCGTGCCGCTCGTCTCCGATATTCAGCAGCGGTCGCGTCGTTCTGTCTTATGTCTTCGTGCATGCGTGCGCCTTAAATAGCTCGATGTCTTGGCACGGCTAAACGATCGAGTGTAAGGCGGTGTGGGCAAGAGCGGTGTAAGAGCGGTGTGCGCGTGGTGTGGCGGCGTCTCCGCAGGCCTCAAGAAGTGGGTGGAGGTGGGGAACTCGGGGGTGTTCCGCCCTGAGATGCTGCTGCCCATGGGCCTGCCGGAGGGCGTCTCCGTCATCGCGTGGGGCCTCTCGCTCGAGAGGTAGCGCACATCCTCGCACGACGGCGGCGGCGCCACGGCACTGGCCAGCGGTTACATGCACGCACGCGTGCACTCGCACGCGTCACTACCTTGGCGACCGGCTCCAAGTGCCGGCACGTGGCCTGCTGGCACTGGTTCACTGTGTCAAGTTTCGCGAATGCAGCTGACATGAGTGCCAGGACTGGTTTCATAAGCCTGTTTGTAGGGCCCACCCATGTACATATGACACATGCTAATGATGCTTCGATTCGCTCAATTGGCATCGGTTATTTTGTTCACGATATATGCGTCGAATTTCACGTGTCATTATTGATTATTTACAAATTATGCACGTTATGCCGATGCTACACATCCGCTGACGGAACAAGCTAAACTGTGCCGACAAAATAAAAAATTAAGTGGGATTACAAAGGGCTCCTCTCTAGAAGGGACGATCGCCGGTTGTCAAGACTGACGACGGAGTGGCGGCAACAGGAGCGAACACATCTGAGAGAGAGCACATTCGCCGCGGAGACGGGAGCGACGAAATCGATCCGTGCGCACGTACTGGATTGGTACATCGCAAGACATTGAAAGGGGCCTTCAGCCAGCAGTGGATTGATCGTGGCTAACAACGATGACCATGCGTGGTGAATTGTTACACGCCTAATACACACGCATCCTAGTTCCTGTTTCAACGGAACGACAAAGACCCATCGCGCAACGTCTGCCAGCCCGAAGCGTTGCGTGGCGACCTCCTGAAGGTTAGGGTTAACTCGGCCGTAGCGGTCAGGAGCCGAAGTTGACCCGACAGACCAAGCCACGCTTGTCACTCGTCGTGGCGTCTGCGAGACCTCCGTTAGAACTCCGACTCCAGGTGGCGACTCCCCCCCCCCCCCATTCCCGGCGCGGAGGGCTGGGAATGGGGGGAGGTGTCCCCGGGGCATTCCTCATGGTTCACATCCCTCACCACGCGCAGCGCGAGCGATCACCGCGCCGGCAGCTTTGCCCGGCCCCCGGGTAGAAGGTGAAGCGAACTAATTAACTCTCGACAAATAGCGGGGGGCCCCCAGCGTACACAGAACACATGGCTCTAACCCTTGCCCGTTCCAACACAGCTCTGAGTGTGTGCTTTTATCGGTGCTCGTTTTCTGTTTGTGAAAACACGATTTGGGGATAAGAAATACGAACCGGTCAGTGGCGCAATGGCTGACAGTTTCCTCGTTAAGGCCTCTCCACAGGCAGTGTTCGGTTAAAGTCAGAGGTCGTGGAAGCTTGGGTGAATTTCAGGTGGCTGGCACAGATCCATCACGGCTTGAACCTGGGTGCAAGCCGACACGAGACACGTATCGATGCATCGATTAAAACTGATTCTTAAGATCACGATGTTTCATGCTTAGAATCGTCACTTTCGAATTGTGTCGGATTTGATTCGTTTAACTTAAGCCGTGCAGGAAATACAGCTGCTACTTTTCACCACGACTGTTAAAAACGATCATGACTGAATGGTGACAGTCTAAGAATCGCGATGGGAGATCGATCGCTATATGCCAAGCAGAAACCACAGTGGGGCCACCACTGCATCCATGTGCCATTGATAACAAATTCTACATTTGCAATATAATTCGCCACCATAGTATAGCTTTGGCGCAGGGCGACCACAGGCTGAGATGTCAGCCAATCTTATAGGCTTGGGTCCATTGAGACGACCGGCTGAGATGGGGGGATAATCGTTTGCAACAGCAGGCACAGGAGAGAGGGCTGTTGTGAGCGAGTCGGAGACGAACCCCTGAGTGGAGCCCAGTTGTCGTTCGCGTGCGCAATTTATTCCTTTCCTCCCGGTTTGTAACGAGGTGACGCGACCGCGCCAGGCTTGAGCGATTTACAAATATTGAGTTGGTGAACTGTGTGGCGATACCTGCAGATTTACCTTATTGAGTAACAACCTGACGATAACCCTGAGAGGCTCTTTGGGGAGGATTTGGCCTGTCACGTCTTGGGCGCTGTTGTTTTTTTTCCCCAACGCGTTTGCCGGCATTTAATTTCAGGGACTCGTGCGACCGGTGAAAGCTCTCCACGCATTCTTCACAAATCTGTTGTTGTTGCCCATTTTCCACTCTCTTTCAACACCGGGGGAAACCCATAATAAAATCTGCTTGACGAATTAAAAAAAAAGTTCATCTTGTAATAAGAGCAAAAAATAATATTGGAAAAAGTCACGAGTTATTTGAATTTGTCGAGCCACCACGGATTCGTGGACGCATGAGCTGTGAACGATCAAAAGGCTTTTCGCTCAAGTGGGCGTCAGTGCAGCCTCTGTGTTGTTGTTGTGTTAGCGGCTGTAATTATTCATAGTTTAAGGGCGCTTTCTTCGTGCACAAGTTCTCTAAATCGGCGAGCAATTGTCCAAATGCACGCCTGTACCGTCCGACACATTTGGCCTCCGGACACATTTGGCCGCCCGTAAAACAGGCCCAGCGAGATTTTCCTCCCCAGTCATGACCAAGTGCAAATAGGTTCCGCTATGGCCATCGCTCACACCGCTTGGCTGACAGGTCGTGATATCAAGCAACGATAAGCAGCGCTTATGGGAATGCACACACCCGAGCATTAAACCGCGACTTTTTTTTAAGGGCATCGGACAAAAGCTGTGGCCTCTTGCCACACTGAAATATCCACAATAGCTGTCTCTGGTGTGATTTTTCGTGATGCATCTGTAGACATTCCCTGCATTTTTTCCCCCAAAGGCTGCGAGATCTCGCCAGAACCGCGGCGTAATCCGTCGGCGGCTAGCCGTAAACCCTGAGACGAGCCTTGAGGAAGGCAGGTGGTTATGGGAATGCTACGCTCCTCCAGGGCCTGCACCTGTGCCTTCCTTAAACATATTAAATGCGCCGTCTCTTCTTGTGTACGAAAGAAGGGCCCATCAACTTTAACCTTTTGGCTGTTCGAATGGTTGCTAGCGGGATAGCGCGCGTGCAATGGAATTCTCATCTTCTTTGCACTTGACTTTTCTGCGCATGCCGGGTTCCCAGTTGTAAGCCGGTCGAGTTGCATTTTTCTGCCGAGCTGCTTTTTGAGGCTGGTTATTCGGTTGGATTGTTTTAAGGATGAATGGCAAGTGATATTAGATTGAAATAGATGGGAGGTGGATCCAGTCAAGCGCAGTCCTCCACACCTGTGTCTCAAAGCTTGGGAAGGTGAAGGTTGGTGGATCGACCACCGATTTGTAAAACTCCCAAACCTCTGCTGGTCTGCCTGGTGTCTACGAGATGGCAATACATTGAATCCATCTGTGCAGAGCTTGTATTGCTTCCACGGTTCCCTCCCACATGAAGGCAAACGCGCATTAATGGAATTAGCCAAACACCCCAATGCAGAACTCCCCTGAAAAAGAGTGTTAAGCTTCACCGATTCTTTGCTGAATATTAATTATATATATGTTGTCCATCACCCTGTCGAGTGGTGAACCTTGTTACAGTTCACCAGTCCCACATTGACCATCCACTATTGTGTGCAATGTATTAGGAGCCAGGACATCTGTTAGCTGAACGTTGATTAAGCAGCGTCTTCGTGAAAGGCTTTCCAGCATTGTCCTACAGAGGAAAAAAATAAACCTCAAACGTTGTATCCATGGCACCCCGGTCTGATCAGTGCGACGGTGGCCTTCTGCTCTCTTTCAGGCCTACGATGATCAAGTATAGGATCGACAACATCCGGGAGCTGGTGGGACACAAGGTGAACCTGCAGATGGTGTACAACAGCCCCATTTGCCGCCTGGAGGCGTGAAGTCTCGTCCTGGGAAACAGGAAGCCAAACCGTCATTGGAGAGGGGGGGGGGTGTCTTTACAAAATCTTGGTCCATTCAGCCTGACCCCTAGCCTGCTGGGCTTTTTTCCAAAGAAGCAAGGTTAGGTGTGTCCAGTGTAATTAATGCGCGCCGGTTGTCACCCGCATGGCGATTCTGGCCCAAGCCCGGACGAGTCCCCACTGCGCCGTTCTCCTTCGCAAGCGGAGCGGTAGACTGAAGTGCAGGGCAAGCAAACGCGTTGAGCGTGGGGAAAGTCTTGTCAGGACAGGTGCACGGGGTCGGTAAACCGGTGCACGCTTGTAGATGGCGGGGATGATTATGGTTTGTTTTGGGTTCCCACCTCCGTTGACCCTGCCGCCGCACACACCCCCCGGCGTCGCCTGTGAACCGGCATTGTCCTGCCAGCTTAACAATGAGCCGAATTCGGCAAGTGCCGGCTCCTGCACAATGCAGGGGTCCTCGCGAACGGTCGGTGTTGACATCGCCCTGCACGGAGTCGCTGGGCTGCTCGTTGTTAGTGACTGTCGTTGCCGCCCACGTATCTTATCTTTGCAACAACAAAAAAATCAAAAAAATATTGCGCGGCTATAGAAATCGAGTGGTCCTGTCAGATGGTGAAGGCCGACGAAGCTCTGAATTAACGCCTTTTGTCTTGCTCGCCATTTCGTGCATTTGGGAACTCGTTTGGTTCCGCGCAAGTGACTCGCAAGCTCTCCGGTGTGCTTTTGGGTCACAACTGTTGGTCGTTCGGCTTGGTGTCCGACGCGGCAGAAACCCGAGAACGCATTTGAGAGCTATGCAGCACAAAACCCTACGCAGTAGTAAATGTAATCTGACGTGATAATGCGTTCGTGTTTACCTTGTGTTTACCGATATTTAAAAAAACTGCTTAAGCCTAAAAAACATGAGTTTACTCATGCGGAAACCTGTGACATCCTTTTTGTAATGTTTCTGAGCAAACGTCGCATTGCGTATTGCCATCACAGTGACGTGTAATAACTGCAGGTGCTGGAATCCACTGACGACGATGTATGTTCATGTTCCCCTTGCTTGCGGTCAATAAACAGTTACACCACACACGCGCGGGCTGCGCCGCTGTTGTCAACGAGGTGGCTTTGGCTTGACGGGCAGCAGACCGCTCTGTTAATTGTGCCCCTAGAGGTGGCCGGGTGTCTGAGGTCAGAGACGCTGAGAATCCTGGGGTCGAATCCAGGTTTTAAGCCCACCTTGCCATTAAACCGGGTTCTCGAGTGTAGCGAGCCCATGGCCTCAGCATGCCCAGTCACCGATGACTGCAGAGAGAAAACCATCGTTGTTAAATGTTGCGCATTATTTTAAGTTATATATTTTTTTAAAAACCCTCTGAAATAAGAAATAAAATAAAACTTTTGTTTGACCAACATGTGATGAACATCTCTGCAGCGGTGCATGTGGGAAAGTGGGGGGTGGGCTGCAGTGTAGATCAGAGGACTCCTTAAAGAAAGGCTCTCAGAAGTAGTTCTCCAATATCGACTTCCACAGGCCGTTTGTTACCACGGAGCAATGCTCTGCGAGCGTTCACAATTGCAGGTAACACATTTCAAATAAAACTAGGGTGGGTTGGTGGAGAATAACTAAATGTTTTTACTGCCCACCACTTTGAAACAATTTCTCCCCGGTATGTGTATGTATTTGCACGTGTCGCCAACGTACGCAAGTATGTGCGGCATGCACGCAATGTGTGTTATGCAAGGCACGTGCAGCCGGTGGTAGATCTCATGATAAGTTTTTGCTTCGAGGTTCGGTGGATCCCATTGTGCAGGGAAGATAGCATCAGCTCTGAAGCAAGTCGCTAAACCCCGCACTGCTCTGTAAACCAGACGTGGGAGGAACATGCTTGGAATAGACACGAGGGTGTTGCACGTACGTGGGGAGGTTGTTAAAAGTAATTTTCACCGCGTTAATGCGAGAACGAGGTGTGATTTATCCGACTGCCAGTCAGCCTCAATTATCCCAAACCATTATACATTTACATGTCGCTACAACCGTACTATTAAGGTTAATTCACATAATTGCGAACAATGGCAGGTATAGCACGTGAACATCTCTTAATTGAGTGGAAGCATAAACATAGCAATGCATGAGGATAATTTTAATTCTGTATTTTATTTATTTACTCAGCATTTCGTATTTTTAATTCAATGTTAGGCAAGTTAAATGTACAGCAGCAGCATCGCTGACGACAAACAAAAAAAAACACGCCGGCGATAAACCGGAAGCGTCGCTGGGAACGGTCAGGAATTTTGCCGTGCGCGGGGAGGCATGCAGGCATCGTGCGGGCAGAGTGGCCGGCCGGCTTCTCGGGCCGAGGGGCCCCTCCCGCACGTCATCGCCTTTCCCATGCCGGGCTCGTGCCGGCCGGACGTGGTGACAGTGGAGAGAGAGAGAGTGCAGCACTTTGCTTTGGAACCGCGGCGGCAGTGGCAGCAGCGCAGGGGGACTCTGCAATGGGCTCCGCCGATACCGGGGAACGACCGCTTCTCATACGAGGGGGTCGGGGGGGGGGGCGGTATCTTTTACCTGCAGGTCCTTGGTTGCGGGGAGGGGAAGTGGGGGATGGTGCAGCCCACGTAAAGCTGATGGTGAGCGAGGGGAGGACATTTAATCGTTAATATGTATCCGAGACAGGCGGGGGCCGCACGAGTGATGAGCAGGGTTAACTACACGGCAAGGGGGGGGGGGGGGGGGGGGGGGGTTTATTCCGACGTGAGGACAACGCGATTCGCTGCTGCCGCTGAATAATCCTGGCTGCCGCCCGCCCTCCGCATTTGGGTGCAGGTCGCACACGCCGTCAAACGTGTAAATGCCACCAATACCACCGGTCCCACTTCCACCGCAAGCACAGTCCCATTGAAATGAGAAGAGAAAAAAATCCCGCAATGCTGCGGCACATTTTCACGGCCCAGTTTATATTTTTTCACGAGTGCACATTTCCATTGCATTTCAGGCCAACCACTCGGTAGTCCCTAATGTTGAAGTTGGTGTCTATGGCCTTGGGCCACGCGGCCCCGTCGGACTGTGCGAGGGAGTCGCTTCGCACCACGCCAGGGCGAGCGTCCGTCACCAGGTCCCCGTTGCACAAGAAACCTCCGCCTCCCGGCTGCCCCGCCGCCGGCGCCTTGCTCAGCTCGTCCACGGCACTCGCCCTCTGCCCCTGCTGAAAGGCGTCGCGCCACTGCGCCTGCTCGCCCGAGCCGAAGCTCATCTCGCACGAACTGTCGTCCGCCAGCGCGTCGAGCAGGCTGCCCACGGAGATGCGGTCCAGGTTGTCGGCGAGGTCGGAGCCCGGCTGGCAAGCCCAGCTGTCGCGCGGCGAGCCCGACTCCTGGCTCTCGTCGGGCAGGCTGTAGAGGCTGCCGCTGAACTGGCTGCTGGCCTCCTCGCACAGGCCCGCGCGCTCCTCCAGCAGCCACCGCAGCGCCTCCAGTCCCTCGTTCGCCGCCAGCAGCTGCGTCAGGATTCGCGAGTCGAGCACGCGGAGGCCGGTCTGCGTCGCGGGGACACGAGGAGGGAAAGTGTGCTCAAGTGGCTTGCTCCGCGTGATGGTGGAATGAGCTGGGTGTGGTGGTGGTGGTGGCAGGGCACACACGTGCAGCACCCCCAGCAGCGATGGAGGCGCCGGGGTTGGTGGACCGAATTGATTTTGTGCGACTCCCAAACTCGTGGGACCAGCTGAGTTACCAGGTGATGACAGCACAGCAAGCGGGTTCATGAAACCCGTTTTTGCAGACCTCGTACGTGTGGCGTTATACAGTCATAGGTGCAGTGGGTTTCATCTGATTATTATTTTGCTCATTAAAACTGGAAATATCCCAAATGTACCACCTGGAGGCAGAGTAGCCACAACACATTCGAGCCATCCTGGCGAGTTTTTTTTTATTGTGTAGACCTGTGCAGGTGTGACAGCACACACTGATGGTCTGGGTCAAGGTGGTCATCACTATCACGTACCATCGCGAACACAGATGTGATGCCATTCGGATTCTGTTAAAGACGAATTTAAAAGTGGTCAACCACATTCAATTTACGCACCCACAGCGTTCACCACACCAGGCCGACCAGCAGCGCCGTGTCCCTGGCAGGGAAAGGCAGGTGTTTGTGAAAGGATGGCACCTTTCCCTGGGGCGCCAAAATCTCTCGCCACAGCCTCTGCCTTCTGGCCGTTCGGGTTCGTCAGAGAAAGTTTGTTTTGTCCATGCTCTTTGGTTCTTTCGGTAAAGTCACGCAGGTATAAAATAAAATAAATTACGACGTTTCGGCCGCAACACAAGCGTCCGTCATCAGGTGGGAAAGCCTTGGTCCTGCTGCTGAGGCAGACTGTTTTTAAAGGTTCATTTCGCAGCGAGTCTTTCATTTGAGACGACCTGCTGTGTCCGAATGTCAGGTGGAACGCCGCATCTGTCCACATTGTGCCGGGTAGGTTTCGCACACCGTGGACCCAAGCGAAGAATGCCCGAGCCGTAGTTGGGCACTTTGCACCATTCGCCATCTATCCCCTTCCTCTTGCAGCTGAGCGTTTTGACAAGGACATCCCTCAAACAGACGGCTACAAAATTCCGTACTAAAGTTCCGCGCTCCCGTAAAGGCCAGCAAGGGGCATATGCAGCAACTGTGTATTCGCGGCGGAACGATGTATCATCTATCCACCGAGTGTTCCATGTAGCCAACAACACTGGCCTGAAGAGGAACATACATACTGCATAGACGTTTTGGGAAATGGCCCTTCTGAGCTCACTTTTTGATGTACATATTCTATATTTTTTTGTTTACTTTAAGGCCACAGCGTTAACGAACGTGTCGTGTTTGGATTTATTTACCAATTGTGCTTGCGCGCCACTGCCAAAGGCAGAATCACCAAATCATGGATGCATGGGCAATGGGTTCACGTCACCCCCTGCAGCCACTAGAGGCGCTACGATTCACCACAACGTCCAGTTTGGTGTAAACACACACGTGTGTGTGTCTACACCACACACACACGTGTGTATGTGTTGGTGTCCCGGGGTATTCATGGCAAGGGGGCGACGTGATGACAGCAGAGTGTGACATTGTAAAGTTCCTTCCTGAAGCACTTGAAGGTCCTCATGCATGACCGCGTGTTTACAAAAAAGGGGGCAGTTGCGGCAGAGTGGTTTGCCCACCGGGTTAAATTCGCGGCCTGCAGTTGGCATCGGCGGGCGGCGAGTACGCGCGTGTACCCAGGTACCTGGTGCTGTGTGTATACATCGGCACCGGTGCGATGAGTGTATACATCGGCACCGGGGATACATGGTTGAACATGGTGCTAGCCACACAAACGATCCCCCGTACAGCCTTAACAGACTGTTGGGGCAAGTGCTGTTAGCGTGTTGCACCTATAAAGGCCGGAAGGGTACACGAGGGGGTGGGTGGCCAGCACCACGCCTGGCCGCCTTTGTCTCCCCAGTGGCGATGTTTACTACTCACCGCACTAGGTACTCACGTGAGGCTGAGTCAACCTAGGGGATGCCCAGGATCAGTTCAAATAATCGTCACCGGTCTTGGCCGTGAGCGGGAATCGAACTCGGGTCGCCGGGCTCAAAGCGCTAACCACTACACCACCGTTCCCCACAAGCCACACCACCACCACCCCTTTAGCGACCACCCCTACAATAATAGGTGCTCGCTAACACCCCCCTCCCCCCCCACTAATCTGAACGACCCTGGCGAGAACAATGATGGCGCTGTGTATTAATTTGTCTTGCATAATGCACGTGTAGCATATGCGGTGTAACATTGCCACGCTGGTAATCGTGACACCACCCCGGCAGTGTGGTTAATACATGAGCGGGATCTTCTCGTTAATAATTGACAGAGGCTGTGGGTTGCGCAAAGACAAAGATCCCCTGTATGGCCTTTAACAGACTGTTGGGGCAAGTGCTGTTGGCGAGTACACATCAAACGCCTGCACGGCGCATCTATATGAGTGTGGGTGTTGTGGCCAGCACCGCGCCAGGTACTCATTTAAGGCTGAGTCAACTTAGGGAAGGCCAGGACCGGTTAAAATAAGCAAAGATCCCCCCGGTGTATCCTTTAACAGACTGTTGGGGTGAGCTCTGTTAGTGAACACCTATTAAGGCCGGAACTGTGGCACACGAGGGGCATGGGTGGCCAGCACCGCGCCCGGCCGCCTTTGTCTCCCTCGTGGCAATGTTTACTCACGGTACCAGGGACTTATTTGAGGCTGACACACACACAACAAACCAAAACAAATGTCCCCCGTATCGCCTGTACAGACTGTAAGAGCAAGTGCCGTTGTTAGCGAGCACCTATGAAGGATGATCGGCATGGCACACGAGGGGGTGGGATGTTTCAACACCGCCTTTGTCTCCCCCGGTGAAGATGTTTACACACCCCACGTCAGCAACTCATTTAAGGCTGAGTCGACATCGAGGAGGCCTTGGAACGGTTCGAAATTCGCCACTGATGTTAGCCGTGAGCGGGAATCGAACTCTGGTTGCCGGCAGTGCACTAACCACTACCACAGCACGTGGTGCTCACACACACACGAGTAATCACGGTTCATGCGTACGAAGCACGGTCATAACGTTGAGAACTCTTAACAGTGCCGGATTAAAAAGAAAACATTCATCTAACTTCTCGCGGACAAACTGCAACATTATTAGTTTTAATTGAAATAGAACAACGTTATGCCGCATTCCGATGCGGTTGCAGCATTCACGTAAGCCGATTTAATCTCCCCCCGAGCTCTGTCTGGTCAGCATCTCTCGCCTCCTATCGAATTCCCCCATCCTGCGTCTCTTGTCCGCAACTCCTCGTCTCTCTGCATTTCTCTCATCCGTATATCTCGACTCGCATCTCACTACATCCCTATAATAATAACAAAAATGCCCACATTTCTCTCATTTCGCGCTACCTCCATAATCCCCTTTCTCGAGATGTCTTCCGTCATCTCGCAAGGAAGTTTACCAACTCCCCCCCCCCCCCCCCCCCCCCTGCTCGATTGGCCAGTCACCACCAACACAACACTGTTGGGCGCTCTCACCTCGCCGTATTGAACCGAGGCTCACTTCACCGACTGGCTTGGCCAGCTTGTGCACCGCCCGTTGTCTCAGAACGGATTGTCACGATGAGAAGCCACTGACGGTGCAATAACAGTGACGGTAATTTCTGGTCATGTTGTCCATCCGCTGCTGGATGAAGGCCCTCCCCTTGGCCGTGTTGGCCGTGAGGGTTCATTGACGGTATTCTCACCGCGCCGATTCGCATTGCGGTCAAGTTCGCGAAGACCGAGCTAAGACGTGTAAGGCACAACGTTGGATTATGCTGCATTCACCACCCTCCACTGGCACGCCACGTAGCCTCGGCAGCAGCCTGTAACACCCAGCTGTGCATCTGGTCACCCAGCCGAGTGCTGTCCAGACTCAACCCAGCTTAGCGAGGGGTCTGACGAGATCGAGCGCGTTCCGAGTGATTTGATCCGTAAGGCGCACTGCAGTTCGAGAGTGACAATAATAACCAGTCCAAATATACAACGTGGTGTGGCGTGGCTGGCACGGGGCCCTGGCACAAAGGATTAACTTAGCATCAACCCCGATCCCCCCCCTGCTCCGGATCCCGGCGCCTCGTGCGTGCCCCGTTAGACCCCCGGTGCAGTTCCACCGCCTGCACACTCGATAGCCACGCAACTGTTAAGTGGAAATTCACGACGCAGACGACAACAATAACAACAAACAGTAAACAATATATTGGGAGTTGTCACGCATGCTGCTGCTGCTACAAGGTGATTACATCAGGGCTGGTCGCGGAAGTTTCCTGCGTGTTGGGTGCGGGTGTTTTTGGGCCGGATGCCCGCAGCGCTGCTGTTGAAGGATAACGAGATAAGTCGACAACGTGACAACATGACAATCTGGTAAAGTGGCAAGGCGAGTGTGGCCCTTGTCGCAGATCACTCAACGCCGTCATCGCCGGCACCGCCACCACCACCACCATCGTTGATGCCATGCGAGGCAGCAGCCACCGGAGCTCGCTTTGTCCGGCTAAATTCATCAACCGGCTTCGATTTAGCCTGGCGTTCTTATGGACGTTTGGGACACTTTTCTAAATGAAAATCGACCGCGCGCGCGTGTGTGTGTACGTGTGTCTGCATGTGTGTAGGTGACTGTGTGTGTGTGGGTGTGTGTCTGTAGGGGTGCAAGTGGGGAGCGGTAGTGTAGTAGTTAGCGCGCTGCGCTACGAACCCGGCGACCCGAGTTTGATTCCCGCTCACGGCTAACACCGGTGACGATTATCTGAACCGGTCCTGGGGCCTCCCCTAGGTCGCCTCAGCCCCAAATGAGTACCTGGTGCGGTGTGTAAACATCGCCACTGGGGAGACAAAGGAGGCCGCGCGTCGTGCAGACCACATTCCTCCTCGTGCGCCGTGTTGGCTTTCGTAGACGCTCCCTACGAGTGCTCCTGTGTGCCAACCTTAAATAGGCGCTCGTCTATAGCACTTGCTCCAACAATCTGCCAAAGACTCTATGGCGGAATCGTTGTCCACGCATGTCCTTATCTAAGCACGTCCGAACTCGGGGTTTCGCCAGGTTCGTAGCTCACACGCACAACCATTGCCTCGCTCCTCACTCGAACCAGCGCCGTGGACGTCGCGTGGGACACGTTGAGCAAACATCGGGCTCGTGCGGCGCGTAACAACCGAGCACGACGGATCGGCGCGCGGGGTCACCATCTGGCTGTAACTTTGGGAAACCCCGTGACTTACCGGGAAGGTACAAACCAACCCCGCTTACGTTGCTGCTGTTACGCAAGCGGCCCTACTGGCTTTGCCCCCCCCCCCCCCCCCCCCGTCTGCACAGAGGATTAAGCGAGTTTCTGCGTGTCCACCCACCCCATCTCTCTCTCTCTCTAGCCACAAATGACAAAAGACAGAGATCCGCCTGCCTTTCCCCGGTCACCCTTCTCTGCCCGCCCGCTGGCCTGGTGACAAATTGTCCCCCCTTGTGATGTCTCCCCCACGACACCCCCCCCCCCCCCCACGTCTTTAAGCCGGCTGTGGCGGCCAAACCAAAGCGACTGGCCGCATGTCCGACAGCCTGTCATCACGGCCACAGCTGATTGATACGTACAGCTGATACACTCGCCCGTGATTGATACGCACGGTTGATAGGCAGTTGCCGCGTACAGATAATGTATGCAGAGCGGATGAGGATAGCTGGCACATCTGAATTGTACAGGTGACGTTTTACAGTGCAATTCACCGACACAGCAGACTCATGTTTATGTTGGTGGAAGGTGATGTTCATCGTCGTGGCTGTTAGAACGGACGGTGATGGTGGTGTGGATCTTGCTGTTGTTGTGGTGATTGGCATGGTCGTGGTGCTGGATGTTGTAGTGTTGGAAGTGATGGTGGTGTTGGAAGCAATGGTGGTGGTTGTTGTGGTTGGAAGTGATGGTGGTGGTGTTGGAAGTGATGGTGGTTGTGGTGTTGGAAGTGATGGTGGTTGTGGTGTTGGAAGCGATGGTGGTTGTTGTGGTGTTGGAAGCGATGGTGGTTGTTGTGGTGTTGGAAGCGATGGTGGTGGTTGTTGTGGTGTTCGAAGTCATGGTGGTGGTTGTTGTGGTGTTCGAATTGATGGTGGTGGTTGTCATGGTGGTGATTGTTTTGGTAGTACTACAGCTGATAAGTACATACGGGGCACTTACACTGTCAACTTTTACTGCCCTAACGCATTTACAGGAATGCCCTCTTTTCAATCCCCACGAAAACACGCGGTCAATGCAGCCACGGTCGATTTGCGCCGTCCCCTCCCCCCAGAGTGTCCAGGGATGTCATCAGTCTTATCAAGCCTCCGGGACACGATATCGCCTGAGACCACCAGGACCCATCGTGATTCGACTCGCGTGGAGCAGAGAAGCTCGCAAGCTCTAGGCGGCTTTAAATGGCCCTGCCTCCCTAGTCTGACCTCCCCCCCACCAACACAACCCCCACCTCCACCGTCCAGCGGTGGTAAAAACCACGCGGCCTGGGTGTCGCCTCGTAAATTCGCACAGCAACGGCGAAATCCAGTGCTGACGTCAGCCAGCTGTCCCATCAGCAAGCCCCATCACCCAAACATTACCCATCCCTACAGCATTCACTCTCAATCACGCGCCCGTCCACCTGCCCATTGCCCCCCCCCCCCCCCATACTTCACACATCACCCAATCCTAAAGCACATATCACCCAGCTGTCCATCGTACATCACTCACACCCTATATCGTTCATCCTCTCGGTAACCCATCACCCACCTCTGCATCGTGCATCACCCACCCGTCCATCATCCATCAACCCACCTGTTCATCAATCAGCAGGCCATCAACCACGTGACCATTACCCATTCATCAATCACTCATTAGACATTACCAAGCAGACCATCACCCGCCAGACAATCACCAAACCCATCCATCATCCACAAGGCCATCATCAACCCACAATCACCAAACAAACCAATAAATAATTATTCACCCAAGCCACGCATCACAACCTGCCCACGATCGTCCACCATCACTCTCCCGCAGCGAGTTAACTTGACATGGCGACAGAATCTCTGGAGGCCGCTTGAAGTCATCCAAAACGTCTTGGAAGCTCTCAAACACTGCCCGGATGCATCATGACTTCCAATAGCGGTGGGCACCTTGCAGAAGCGCATGTGGCAACACAGTGGTGGCTGTAAGTGCCGGGCCACAGCCCACGTTGTCGGAACCGCCTGCACTGGCATCAGCAAACTTCTGAGACAATCCAACTCCGTGCAAATTACACATCAAGGGAAGCCAATTACTCGCTCACGCGGCAATCACGTAATGTTAAGGGCACTGCCCGCCTCTGCCTCCCGCCACGTCTGCCTGAAGTGCGGGCAGACCTCTCCGTGTGTGGGCGGTTGTGTGACTGGCCAGATGACTAGTTAAGTGACTGGCTGGCTGCCTATGTGACTGGAAATGTGGCTGGCTGGTTGGTTACGTGGATATGAATGAGTGGTTGGCTAGCTGTGCTAATAAAACCAACAGGTGACTGCGTGTCACCGCCTGACTCACTGCGTGTGTGGCTGATTGGCCGCGTGACCGACTGGCTGGCTAATTGAATGACCGACTTATCGACTGTGACTCAATGGCACTGTGTGGCTGACTGAATGACTGGTTTTATGACTGCCTGGATGCGTGAATTAACTGCATGGCTGCGCGATTTATTGTGACTCACTGCCTCACGGAAATGGCAGCAGCCTTGTACGGACCACCCTAATAGCGCGACTTGCCTGCGTGAATGCCTGAGCGCGTGCGAACGACTGACTTCGCCGAATGACTGGACCGGCTGCCCGACCGAACGACTGACTTCGCCGGATGACCGGACCGGCGGCTGCCTGACCGAACGACTGACTTCGCCGGATGACTGGACCGGCTGCCCGACCGAACGACTGACTTCGCCGATTGACCGGACCGGCGGCTGCCCGACCGAACGACTGACTTCGCCGGGTGACCGGACCGGCGGCTGCCCGACCCACCGACCCGTCACGTACCATGTCTGCTCGCAGGGTGGCGATCAGCTCATCCAGGCGGCCGGGCGAGGTGCCCGGCAGCCCTGCTCCGAGGGGGTCCCTGCGGGGTCCCCGCTCCTCGGGCGCGAGGGGGTCCCTGCGGGGCGGCTCGCGATCTCCGGGCGCGGCACGATTGCTCGTCGGAGCCTCTTCCCCCCGCGGCAGGCACCGCGCGAGGCTTTCGGGCATGCGGCGGCCGAGGCGGCCCTCCAGCTCCCTCAGGGCTTGCGAGCTCACGCCCGGGGGAGCAGCCTCGTCCATGGGCAGCGACGGGGTCGGGCTGGAGACGAGATGGCGGTGCTGCTGCTGCTGGTGGTGGCTGCGATAGTTGTGGTGGTGGTGGTTGTGGCGGTGGCGACTCCAACGCTAAAGGGCCGGGACGTGCCGGCAGACCCCCGTCGGGCGGCCCGAGCGAGCAGAGCCCCGCGGCACCCGGGGCGAGCCCGCCGCCACGCAGCGCTGGGTGAGAGAAGGAGGCATCGTTGTCCTCCTGGTCGTCGTCACATCGCGAAGACGATGATGATGCTGCTGATGTTGCTGCTTCTGCTGTTGCTGATGGCACTGATGCCGCCGCCGCTGCTGCTGATGATGCTGATGCGAAACGGAGCTCCGTTGAGCCGCCTTTCCGACGGGACGGCACCGACACCTTCAGAAAATCTCCTTCTACATCTTCACCCCCAATCCCCCCCACAACGTCACCACCTGCTCATCTCTGACCTCCTGCTTCTGTTGTAGCAGCAAGCGGCGAGTAAGCGTTGTGTGTGTGTTGTGTGAGAGCGTTGTCTGTGTTGTGAGAGGTAGGGGGAGCGTGGTGTGTGTTGTGCGAGAGAGAGAGGGAGCGTTGTGTGTGTTAGAGAGAGAGGGTTGTGTGTGTTAGAGAGAGAGAGAGGGTTGTGTGTGTTGTGAGAGGGAGCGTTGTGTGTGTTGTGTGAGAGAGGGAGGGTTGTGTGTGTTAGAGAGAGAGGGTTGTGTGTGTTAGAGAGAGAGGGTTGTGTTGTGTGTTGTGTTGTGTGTTAGAGCGAGAGGGAGCGTTGTGTGTGTTGTGTTAGAGAGAGAGGGTTGTGTGTGTTAGAGAGAGAGGGTTGTGTGTGTTGTGTTAGAGACAGAGGGTTGTGTGTGTTAGAGAGGGAGCGTGGTGTGTGTTGTGTTAGAGAGAGAGGGAGCGTTGTGTGTGTTAGAGAGAGGGTTGTGTTGTGTTAGAGAGAGAGGGTCGTGTGTGTTGTGTGTTTGAGAGAGAGGGAGCGTTGTGTGTGTTAGAGAGAGGGTTGTGTGTGTTGTGTTAGAGAGAGAGGGTTGTGTGTGTTAGAGAGAGAGGGTTGTGTGTGTTGTGTTAGAGAGAGAGGGTTGTGTGTGTTGTGTTAGAGAGAGAGGGTTGTGTGTGTTAGAGATAGAGGGTTGTGTGTGTGTGTTAGAGAGAGAGGGTTGTGTGTGTTGTGTTAGAGAGAGAGGGTTGTGTGTGTTGTGTTAGAGAGGGAGCCGGCTCGCAGCAGGAGGAGGCGGCTCTGTCGTCTCCACGCTGCAGCTGAAGGGGCCGCCCCAAGCCCCTCTCGGATGTGACGCCGCGCGCCATGGATGAGAAAAATCACAGCGACTTCATCCCCTCCCTCGCCGCCGTGCGACAGAGAGAGGGATATTGTGGCGTGTGTAGAGACACCGTGGTGTGTGTGTAGATACCATGGTGTGTGTGTGTTGAGATACCATGGTGTGTGTGTAGACACCATGGTGTGTGTGTGTAGAGACACCGTGGTGTGTGTAGATACCATGGTGTGTGTGTGTTGAGATACCATGGTATGTGTGTAGATACCATGGTGTGTGTGTTGAGATACCATGGTGTGTGTGTGTGTAGATACCATGGTGTGTGTGTGTGTTGAGATACCATGGTGTGTGTGTGTAGATACCATGGTGTGTGTGTGTGTTGAGATACCATGGTGTGTGTGTGTGTTGAGATACCATGGTGTGTGTGTGTAGATACCATGGTGTGTGTGTGTGTGTTGAGATACCATGGTGTGTGTGTGTGTGTTGAGATACCGTGGTGTGTGTGTTGAGACATTGTGGTGTGTGTGTGTGTGTAGACACCGTGGTGTGTGTGTGTAGACACCGTGTGTGTGTGTAGACACCGTGGTGTGTGTAGATACCATGGTGTGTGTGTGTGTAGATACCATGGTGTGTGTGTGTAGAGACACCGTGTGTGTAGACACCGTGGTGTGTGTGTATAGACACCGTGGTGTGTTGGTACACCGTGTGTGTGTGTGATGGGGAGCGGTAGTGTAGTGGTTAACGCTACGCTGCGCTACGCACCCGGCGACCCGAGTTCGATTCGCGCTCACGGCCGAAACCGGGCATGATTATCTGGACCGTTCCTGGGCCTCCCCCTAGATCGACTCAGCCTCAAATGAATACCTGGTACGGTGTGTGGTAAACATCGCCACGAGAGAGACAAAGGCGACCGGGCGTGGTGCTAGCCACCCACCCCCTCGTGTGCCACAGTGCCGGCCTTCATAGGTGGTGCTACTCGCCCCAACAAGTCCTGGGCCTCCCATAAGTTGACTCAGCCTTAAACGAGTACCTGGCGCCGTGTTAAAATATGAGAGCGAAAAGCGAGCGGGCGTGGTACCGGCCACACCACCCACGCTCATGTGGTGGTGAGCCGTGCCGGAATTTGATGAGTGCTCGCCAGCAGCACTCGCCCCAGCAGTCTTTAAAAAAGGCTGTACGGGGAATGTGTGTCTTGGTACACGTGTACGTCGTTCCACAATTATGTAATTGTTCTCTTCTGCCGTCACCTGCCACTTTAGAAAAACGTTGCACGTGGGCAAAGACAGAGATGCCCATGTGGCCTTGAACAGACCGTTGAGGCGAGTGCTGTTAGCGAGCACCTACGAAGAACGGGACGGCACACGAGGGGGTGGGTGGCCAACGTCACGCCCGACCGCCTTTTTCTCCCGAGTGGCGATGGTTTACAACATCGCACCAGGTCGTCATTTGAGGCCGAGTCGACCGAGATTGAGGCCCATGACCGGTTCAAATAATCGTCACTGGTGTTGACCGTGAGCGGGAATCGAACGTGGGAAAGTGCAACGCGCTAACCGCTGCACTACCGCTCCCCACATTGCACTCGTGCGGGCACAGGGCCCCGTGCGGGCGCAGGGCCCCGTGCGGGCGCAGGGCCCCGTGCGGGCGCAGGGCCCCGTGCGGGCGCAGGGCCCCGTGCGGGCGCAGGGCCCCGTGCGGGCGCAGGGCCCCGTGCGGGCGCAGGGCCCCGTGCGGGCGCAGGGCCCCGTGCGGGCACAGGGCCCCGTGCGGGCACAGGGCCCCGTGCGGGCACAGGGCCCCGTGCGGGCACAGGGCCCCGTGCGGGCACAGGGCCCCGTGCGGGCACAGGGCCCCGTGCGGGCACAGGGCCCCGTGCGGGCACAGGGCCCCGTGCGGGCACAGGGCCCCGTGCGGGCACAGGGCCCCGTGCGGGCACAGGGCCCCGTGCGGGCACAGGGCCCCGTGCGGGCACAGGGCCCCGTGCGGGCACAGGGCCCCGTGCGGGCACAGGGCCCCGTGCGGGCACAGGGCCACGTGCGGGCACAGGGCCACGTGCGGGCACAGGGCCACGTGCGGGCACAGGGCCCCGTGCGACAACAACCACCGGCACCAGCAGTGCCATCGCCCTCATCGGAACTCCTCTAGCACTCGCCAGTAACAACCACAACGAGCACAACTATCACCAGTACCACCATTGGGGCAAACGGTGCCAATAGTCCAGCACCACCAGCAACCCACCGTGGGTTTGGCCACGTGGACGAGTCCACGACATTCCCCCCCAACCCGTGTGAATGGACCTGACAAACACCTTTCTATGAACATGATGATCATACATTGGTAAAGATCAAAGATGGCCTTCAAATGTCTGTGCGATGGAGCTGAACAATCGATGCCGCCGCGAGGTCAGACTGTTGCCGCAAAAGCCCTCGTCCCCAGATTTTCGCTGCCCCATAGTCTGGGAGGCATTATTAAGCGCTTAGCATTGCCAAACAAGTGCCGCTGGATAACGGCGTTCCACATCGCACGCACATTCAAGCATTCTTGCTCGTTCTCGTGGGACAATTTGCCAGGAAATCGCGGATATAATTAAATCCACAGTGGGCGCAATTAGTCGTGAGTGCTCGCCTGCGCCCCGTGTTTAAGATTCGTCTTCCAGTGCTGGTCACCTCCCAGTACGGCCCTTAAAACGCACAGTAAAGTGTGCACGTGTTTGTAAATAGGATGGACACAATTACCAGCATACAGTACAAGGAACGCTCATTTATACAACCGGGATGGCCATACTCCTTTAAGTCTGAGGATACATTTTCAGGAGGGTCCTGCTGTACGATGTTTTGCCAAATATCGAGAGATATTGAAGGACATTATAGAATGGATGGATTATATAAAAAAACATCAACCCACACAACTCAGGGGAGAACGCTCCAAACTCTACAAAGATGTTAAAAACCTACTTGCTACACTGCCTCGTACAAGCACCTCGCTGGCCCCTACATTCGTTCATCTCAGGTACATCAAAGGCAAGCGTTGTTGGTGTTCCTTATTTTACTGCATCATTGGCAATCCATTCTTGCTATTGTCATCCCGATCACGCATTACGGATCTCCCTTGTGAAATAGCCGTTAATTTGGCGACACGGGATCATCCGTATGTTAACAAATAAAACATAAACTTAAAATGAAAATGCTGTCCCACGCGGCGATGGCTCCACGGACTTCGCCACCCCTAAAACTCCACGCGCCCAGGCATCAAGCGCCTCCTGGCGGCGATGCGTCCAAGCGACCCGGAGTGACCCCCACTCCCCAGTGCTTCACGGGTTGCAGGTCCGGGCCCGAGGGCGGTGGGATGGATGGATTCATCCGGTGGGCAGACCGGTCTCGGCAGACTGACCAACACTAGCCCCAGCTATACATGCAACAGCAGCACCCCAAGTTGTGGCAGCAGCAGCAACGTTACTACCAGCAGAAACAACTGCAACAGCAGTACAAAAATCGTCAGCAGCAGCACATATCAGCACTAGTTCCTCTGCCAATACTGCCCATCCCCTAAACCGGGGGTCGGCAACCAAAATAGCAAGAGCCATTTTTTTTCGAATTCGGTATTTCAAGAGCCGCAATGCATGTGAATAACGTCACGAAGTCGCCCTGAAAGAGCCGCATGGAGCTCCGGAGCCGCCGGTTTCTCAACCCTGCTCTAAACCAAAAGCAACGACGTTGATGCACAACTCCATTCCATAGATGTCACTACAGTATAAGCCTAATAGATGGACCAACCCTCCATATAAACAATGAGAAAGCACATGTGGGTGACACAGACACACGCTTGGGTTCACAATGACATCAGGACGTTCCATGACAATATTTATTATGCAAAACCCAGGGAAAGCATGCGTGGAAAATAATAAAACCACTTCGCAGGGCTCCGTTGATAAAATAGCAGAGACCACAGTACAAGCTGGATAGCACAGTACTGATAAAAGCAACACATGCATTACATTGGCAAATGAAGGCAAAGGAAAACTTCCTTGTAAGCACACAAATCTGGATATAAGTCACGGCCTTGCTCCCGAAGGGTGTGCTTATATCCAGCATCGACTATACGAACAAACTCTGGAGCAGCGGTGCAAATACTCTAGGAATCTCTCTGCATCATCCCAGGATTATTTTCCCACCTCAATCTCATCACACGTGTGGCAACGCACATTAAACATGGACAGCCGAATGTGGATAGGTGGGCAGTCGATACGGTCGATACCTGCAAATGTACAACCACAAATGAGAGCTTACAAGGTATAAACAAAGCACCTTCACGATAGCCTCGATGCTATAAAAATGGCTTGAACATCATATGTACTTAGCATAATTTTTTATTAAGTATGTATGTTGAACTTATTTCGCGCCGTATGTAGCCAACCGTGCTTATCGGAGGTGCAGGGAAGTCTATTAAATAAGACTTTCCAACCAGGACATACGAAGCACGCGACGAAATCTTGGCGTTTCCGTAGACCCTGGCGCCACCGCGGACAACGGTGCCGCTAATGGGCGCTAATTCCATTCGGCAGTTCCTCTGCAGCGCTGGGGCCGTCAGTTTTGCCAGCGGCGGTGACGGCAGCGGCGCTGAGCTGGCTGTGCGTGTTGGCGTACTGAAACTCGCCGGCGGCCTCGTGCTCCCACATGTCGAGCGCCACCTCCACGCTTTCGCGCACCACGCGCTCTGGGTCGTCCCGATACGCGCGCAGGATTTCCAGGCTCTCGGGCGTCGCCACCGAGCCCAGTGCTTCGGCGCACTCGTGCCGCACCATGCCGCTCTCCTCGGCGACGGCCAGACGGGAGGCCAGCGCCGGCACGCTCGCCGGGTGCTGCATCTGGCCGAGGACGAAGGCCACCTCGTGGCGGAAGAGGGCGCTTCCGCACGACAAGCCTGTGCGCGTGGCACGCAAAAAAACGAGAATGCGATTACTCTGTGAGTTTCGTCTGGAAGCGTCGTGTATCAGAAATGGCATTTGTCCGTGAGTCTGCAAAACAGTGACTAGCAGCACTTGAGTGAATGTCATTGTACAGTATGAAGGGTTCAGTCTGACTGAAACAATCTATGTACGGTATGAATGATGACCTATGTATGGAGCGAATAAAACTGAACAATTAGAACTGGAAAAAAAAGTTCGAGACAAAACGCGATCGTGAAAACGAGACAAATAAAGAATCGACTACCGAATTAAATCTCGGCTCTCAAATTGCAACAATTCGTCTTATAGCCAATGACATAAATTTGTACACCCTTAACATTAACCCCCCCCCCTCCACCGTCCACTTGCGCGGCCTGGTGGGCTGGTTGCAGCCTGTGCTGCAACACGCGCCAACGTTCACGAACGGGCTCGCAGCACTTGCCATCGGAGAGGGCCAGCACGGCCTCGTTGCTGCCGACGTTGCGCAGCGCGAACATGGCACGGTAGCGCTCATATAGCGGGGCGCCGTCGTCCAGGAGGGTGCAGCGCAGCTGCTTCACGTCACTGCTGGCGGCTGCAGGGACGGGGTCCACCGTGTCGTACGTGCTCGTGCCCAGCCGCTCCTCCTCCGCTCCGCCCGCTGCCCTCGTCCGCTGCAGCCACTCAACGCGCCGCACTGCCAGCTGGCACGTCTCGGCGACCTGCACTCGAACGAGGGCACCACGCTCAATAAACAAACTTTTACACAGGCACCGGTCTTATACAAGCAATCGTTTAACAATTCACCACCTAGCTAGCCCCCCCTCCTCCCCACTCCACAGTCTCATGAGATGTCAAGAATCAGAGTCACAATCCAACTCTGGAATCTATATTTGTTCGTCTGATTTTTGCCATATTGTTTGTACTTTCTGCTGTGCCTTGGTTGTGTTGCCTGCTCGTATCTGGTCACATTCAGACCAGGAGTCAACTACAATAATAACTGTGTAATTTGTAAATGAACGTCAATCACAGCGTAACCATAGCTCTAATTTCAGCTAGCAATGCTGCTATAATCATAATTGACTCCCGTTCTGGTCTCACGATTTGTTGTATCACAAGCAAAGGAGTCGATTTCAGTCACTGCATGGTCCCAGGACTCACCTCCACCACGGGATCCGAGGAGAACTCTCTGAGGACGTCAAGAACGTCTGGCGTGCCGATGGCTCCCAAAGCCTCTCCTGCAAGTGGAGTAAACGGCATCATCAGACAGGGCTAGGTGAGTGAAAGAGTCCGCTTTATTTGAAATATACAGGAATACGACAAATATATATGCAGACCGTGCCTATTTCATAAATCTATGATTATCTATTTCATATGTTATCTATTTCGTTGCTAATATTCTCCACAACGATGTAAATTGTGTTATGTTACAGTTTTAATTAAACCCTGAGGTTACAACTTGTCTCAATATCCTTGTGCTATATCCCAGGAGGATATAACAGATGTGCAAATTGTTATTTTGCAAAAAGACTATGACGGGTAGGGTTGGGGGTTAGAGACAGAATTAAGGATAATGACTGGCCCCAGAATAGTTTTTCAAAACGGTAGAAACTTGCACTGGGATGCCCTGTCAATCAGCACGCATGACAGGCTCACCAACACTGGGATGCCCTGTCAATCAGCACGCATGACAGGCTCACCAACACTGGGATGCCCTGCCAATCAGCATGCATGACAGGCTCACCAACACTGGGATGCCCTGTCAATCAGCTGGCATGACAGGCTCACCAACACTGGGATGCCCTGTCAATCAGCACGCATGACAGGCTCACCAACACTGGGATGCCCTGTCAATCAGCACGCATGACAGGCTCACCAACACTGGGATGCCCTGCCAATCAGCACGCATGACAGGCTCACCAACACTGGGATGCCCTGTCAATCACTGGCATGACAGGCTCACCAACACTGGGATGCCCTGTCAATCAGCTGGCATGACAGGCTCACCAACACTGGGATGCCCTGCCAATCAGCACGCATGACAGGCTCACCAACACTGGGATGCCCTGTCAATCAGCACGCATGACAGGCTCACCAAAACTGGGATGCCCTGGAAATCAGCACGCATGACAGGCTCACCAACACTGGGATGCCCTGTCAATCAGCACGCATGACAGGCTCACCAACACTGGAATGCCCTGTCAATCAGCACGCATGACAGGCTCACCAACACTGGGATGCCCTGTCAATCAGCACGCATGACAGGCTCACCAACACTGGGATGCCCTGTCAATCAGCACGCATGACAGGCTCACCAACACTGGGATGCCCTGTCAATCAGCTGGCATGACAGGCTCACCAACACTGGGATGCCCTCTGAATCAGCTGGCATGACAGGCTCACCAACACTGGGATGCCCTGCCAATCAGCACGCATGACAGGCTCACCAACACTGGGATGCCCTGTCAATCAGCACGCATGACAGGCTCACCAAAACTGGGATGCCCTGTCAATCAGCTGGCATGACAGGCTCACCAACACTGGGATGCCCTCTGAATCAGCTGGCATGACAGGCTCACCAACACTGGGATGCCCTGTCAATCAGCTGGCATGACAGGCTCACCAACACTGGGATGCCCTCTGAATCAGCTGGCATGACAGGCTCACCGACAGCTGTCCACCACTGTGGGTTAACGCCACGGAGTTTAATGCTGCGTGAGCTGCTGCGGTCGCGAGGCAGCATTCGTTGACATCATCCCCAGCATACGGAGCAGTTAAGTAAATGTCATGATTGTGTTTACTGTAATTACACAGCATTACTCCCATTACTAACTCGAAACATGGCCACTGGCCTTAATCTAGACCCGAACACTCGTCCAGATCCTGACCTAACTCAGACCCCTAGCCCTGACCATTCCGTATCAATGTTTAGCCCTGACCAGACCTTTATGCCTACCCTGAAATATGAACATAGTCCTGACCCCCTAACCGCAGCTCTAAACCCTTACAGCTGACGTTAACCATTACCCTGCCTATTCATATTCACTGAATCTACCCGTAACACACGTGGGTCATTGCATAACATGCTTAAAAGTGAAAACTTCCCTTAAGGTGAGTAAATGAGTCCGGGAAATGTTATTCTATTTTTTACGTATGGCAATATCTTCAGGAGCGAAATGCCAATGTCGAGGTCTGGTGGCCACAAACGAGAGGGCTTCGGCTCCTGTTGTAGTTTTGCTCTTCCTCCTCCGCAGCCTGATTTGCAGTGGTTGACTATGCGGCCAAACGTCCACGGTAGACCCCAGGCTCACAGCTGCCCCAATGTTCACTTTGAGACTGTGAATGCACCGGCTATTTGGCCCTGAACACCAACCCCGACCCTCTCACCGTCGCTCTCACCTACACCTCCCCACCACCCACCGACCTTCCCCGGGCACCGCGTCTACCCCTCGCTCACCCGCCTCGTGCCGCACAATCGGCCGCGCGTCGCGGTCCCGCAGCAGCTCCTCGAGCGGGGCCTTGGCGGCCGCGTGCCCGGTCTGGCCGAGGCAGAACGCGGCCTCGTGGCCCAGTAGGGCCGAGGGGTCGCGCAGGGCCGAGGCGAGCCAGCGCACCGCCGCCTCGCCGCCCATCCCCTTGAGCGTGAAGAGCGCCCTGAAGCGCGCCTTGAGCGGCTGCGACTCGTCCGCGAGCACTTTGCCCACCTCGTCCACGCTCTTCTCGTCAAACATTGTCGCCACCTTCCTTCGCCACTCGCCGTCGCCTCCTCGTCCTCCTCTCTACGCCGCCGCCGCCGATGTGTGGGTCACGGCCACGCCGGCCGACCAGCGGCACCACGAAATGACGCACGTGGACCCCACCGCCACCTGTGGCGGCCATCTTGCTCAGGGACACATCTCATTACGCAAGATGGGGGGGGTGTGGCTCTGGCCCCACGTAAGATGGCCGCTGAAAATGCGCGTCGCGTGTTCGTGGCGTGGCCCCACAGTGGCTGTTGATGTTCGCGCTGCACCCTCGCTAATTGAGGAGCGGGTGGCGTTCTTCATCCCCTAAATCGGCGCGATCGCCGCTCAACTCTGCCGCCTCTAATGAGTGAACTCCACCGCTGCCGTCCGTGTGAGCCCCGGCGCCTATCGATTCACGCCGTGGCTACAGCCGAGACAGGGGACGACGCGGGGTCCCGTGTCGTTGTCGTTGTTGTTGTTCCTGTGGGGACTCGGGCCGGTGACCACGCCACGTGTCCTCTCGTGAAGGTAATGCTTAATATTACATTTGTATGTCACATTGGCGTATGTGTAAACATATTGTACGCTGTGTACATGTACAGTGTTATGTGTTCAGACACTGCTGTGACGAGGGCCTCCCGCATTGACCATACTTCACCGCCATGGTCAATGCGGACACAACGATAGCCGGCACCGACCGGCGTGGTGAAGTATGGCCAAAACAACCTCGGCGCGCTGTGCAAGTAAACACCAACAACACGGAACCCATGGGAATGAACTCGACACGACGCGATCGAGTAACGTGAGGCAGCAGAGTTAGGTTGCCAAGATAAATACGCGAGAAGTTATAGTTTTACCCGAACTAAAGGGCAAACACACACTTATTTTAGGTGGGGGGGGGGTATTGTTGTAGGGAATCGCATCGGAGTGTGCACGCCGGGGTCGGGTAGCCGTCGAAGGCTGGACAGGGATCGGACTGACCAAGCAGCAAGGCGGAGAGACTGTCCTCCAGACAGTCTCGTCCCTTCACCTGATGAAGGCCGCTTGTGTTGTGGCCGAAACGTCGTGATTTTTGTTATTTTATTTTTTACCTACGTGACTTTACCCAATAGAACCAAAGAGTATGGACCAGCGTGGCTTTAGCGGAGCGCGTGTTCGGTGATGAAAGGCAACGGTGTGAAAAGCGAGAGAGAGAGTTTTCCAGAAGTGAATCTCACCTGCGATTGCACGTGGGTCGTAATGCATGGACACTTGAGACGTTGCAAACATTACTCATCGGCTTTTTTCGGTAAAGTCACGTATGTAGAAATACAATAAAATTATATTAAAACAAAACAATCACGACGTTTCGATCACAACGCAAAGCGATCTTCATCAGGTGTCAAGAACAAATCATGGAGGTAAATACAACAAAAAGGATGAGAGACGAGAATTTAACAATCCTAAAAAACATGTGACGCACAGCCAGTCAGCCCAACAACACAGTTAGACACTTCCTGGCGGACCACAAACATTTTTTTGTTTTTTAAAACTAAATCTGAAAAAAGTACGGTCGGAAATATGGCGAAACATGCTGGGGCAGAAAGAGGAACACGTGGTTTAAAAAAAAAACAGGCAAGTTAAAGAAGGTCACATTGACTGTTCAGAAAAGCAAGTGGGTTTGGATAAGAACACAGCGTGACTAGTGGACACGCAATGAGAAGCGGCAGAGTTTGACCACCGTGGAGATGGAAGCGGCCCTACCGGTTAACGAGTTTTAGTTTCCAAGCGCCGGTCTGCGATTACAGCAGCGGTTTTCTGACGGTCTCGTCCGGTCGATTGTCGTCGCTTTTTCAGGACTTACTGGGCCCGCCAAAGTCACGCAGTAATGATGAGTGGTCCGGTCGACATGTGCGCCCCGCACTCCCCAACGCTGGTGCCCATAATGCTGGATGTGGGCTCTGCTGACCCCCTGCAAGCTGCCACCCTCGCCTACTGGGACAACATCCTGGGCCCACGCGTGCACAACCTCTGGCTCGTCGGTAAGTGCAAACGTTCGGCCCGGCCGCTTCTCTGTCGGCCCTGGCCAGACTAACAACTGCGTTCCCAGGGACAATTTAAAACAGCACCGGCCTGCTTCACAAATCATGTGGGAAGCGGGCTTTACCCGAGTTATCCGATTGGAATATTGATTATTCAGCTAATCGGAAAACACGGAAAATATTGTTGGGGTGAAAAAGCGTGCCCCTCTGTTCCCACGTATGCCGCTGGAAGTAACTATGTACACACGTTGGACTTCCTTCGCACCGTACGTAGCCAACCGTGCTAACCGGAGGTGCGGGTGAAAGGACCACAAACTAAACAGCACCCCAAAAAACAATAGTGCCTTGCAGTGCGAATTGGCAGAACGGAGCGCCTCTCATCATTTTGTTCCCCTTTTGCGCAGGCGACCCGGCGTCGGAGCGCGACGTGATGCGCGAGTCGGAGTTCTGCCTCCTGTCGACGCACACCCTGAACGGCGAGGTGCTGCGCAGCGCGCCCGACGGCGCCGCCGACGTGAAGCTCTACGAGCTGGCGGAGCGCGGCGCCTGCGTCTCCTCGCTCGTGTTCGACGCCCCGCGCTGGCGCGGCCGCCAGCAGCAGGGCGTGCTGGCGCTGGCGCTCGTGCTGCGGCTTGCGCCGCGCCCGCTGTGCGTGCGGGCGCACACGCTCGCCGCAGCACGGCTCGCGCACGCCACGCGCGTGCTGCGCGTGCTCATGTACAAGGTGCGAAGTGTCGGGGTCACATCCCAAACACGCTGTTGCGCTGATGCCCCCATCACACTGTCGGACCATCATACCATCGCTCCATCGTTCGGATGTAGGGATGTTCACGATTCGATTATATTGATCCTTTTTTGTCTCGTTTATGCATTGTTGCTCGCCCCGTTATCTTGAACGCAACGTTAATGTATAATTTGTGCAGATCCTAAACAGCCGATTCTCCCATGCAAGATTCGTTTTTTAGTCTTGAGCTTTGGAATTGATTTTAAACGATGCATCATTCTATTTTCACGTCGGACATCTGCTGCTCGTCACGCCGATGCCCATCTCTGCATTTCCCTTTTTGCATGTTCGTGCAGGACTCGGACAATATCGTGCAGTTCTTGACTGGGGAGCTAACCTCCATCGCCAAGCTGTTTGTCTCGCTCAACAGCCACGGCGTGCCTGACAGCATCTCCGTAAGTAAGCAGCTGCAGCAGGTGGCTTGGCTCAACTAATTTGTTTACTTATGCAGACATCACTTATGAATGCAACCCAACGAATCTGCACGTGTGCCTTTGGAAGTCGTGATTCTTAAAACTCGATTCTCCTTACGCTAGTCCCCAGTAATGCTGCGGTGTGAATGTAAATCCTTTGTCTCCGACAGCTGAAGGATACGTATTTTGAAGACAACCCTGAAGAAGAAAAACGGAATATTCTTTCCAGGTCAGTACTTTTTAAAAATAGCATTTGTCCTGTACTTTAACAGCTACCGCTTAAAGTTTCTGGAAACACACACCTTTCTCCTTGGCCCAGCATTACCGTTGTGAGGTTTTTGAAGATTCCGTGATTCGGTGGTGACAGAGGGCGGGACCGTGTGTTTGTGTCTTTCCCGCATGACAGCGTGGTGAGGTCTCACCTGCAGACGTGCGGCTGCTCCATCGTCATCGGCTCAGACCCGCGAGAGGTTAACAAGGTGCCGCAGTCCTCTACTCCTTCCAGCCCGTCGTGAACTTGTTACTTGTTACTGGCTACTGTGAACGAAGGCCGGTGTGCGTTATGACACAGTGTGGTGTGGGTCGTGTCGTCGTTGGCACGCTGCTCTGCGGCCACAGTAACCTCGGCTCATTCACTTGCCACGCAGAGTGCTCGGTGTTGTTTGTGTGACGCTGACACGCGTTGACACTGCTGCCGCATGCCTAAAGGCCATAATGCATTCGTGCAATGTTAGGACAATCACTGGCAGCAATCGTTTTTGGTCATATATCGTGCTGACAAATGTAGTTGTCCAAATTTGGACAAATATCGCTGCTCCTGTTGAGTGAGAAACTGGGGTGGCAACCTGCAGTTACATCACGGACTTCATAATTTTACTACTTCATGGTATGTGTTGCGCAGACATCACTGTTTGCCAGACAGAAATGTATACATTTGCTGTACTAGTTAGTCATAGTTGCTTATAGAGTGGCATGGTTATCAAATGTGCAGGGAAGGCAACAACACCAGCACTCATGAGCAGGAGGGGCCCAGGCTATGAAACGGGGGGAAAAGCAGACAGGGGACCCCATTGCATTGCTTGCATCAAGGCCCATGTCAGCCACGCTACGCAACCGTGCTCACAGTAAACGCATTGGCAGTAACTCGTTCCAGGGATGATTTCCCTCACATCTCCCAAGCGTGTCATGCCCTCTAATGTCTTGGGGGTAATGCCTGTGCGTGCAGATGGTGAAGACGCTGTGTCTTTTCCTGAGTCCGGCAGAGCGGCGCTGTTCGCGTTTGGCCGATCCCGAAGCCAAGGACAAGTACGAGTATGGCCTGGTGGTGCAGGGACTGCTGAAGGTACGCGCTCGGCGTTCAGTCCTGGGTGACACGTGCCGGTTGATCCGTCACACGTTCTCACGTAACTCGTTACAATACGACTTCAATGTGGATTTATACAGCGTCTATATGCAGCCGTATCGCAAGATGCTGTACAACACAGTGGAACATGGATCACAGGGAAGTGACAGTCCTAGCCAGAGGAGAGAAGGAAGGTCTTTAACTTGGCCTGGAACATAGAGGCAGGGAGTTGGCAGCACAGATGGTTGGGGCAAAGCATTAACAAAATATAGGGACGGCAGAGGAGAAAGAGCTACTTCCTGTCAAGTGAAGATTAATTGTGGGCTTGGATGGAAAGTATTGATTGCTGGTGCAAAGAGCACATGAATGAGAGTTGATTGCAACGAGGCGAAAGGTAGGTTGGGGCGAGTCCACGAACCATCTTGGAAAATAGAAAGTATGAACTTGAAGTTATTCTGGGATTGAATTGGGAGCCAGTGGAGGGATGAGAGTATTGGTGTGATGTGGTCTCGTTGGCGGGTGAGGAGCTTGTACAATCCCTTCACTCCCTGTGCCAGGACAAGGATGGCATCTTGACACTGCCCTTCCGTTCCGTGGTGCTGGCGCCAATGCCCAGCTCGCTGGTGGACGTGGACAGACCGTACAGCGTGTTCCAGACGCCACCCAAACACGTGCACGTCTTCCGGCAGCACAAGCTGTTGCGCAGCGAGCTCGTCCGCTACTGGAGCGACCCCACACAGCTCTGCGCCCCGTCGCCCATCCAGGACATGTGAGCCGTGCACACGGCATGTTCAGACTACGACAACAAAAACGCAGACCGAATAATGATTCGGCATGTAATGATTTCTCAGCGCCTATACCTGTTGCATTAGTATGTTATTTTAATATAATTTTTTAAAATCATAAATTATTCCCACACGCATGATTTTATATGTGTAGTGTGAGCCAAAAATTTGTTGTAATCATGAATTTATGCATCCTTGCATATTTACACTCTATCCAGTATGTCTCAACTCTAGTTCCAACACAGTACAGCCTTGTGTGATTTCCAACCATCCGGTGTATGCGGTGTGCAGTGTATTAATTATTACATATGAATAGAAGAGATTGGTAATCACAAAAAGATGTGCCATGGGGGGTCGTGAGGAGTGGAGTTGAGAAACTCTGCTCGCTTGCATTTACATCATCATCGCGCTGACTGCTTGAATTGGGAGTAAAGAAGTTTTTATTTAATTCCCTTCTCTTTGCTAGAAATTACTTTCAAGAGGTTCCTGCCCCGGACACGCTGGTCAGCACCTTCATTAACGAGGTGGGTGGGACCCTTCTTAACGCCGGTTGTGAATTCTAGTGCCACGTTTTGATTGAGCTCCCATGACCGTCAAAAGATGTGCCCCATGTGCCCCGTGTTCCGTGTGCCAGGTATTCATGGTTGACGTTGGCGAGCGGCTCCAGTTTCTCGCGCGCTTTGTGCTCCTGCTGCAGCGCAAGGCTCTGGCTCTGCTCTTCCACATCGAGGATGAGACGTGAGCTCAATCATAGTCTTGCGCCACCACACCCGCCTTAAGTTATTTCTCCCACTCGGTCATAGAAACCCGAGTGAATGTAAAATTTGACCACCACAGTGGTGCGGCGATTTGAGCACCGTCTCCTGACCCCCCCCCCCAACCCCACCCCGCGCAGGCAGCAGGGGAAGAAGCCGCTGCAATCGCTGGGGAAGGTTAAGAAGGAGCTGGACCTGACCGATAAGGGTGACCTCAGTGTGGTGATGGCTACAGCGGAGCAGATGAGGCCGGGCGTGCACAGCTTCCTGTTCGGGCGCCAAGTGGAAAGCACCCTCCTGGAGCAAGACACCCTCGCAAGTTTCTGATGTGCCCATCTCCGAGTGTGTAGCTCGCCCCCCTCCCCTCTCGTCCACCCAATTGTCTACATTAATGCCCACCCTCCTGCCGACACTCATGAATGATTGGTAAATGATGAAGTACCGTGCCATTTCTTGGCACGTGACCCAGTGTTGGTGGCGCATGCGGACTTCTGCCTTCACCATGGCGGTGGTGTCTTTGAGGATGCATGAGACAGGGAGAACTCAACGTTCAATTGCTACCAGGGCCGGAGGATTTGGGTGTCTTTGTCCCCAGGATACCAGAGCAGAAACGACACAGCCCTCACCCCCTTCTCTACACCCTTACCCATACGCATCATCCTCAAACCTCGTTGTGGTGACGCACTCCAATGCCAATGATAAACAGTTCCATTATGAATACAATATATTTTTTTTAGGGGTCCCTCTGGAATTTTGGGCCCTGAACAAATGTCCAGTTTTCCCTGCCCCCGCTCACCACCCGCAAATCCGGCCCTGACTGCTTCGTCTCTTTGTACCCCAGCATGTCGGATTAATTGCACAGCGGCCACTGCTGCATAATGAATATTGTGAGTTCAGCGTAACCCTGGTGTCGGGAGTGAGAGGGTGGTCTCAAGCAGTGTTACATTCAGGCCATGATAACACCGAGGGCAATTTTGGGACAATATTTTCGGCAGTTGCCACTAGCAATCAATATGCTTTGATCATTTCTTGACAGCCTGGTACGGCAATGGCATAAAGTGACAAGAGTTTTGTCGTGCCAAAGAAAGCAGTATTATGTTTATTTGATGAATGGTGATTGGTTTACAGAGGATGCAACTGTGGGTGGGCCCATGTAACAAGTCTGTGATCGGATTGGAATTTGCCATCCCAGTTGTCCGTATTTGGGCAACTAAATTCCAACAGAAAACTTGTAACTATTGCCTCTGACGATGGCTGGCAACAGTTGCCCTAAAATGTCCCATGTATCTTGGCCTTTATCTTGCAGCCATGTTGGTGAATTGTAAATATCCACTGCATTTCAACGGTGCAGTTATGAGAACAGTACATTTGTTTTGTGAGCTGATGCATATTAACGCATTGCTGTATTAATGCCATTTCGTGTTAATGTGAATTGTGTGTGGAGTACGTTTTGTGACATTCGGTAATGAGTTACTGATGAGTTGTGTTTTTCTTGCCGCCGCTTAAATTGACAAACTCGTGTTTTTATTTTCCACTGTGAATATTTTTTTCTTTCCCGTCGTCAGGAAAGAAATGTGGCCTTGTCTTGACATCCATTTGTCCCAGTGTGTGTCTGAATTAAACTGTGAAAATGGCTTTTGCCGATGTCTCCAATCCACCGGCCACGTGGGAGCGCTTGTGCAAAGAGCCGCAACAGAAAGCGTCGTGATCGAATGAACAGGCGGCTAAGCTAATCGCGTACATTTCTATTTAACGCTGCGGTTGAAACTGCACGGCGTTTGTTATGTATACATTTAACAGACCTGAAAAGCTTCCAAATTGTGCCTGCGTAACGAGCGTGGTAGTGGTGTAAGCGTGGAGGCGGCGGGGTGAGGATGGGCTGACCATGTCGGCAACATAAACTTATTGTGGGCTGAGCAGGCGTTACGTTTGAGCCTCTAGGAAAATGTAAGTATTAACGACTAGAACAACATTTCATAAGCCAATGACTTATCGGTACACAGGCACGCACACGGACAAACTTGTGAGTGAATCGATTCGTTAGTTTTGTGATGAGGGAACGATTTAGTGTACAGAATTTCAGTGCGAATAAAGTCGGTGATTGATGCGAAACCTAGTCCCGTAATGTTTTTATTTTTTTATTGACGTGAATTGCTGAGTTCATGCGTGTGAATGGATGATCTGGTACAGTAACGATCTTGTAAATACACGTGAGACTCTATACGTATATATTCTTGGGTATTTCGGTAAAGCCACGTAGATAGATCAAATAATAATAAAAAAAATAACTATCACGTTTCGATCGGCAACACAAGCAATCGTCATCAGGTGAGAAATATTGCGGGAGAGCTGCAAAGGTAAGGAGTTAAAAGGTTTGTGATGGGTGTAGCCCAATGGTCAGTGGGATGGGCTAGAGATGAAATTTGTATGTAAATGTAAGATCGGGTAAATCTTGACAAACGAAGCTGTGGGGGTGGCCATTGTATTGTGAGAGATTAGCATGCCAATGTAAGAGATTTGCTTGTGCATGTAAGCTCGGAGAGAGCTCGGCAAGAGCCATGGCCACATGGAGGTGGACATGGATGGCAGGCCGCTGTTTACTAACACAGCTAACTGTGGCTGTGTTAATGAATCTAAGTCAGAGAGTCGAAAATAACTGCTAACATGGTAGGTAGGGAGGTAACATCACAGCCAGCTATGACCTAAACTGGTTAATAACGTCCTTCCAGTGATTGCTCAGTTTGTACCCATCTTCTCGGTGGAAATTGTCTGTGTTTATATATCTGGATGGCTTCATCAACTATACATATGCGTGAACTCAGCGGACCCAGAGTAAAATCGAAGTGAGCGAGTTTATATTTTGTTGCGATATGCACAACATTAAATACATATTCTTGGTTCTTTCGGTAAGGTCACGTAGAAGGGAAACAATAAAATAATAAAAATATAAAACAATAAAATTCTCACGACGTTTCGACTGCAACACAAGCAATCAGGTGTGAAAACCACAGCAAGATTTTTTTTTCAAATTATCTTGCTGTGGTTTTCACACCTGATGATGATTGCTTGTGTTGCAGTCGAAACGTGATAATTTAATTGTTTTATATATTTTTTTATTTTATTGTTTCCCTTCTACGTGACTTTACCGAAAGAACCAAGAATATGAATCCCTGCAGTCACGAAAGCTTTAAATCAAAACATAAAATACGTTTTGATTTAAAGCTTTCGTGACTGCAGTAATTCATATTCTTAGTTTTTTCGGTAAAGTTACGTTAGCGCGTAGCGCTAACGTTTTTTTTATAAATAAATAAATGCGCCGTTTAAAAATAAATTTATGCAAACCAACACACCTGAAGATGACCGTTTGAGTTATGGTCGAAACGTCGTGAGAATTTTTTTATTGTTTTATATATATTTTATTATTTTGTTGTTTCTCTTCAACGTGACTTTACCGAAAAAACTAAGAATATAAAATACGTTGTTGAATACATGTTGCGGATAATTGAGGATATGCTGAATGAGTTTGTGCAATATAGAGCCTTATGTCAAAAGTGCATATAGCTCGTCAATCAAAGCAACACGGAGTAATCTTGATTTGAAGCTTTCGTGACTGCAGGAATCCATACTCTTTGGTTCTTTCGTCGTGATTTATTTTATTTTATACCTACGTGACTTTACCGAAAGAACCAAAGATTATACAATACGGAATAGTGGAGAATGCAAACATTTAGCTCCACGTGGTGTGTGCCCCGCCAGACCAGAACAATCGATCACAACTCTACTCCAACAGAATCGAACCATCGGCATTTTAAAATCGCTGCGCGTTCTAGCGTCGTCGATTTAGCAGGCAAAAACAATCGACAATCGATAACATTGTTATATAGAAACAAAAAAACCCCTATATTATTGGTCGCGAAAGCCTGCGCGTTATAACGAATCGGCAAAACATTTTCAAAGATCACGAGAATCCGAGCCAACGATTCGCTGAAGCCAAACGAACGAATAAAAAATAATGAATGAACGGACGAATGAGCGAGCGAGCGACGGAGGGGGCGGGGATTGTGACCCGGGGGCGGGGATTGTGACCCGGGGGCGGGGATTGTGACCCGGGGGCGGGGATTGTGACCCGGGGGCGGGGATTGTGACCCGGGGGCGGGGATTGTGACCCGGGGGCGGGGATTGTGACCCGGGGGCGGGGATTGTGACCCGGGGGCGGGGATTGTGACCCGGGGGGCGGGGATTGTGACCCGGGGGCGGGGATTGTGACCCGGGGGCGGGGATTGTGACCCGGGGGCGGGGATTGTGACCCGGGGGCGGGGATTGTGACCCGGGGGCGGGGATTGTGACCCGGGGGCGGGGATTGTGACCCGGGGGCGGGGATTGTGACCCGGGGGCGGGGATTGTGACCCGGGGGCGGGGATTGTGACCCGGGGGCGGGGATTGTGACCCGGGGGCGGGGATTGTGACCCGGGGGCGGGGATTGTGACCCGGGGGCGGGGATTGTGACCCGGGGGCGGGGATTGTGACCCGGGGGCGGGGATTGTGACCCGGGGGCGGGGATTGTGACCCGGGGGCGGGGATTGTGACCCGGGGGCGGGGATTGTGACCCGGGGGCGGGGATTGTGACCCGGGGGCGGGGATTGTGACCCGGGGGCGGGGATTGTGACCCGGGGGCGGGGATTGTGACCCGGGGGCGGGGATTGTGACCCGGGGGCGGGGATTGTGACCCGGGGGCGGGGATTGTGACCCGGGGGCGGGGATTGTGACCCGGGGGCGGGGATTGTGACCCGGGGGCGGGGATTGTGACCCGGGGGCGGGGATTGTGACCCGGGGGCGGGGATTGTGACCCGGGGGCGGGGATTGTGACCCGGGGGCGGGGATTGTGACCCGGGGGCGGGGATTGTGACCCGGGGGCGGGGATTGTGACCCGGGGGCGGGGATTGTGACCCGGGGGCGGGGATTGTGACCCGGGGGCGGGGATTGTGACCCGGGGGCGGGGATTGTGACCCGGAAGCGGAAGCGCCCTCGCCACCACGTGCAGATTTTCGCACGAGGCAACCATGGCGGTGGCGGCGATGGCAACAGCGGTGGCGGCGGCGTCGCACAGCGGCTCGGAGGGGGAGGAAGATTCCTGCTCAGACGACTCCGATCGCGAGGTGAAGTGTGGGAGGGTGGGGAGGTGAAGTGTGGGAGGGTGGGGGGGGTGCTACGGGGACCCAGGGAGATGGAGGAGGAGGAGGCGGTTAGGGGAGACAATAAGAGGCCGGCGGTTTGGGGAGTCCCGGAGCCGCGTGCCTCGCGTGTTGGGCGCCCATTTGCCTGGTCCGCGTGGTCACCGCGTGGCCACATTGATCACTCGCTCCAGTACACGCGCTACAGTACACACTACACACGCAGTACACACTACACATTCACTACAATACACTCGCTACAGTACACACTACACACGCAGTGCAGTACACACTACACACTCGCTACAGTACACACTACACACAGTACAGTACACACTACAATACACTCGCTACAGTACACACTCACTACAATACACTCGCTCCAGTACACGCGCTACAGTACACACTACACACGCAGTGCAGTACACACTACACACTCACTACAATACACTCGCTACAGTACACACTACACACTCAATACAATACACTCGCTACAGTACACCTACACACGCAGTGCAGTACACACTACACACTCACTTCAATACACTCGCTACAGTACACACTACAGTACACGCGCTACAGTACACACTATACACGCAGTGCAGTACACACTACAGTACACTCGCTACAATACACACTACACGCAGTGCAGTACACACTACACACTACACACGCAGTGCAGTACACACTACACACTGCAATACACTCGCTACAGTACACACTACACAGCAGTACAGTACACTCGCTACAGTACACACACACGCAGTGCAGTACACACTACACACTCACTACAATACACTCGCTACAGTACACACTACACACGCAGTGCAATACACTCGCTACAGTACACACTACACACGCAGTGCAATACACTCGCTACAGTACACACTACACACGCAGTACAATACACTCGCTACAGTACACACTACACACGCAGTACAGTACACTCGCTACAGTACACGCTACACACTTGTACTGTAGCGAGCAGTACAATACACTCAGTGCAGTATGCACACATAGTACAGACTACATTCACTTTTACTGCACTCCAGTACACACAGTACACCGCACATAGTACACTATGTGAATACCGTACACGAAACATACAGTGTGTAATTTGTAGTACACACAGGGCAATGAATATAGCACACTGAAGAGAGCACACGCTTGTTTACACACAAACTGATGCTGGTGCTTTAGTTGCTGCTGGTGATTAGTTGCTGCTGGCGATGAGGGTTGCAACTAGCGGCGAGTTGCTGTTGGCGATGTTCATTTGTAGCCGCTTTCAATATGGGACCTTTCTTGCCAGTATCAAAATATGAGAATAGGTCTTACCCTTTTCTGTCAAGAATACAGGTCGTTTCAGTTTCATTTATGAGGTGTAGCCCTGTGAGCCACGCGGCTCTTGACTCGGGTGCAACCGCAACAAACAAAAACATGAACAAGAAAACATCTTAAAGTGAGATGCGCAAACACCGAACAGAAACCTCTTGCAAGGAATCCTGTCTGCATCGACCACACGTCCTTGTTTGCATGTCCACCACAAGTACGTGTGGTGGACATGCAAACAAGGACGTGTGGTCGATGCAGACAGGATTCCTTGCAGAAGGTTCCTGTTTTGCGTTTTAACATCTTACCGCATGTCTTATTGTCAGGGTAAAACCTCTTCTGATGTCGCAGCTTGTTGGTAGTGGAGGTGATGAGGTTGCTGCTGGGTACAGCAGCAACCTCATCACCTGGGTACAGCGGCAACCTCATCACCTGGGTACATCGGCAACCTCATCACCTGGGTACAGCAGCAACCTCATCACCTGAGCACAGCGGCAACCTCATCACCTGGGTACAGCGGCAACCTCATCACCTGGGTACAGCAGCAACCTCATCACCTGGGTACAGCAGCAACCTCATCACCTGGGTACATCAGCAACCTCATCACCTGGGTACAGCAGCAACCTCATCACCTGGGTACAGCAACAACCTCATCACCTGGGTACAGCAGCAACCTCATCACCTGGGTACAGCAGCAACCTCATCACCTGGGTACAGCGGCAACCTCATCACCTGGGCACAGCGGCAACCTCATCACTTCCGCTGCCACTGTGGTGGTGGCGGTCACGCGTTCGCTGCTGTTGGGTTGATGGTGTTCGTGGTAGTACTGTAACAACAATGAATTCTAAAATCCAGCTGTGCGGAGCTTTGAGTGTATACACACGTGGTTTCGCAGGGTCTTTGTGAGGCTTTTGTTTGGCAATTAATTAATTATTTCTGTTCAATACCTTGCTCAACAAGAACTGTACGATCGTGTATATTCGTGTCATCGTGTAGTTTCATTATTTTGCCATTTGTATATATTTTATTGTTTAAGCGCAATGGGCATTTACATGGATTATACTGTACAGTGTTGTGGGGAGCGGTGGTGCAGTGGTTAGCGCCAATGCCCTACGAACCGCCGATTTGGATTCCTCCCCAGTCGGCATCGGTGACGAGTCTTTGAACCGGTTGGTCCCGGGGCACTTGCCTCAATAGTCTGTTAAGTGCTACACGAGAGGATCTTTGCATGTATCTTGGTGTAATTTGGTCTGTGTCTTGTGTGTAAGGGGGAGGTGGGAGACTCTTCCGCTCTGGTGTCGTGTGGTTAAGATATCTAAAATCTGGCTCTTACTGTGAGCGAGGGACAGGCTAAATGAAAGAGTCTGCGAGCCATTCTGTTGTGTCGTTCGTTGTTAGTCTGTTCCATTCGCAATGGTAAGTTGCTACTGCATAATGGTGAGCGGTTGCTGTTCGTGATGATGGGCTTGCCATTGCTGCCACAGCTGGTGGTGATGACAACACGTGCTACTCTTCCCTCCCCTCACCGTGCAGCTGCAGGAATCGTTTGCACAGGGGAAGCTGAAGCCTGGGCTGAACCTGCAGCTCAAGGCGCGGAGGCCGCCCATCAACAACGTGGTGAGTGGCAGCGCCAGAACGAACACGCGCTTGCTGAGAGCAACGGGCCAAAAAAACCAAGCTGCCAGCAGACTGACAGCGCAATTGAAGGTGCCTCAAACTTGATTTGGCGCGTTCGTGACTGCAGGAATTACTCTTTGGTTCTTTCGGTAAAGTCACGTAGATAGAGAAAATAATAAATTAAATAGCATACGACGTTTCGATAGCTCGGCTCGGAGACGACACCACCTCCATCGTAACCGTAGGCACGGTGCCACTTTTACTCATGCATCGAAGAGAGCGCGGCAATCGAAAGTAAATTCATCCCCTCTGCTCACCACTGGTCCATCCTGCTTTTCTCCCAGTGAACGATCTAGAATACAGTATTATTTTATGGGCCGTGACAAATCCACCCTCTCTTCGTTCCTCCTTTCCTACAATTGCGTTGAACATAGTGGCCTCTCATGGCTGCTCGAGTCACGGGAACTGCACGAGTCGTGCGTGTGTTTGTGCCTCTGTGCAGGTGTGTTTGCGTCTGTATGAGTGTGTGTGTGTGCGTGTATGTGTCCGTTTATGGCCGTGTGCGTGCGTGTGCGCTTCTTTCCACGTGTTCCCTTTTTGCGCCGCGTCAGCCTCGCCACAGCAGCACTCGCCCCCAGCCAGTCGGTAAAGCCTGCGTGGTGGAATCTGCGTCTTGTGTCGCCCGTCAGAACCAGATGAAGGGCTGCCTTAGCGAGTTCCGTCGCTTGCTGCCCTGGGTGGAGCGTCTGGATGTCACCGTGGGCCCCCTGCCCGACGTCGAGGCGGAGGCTTCCGGCAGCGACGGGGTGGACGTGGAGAACGACTTCCGCAGGGAGATGTTCTTGTGAGCGACGCATGCGGGGGGGGCGGGGGGGCGGCTTGGCTATTTCTGCCGCCGTAGTCGGGATACAGAAGCGTTTGGCAAATGTACCGAGGCGAGCGCTCGTCTGCTTGCGGTCAAATCGTCCCCTGCAATGTGCTCCGATCTCGTCGGATATCGGAAGCCTTGCAGGGTTGAGCCTGGACTCTGCTTGGATAGGCGACCGCCATTCACAGCAGGGTGCAATAGGCTGCTGCGGGGCTATGTGGTAGGCGGCAGAGTGTGGTGCAATAACATCTTGTCGTTGTGCTGTGCTTCTGTGCTCCCACGTCGATGCTTCCTGCCCTAGTCGAGACAAATGTGATCGCTGCTCCTCAGTGGGCAACTTCCAATCAGACCAGACTGATGTTACACGAGTACCTGAAGTCGTGTGCTCTGTGGACCAACCATTCTTGATCAAATACACTTTTCAACAAGCTATCTGTTCATTGGTCAGACGCAGTCACTCCGCTATTCTCGGTAAGCATTTGCCTCCGACGATGGCAAGAAAACCATTTCGCGTATCAGTAAAAGTGCAGCCCTGCAATTCCTTGCTCGCACTACTGCTGACAGAAGGGCCTGCACTCGAGGGAGCTCGAGAGCTCCTCTAGAGGCTATTTTGGTCTACTCTTCCACACTGGCTTGAGACGTCTTGTAAGAAGTGAGCCTAGCCATATACTGCCCCACTACACGCCATTTGCCGATCGACTGTGTTTTACCTAATTGGATGAACGGAGGCTTGGGAGGGGAGTGGCGAGGTGGGTAGGGGATTCAAGAAACTTGCCCCATCCCACGACCCCTGGATTGTGAGTCGAGTAGTGTGCTGCTATGTATATGTGTTGAACTTCTTTCGTACCGTGCGTCGTCAGCAGTGCTAACCGTACACGGCTGTGGCAGCGTCCCGGCCTCGCGTATCACGGCACTAACGGTGATGCCTCGGTCCCGCAGTTACCGGCAGGCGCAGGCGGCCGTGCTGTTGGCCGTGCCGAAACTCCAAGAGCTCAACATCCTGACGAAACGGCCCGAGGATTACTTCGCAGAGATGGCGAAGACGGACCAGCACATGCAGAAGGTGGGGCCACGCTGCGCTTGAGCATTCACGTGTTTGCCGGCGCTTGACGGAAATGGCAGTTCGTCTCAGATGGCGCACGAGCGGCGTGGGAGGGCTGGTAACGCAGTGAAGGAGCACCACTCCTTCATTTCTCGTGTGGTTAACGCCAAAATCTTAAGACGTCAATGCAAGTTATAACCACTCGGCTGCCCTCAGCAATATTGAAAGGTTTTCTGTTGCTTGGTTGCTGAGCAGCAACGACGCCTCGAGACGAGCCTCACCCGCTTTACCCGCAGAACCAGAGTGGGTGGGGGAGGCAGCAGTGGTGGTGCACGGCGGCTCTGGTCCAGCACTTTGGAGGCAAATTTTGCTGGGTCAGATTTGTGTAAATCCCAAACTTTGGGCCGAGAGGTGATTTAAGAGATGACAGTACAGCACTTGGGTAGGTTTGTGGACCCATCTGTTGCAGTGATCGTGATTCTCCGGGTACTCGAGTTTGCAAAAAACGTGTTCACGTAAAACTGGACAAACATCCGAATGCAAGGACCCTCTCGAAAGAGTATTTGGACTCGGTGAAGCTTTCCTGGTCAAACTAATGACAAACATATATTTGGTTCATCACTTAGCGATTTAACACCGCTGAGTGATGCATCGGCTCTGAGAATTGCAAATTTTCAGTTTGTGAGCCATGCAACAAACATATCTAGCGCAGAATGTGTGGGAAAATGTAGCGTCCCCCTGGTGTGTTGATATAGTTTTATTTTGTGTAACCAGCTGAGAACTCTTGAGACCATGATAGAATTTCATTTGCAAGCATGACCTGGGGCATTAGTTTGCCAGTTGGGAGTGAGGATTTCTGTTTATAATTCCATTGAGTTTAAAAAAATCGGTCACTTTTAAATGATCTCAGAAGAAGTTCTGCGGTATCTCCTTCCACGGGCCATTTTCCGCAACAGTGTGGTACACTATTCACTGCAGGATTTTCAAATTGACAGTCCCGTGACGGGGTGCCGATAGCACAACAGGGAAGAAATTGGGGCAACAAAAAAAAAAAACCCGTGCTGTGTCCTTTTTTTTACCGCATTTGCCCATTGCAGGTTCGGGAGAAGCTGCTTTCCAAGCAGATGGCGATGGAGCGCTCGGAGAAGGCCAAACAACTCCGGCAGCTGCGCAAGTACGGCAAGAAGGTGAGGCCCACTCGACAGCGACATCATCAGAGCCGCGCTCTCATCTCATTTGTTTCAATCGTCGATGGCTCCACCGATCAACTGATTGATCGACTCGTCGGGTATCGTGAAAATATTGTAGTGGGGGGAAGGGCGGGAGTCTGTTCTAACGTGTCGCTGGACGGGAGGTGACATCATCGGCATCGTCGCCCGTATCGTGCTGGGTTTGGCATGCGGGGGGGGGGGGTTCCCAACTTGGCGAGGAAAAGCGACGTGGCATCTGCCAGTTTGTCAGGAGGCAGAGTATTGAACCAGCTCTCCACATCTGCCTCGCCCAACCCTCACTTCCCCATTCTACACCAGAAGTGTCCTCTCGTAGCAGCCAAGGCCACTCAACAGAGGATGGCTTCCATCAATTTATAGTTGATTGGGTGGAGTGGCGGCGGGTGCTGGCTTACGCAGTGTCCTATGAACTTGGTGACCTGTCTTCAATTTGTGGCTATGACCCGCACTGAGCAGTGTGGCAAGGTATGGTCAAATAGCTGCCACGATTTGCACGGTGCGGGGAGGGCCCTCATCCAGAAGCGCTTTGACAAAAGGTGGCCGACGAACACGCGCGTTGTTGTTCGAGCAATGGCCGCACACACATGGCTGCTGCTTCTCGGGAGGCCGATTTTTCGTTTCTCTCGTTCCGCAGGTGCAAGTTGAGGTTCTGCAGCAGAGGCAGAAGGAGAAGAAGTCGATGATGGAATCGCTCAAGAAATACAAGAAAGGTGTTTTACGATTTCCGTCGCTCGCTTCCTGCTGGTCCCACACACACACGCGTGCTCTCGTGTTGGCGCCGATGCGCGCGTCTGTTGTCTCGCCGTTCCCCCGCTCGGTTGTTTCACGCCTCGTCGTCGCGACGTCTCTCGCCCCCAGGAGTGACGGACAAGCTGGATTTCCTGGAGGCCGACAAAGAAGGTGCCAGGACGCAGAACAAACCGTCCGCCGCGGGGAAGGACAAGAAGAGAAAGTGAGTGAAAATGTATCCCGACATGTTTCGGGAAATAGACGTTTCATCCCCGTTTTCCAACCTGTGAGGAGGAGGCGGCGTCCCAGTTTTGTCATAGAGGTTACTGAGTAGCTCTGGGCCCAGCATCTCGTATACGTACATCGAGTCCGAGATAGTCCGCCCGACAACCGCAAGCTGCTCTCGTTCGTTTGGTTGTGCTTGTTTTACACCGGGTCTTCCGCCATCGTGCAGGATAGTCACCACGGCTAATCATGGCACAGTGACGAGTGATTGGATTGTCCTGATTTCTGGGTCCTTTCGCCATAACGGGTCACGTAAACTAATTGCGTATAACATGTACGAATCAAATAAATTCTCAGTGTACACGATTCGATGGACTTAACACGAGGAATCCATTTGGCGGCGTTACACACATTGGGTGGGGGGGGGGGGGAGCCACACTTCCACAGCCCCGTGCACGCTGCAGCCGACATTTAGTTACAGGTGCGCGTGCTCGTACCAGCACATACCCACGCTCAAATCTCACGCGAATGCTTTTTGTTTGCGGTGTGCAGCCCCAACTCGAAGCGGCGCTACAAGAACGAGAAGTTCGGCTTCGGCGGGAAGAAGCGCGGCAACAAGCGGAACACGCGCGACAGCGTGGACGACGTCTCGGGCTTCCGCTCGCGCACCGCGCACGGCCGCGAGGGGGGACCGCGTGGGAGGGCCGGCAAGGCCGCCGGCAATATCGGCAAGGTGAGACACTCGGTCCGCGAGGTGAGATGCCCGTGCCCTGGCCAGGTGTTGGGGGCTGTGGAGAGGAGCAGTTTTTTTTTATGAGTGAAGATCTTTGGAATGCACCACAGCTGACCGGCTGTGTGTTTGTGCGTGCGTTGCTGTGCTTGTGCGGTGGTGTGTTTGCACGCGACTCCATGTGTGACCGTGTGTCCGTATCTCCTTGCGTTGTGCCTGCAGAACAAGAGGCCTGGGAAATCCGTTCGGCAGAAGATGAAGAGCAAGAGGCGATGAGGGGTTGGCAAGAGCGAGGGGTTTTGGAGTTGGGGGTGAGTGAAGGGCGCAACAGGAGCTTTGAGGCAGTGTGTGCTCGCTCTTGGTGGAAATTATTCATCTTAAAGTTTTGGTTAGTATTGTCTTCTTTTGTGCTTTCCCTGCATCACGGAGTGTATCACCCTGTGTATTGGGGAATTGTGCTTGGGAGGAGAGTTGCAGAACTGCCCCTCCCATACAACGGGGGCAGGGGGGGGGGGCGTGGTGCACTTTCCCACGCTGCTACAGAGAAATCTTTTCTCGTGTGGCCATCAAACCGATATTTTTTTTATTTGCCAAATTTAGTGAACACCAATGTTGCTATGATGGCTTTGTGTTAGCGGTTCCCCAGATTTGAACCCTGCGGTCTTGGTGGTGCCAGCTCAGTGTCTCACCCCTGAGGCAAGCCCGGCTCTTGATATTGTCGACACCAGCTGATGTACATGTCATGTGGTTCATGGGGGTTCAAATGTCGCATTGGCGATCTGCTCTGATTGTTGATGCCCGTATTGCAAGGCTTTGTGTTCAACTTAAACCTGGTTTATTTGTGAAAAGTAGTAAAGCGTTCCTAAATAAAAGTATTAAACTGCAACTGTCTAATATTTTGGGCCTTGTGTGGTATTGACTTTCCACCGGTTTTCATGTTTAGTACAATCATGTATTTTCCATAAAGCGTTTATGGATGAAAGCCATCATAAAATCGACATGTTCTACCTCATTTAGCCTGAATGGATTGGAGGAAATGAATTTGAAAGGAATATTTTTAAAAAAGTGCCCTTGCCCAGCATTAAGTGGCCAATTAGTCCATTTAACGTTGCCACTTCACTTTATTTACAGACATGTATTACATGAGCATCGTTTTATAAGCAAAACTGAAATTAGTTTTACTGTAGACTCCCAACACAGCACGGTTGTGCCGTTAGTGGCATTTACATATTCACGTGACAAATGACAAACTAAAACAAGCAGTGAAAAGTCCCTCGGAACGTTGAGAAGGTGCCTTCCTCACTCACACATCTAGCATAGCAGCCACCGTCCAGCGAATTACAAGAATACTGAGACATCCTAAGTATTTAATCTTCCTCACCCTTGGAAAAAGATATACATATTCGGAGCAGGTTTTTTAGAACAAAAAAAAAGCTTCGTGGTAACTTACGTGCACAACGGTTCCCTAAGAGCACCATGTGAAGAGTGCATTAATGACATACGAGTCCGTAAAAATCCTGTCTCTTCAGGCTCTGTGCTCGCAGAGTGAAGGGTCGTGTGCATGTCAGCACCTGGTAAGGTGATGGCAGCAGGCGGCTGTTGTGACCATGCACCGTTTCCAAGCAGAGCAGCACAACTCCATTGCTTTTGGTCAGCGATGCCCACGAAATCTCCGATTCCACGGGAATTCCATTCAAGTATCGGGAGAGCCCCTCTGGAAGCAGAGCCAGTCCCCCTAGGCTTGGCGCAGGGTCACCTCCGTATGCCACGCCGACCGTGCCAGCAACGCCATCCCCCTTCGATGCACGGAGCTGGTGCTCCACCACCTACCCAGGGCTTGACTGCGAGTTGGCGACACGGAATATATTTCCACACCCGACACACCGCATCCACTATACCTCTTGCTATGGCTACGGCTCCTAGTCACGTGCCACCTACTCCAGTAGACGAGCGACCTGGAAAATATTCGGAGAGAAATTGAGCCTTGCTCCCATCTTCGATCGACGATCGGATGGTGTAGAGGGTGAGAGCCATCAGTCATGGAATGATGCAGCCAGGACGGAGGCAGAGGCAGTTGCTCTAAGATTATTTTTTTACTTTGGCGTCTTCCTTGATCTTGTATATCATCAGTTCCATGCAAGAGGCGGCATCCTCGGTGGAGTTGTGACCTCCCACTGCGCACAGACGAACAGGAGTCACGTTACTCATGTTTGCATACAAATTAAATAATTAAATTGCGGAACGATGTTCCTCAATGTTTTCTATTCAAAAAGACCAAAGGGATTTGTCCAACCCCGCGAAAGACCATTCTGTGTAACCGCACAGCGCTCCGGACGCCGAGTCAACAGACGCAGGGGCCGAGCACGTTGAGGAATGGGTGATGGGTCGTGGCATAACTATCAAGTATGCAGCCAATGCAATTACACCAGGGGACACGGGAGAAGGGTCCCATTTAATTCCCAGCCGCAGGGCCCGCGCCGACAGGACCGTGGCCGCTGGCGATACGAACTCACCGTCGTTTTGTATAATGCGCTGGAGATGCTCGGCCATGAGCGTGCGTAGCGCGCGCTTGTAGGGAGAACCCATCCGGTGTGGGAACACTACGGCCGTGTCTACCACTGTGCTGTGGATAATCTGCATGGGGGGGGGCACACACCGCGGCCAGGGTTAATGCCGTCGCCGTACGGTCACGGGGGGGCCGACGGCAGCCCCTATAAGGACGGTCAAAACACAAGCATGGGGCCTGGAGGTGAGCGTCTGGGCGAAACGTCGTCGGCACCGTCTCTCGTTCCCAACCTTGAGGGCGAAGAGGTCGCTCTCGAGGCTGTGCCCGAGCAGGATGGAGTCGGCGCTCAGCCGGCTGAGCAGCGCGGCCTGCACGGTGCGGATGGTCGTGGTCGTGTCCCGGAGATCTTCCTCCGTGACGCCTGAAAACCTGCGAGCACGGAGGGCGCGCGTGCAAGAACACATTTTACGGGAGGGTTTTGGTGCCGGTAATATCACCCTTAAAACGAGGACAACCAAAATTCTGATCAAAATGCAGAGTTTAACTTGTTAAACAGCTTTCGAATAAAGAAAAGCAGCAGTTGTCACAGTTTGGTGGAGGGCAGCCAACCCAAGCTAATTTTGACGCTGCTGTTGAAAAAAATTATAATGTATCTCCATCGCAGTTAAAAAAAAAAAAATCACAATTCAAGGATACGATTTGATTCAAGAAGGAATTATTTTCTGTTTTGGTAAAACCAGCAACTCGAGTAGCTGCAAGAGTTACGTGAAGCAATTAAATATACACACATACAAAAGGGTACGAATCTCACACGTACAACTCGTGCGAGGCACGGGGGCGGCACGCGTCGGTGGGTCTTGGCCGCACGGCTCACCTGGTGTTATAATCGACCACCTCGCTGTCGGGCAACACGAAGGTATCGTAGACGGGCTTGAGCTGCCAGTCCACCACCGTGACGCGCGTCAGCTCCAGGCCCTGCTTAGTGTAGCACTGCACAAACACGCGCGCGCCACGCGGTTAGCGCGCACGGCCGGCGTGAAGACAGCACCCACGGGGAGTGCTGGCCCGGGCGCGCGTACCATCTCGCAGTCGAGCGCGTAGACGCCGGGGATCCTGTCAGGCACCGGCGACTTGGCGATGGTGCACACAAAGCCGTCCAGGCTCTCCTTGCGCCCGTCAAACACGTGGCACTGCAACAGAGCACAGAGCCGCACGTCAGCTCGGGCGAGGCCCACGCAAAGTCGGAAACGTGACCGGCCGCAGCGCCAACCCGAGAAGCGCGTGTACCTTGGCGACCTGGCATCCTGACGAGCCCACGCTACCCTGGCAGCAGTTGTAGCGCGTCTCCCATCCGCCCGACACTGCCCACACACGAGCGAGACATGCGGGGGTGGAGGCGGGGGAGTTAAGGCGGCGTCAGCGTCGAGCGCTTACGACCACGATGCAACCGGGCCGAATTGTCACACGAGAGGGCGTGAAGGGTGGCGCGGGGAAGCGGATGGACGATACCCACCGCGCTGCCGCCATGCCCGGCCGTAGTGGTAGGTGCACTCCTCCCGCCTCAGGTAGTCGCCCTTGAGGTTCACGGAGTAGGAGGTCCCACAACGGCAGCAGATCCTCATCAGGGCTGGGGTAGACAAAATCGGGGTGGGGACACATTAGACCATGGGCTCATGGAGCTACTGCCCAAGACTTTTGTGTTTCAAGGGATTTCCATGTTGAAGTAGCACGCACCACCTGGCTAGGACACCCACTAGGAAGGGCTTCCTGGCCACCTTATCCTGGGCCTCATTATGCGTTACACGGTGCCGTAGCCAAGCCATCTCTTGAACAAATCCAGGGCTTCTCTATTTTATATTAAATGTTATTTTATTTATGTTTCAACATTTCCCCCAATTGTATCCTCATGGTGCTATTGAGACAAATAATTCATTAAGACTTCTTGCAGGGCAATGCAACTCTTTGTGTTAGAGAATGGCCCACAACCCTTCAGGTGATCGACATATACAAAAAGGAAACTAATTAATACATTAAACACGAGCTCCTAGTTTAATCATGGGGGGCTGTCTGGATTCAAACCTACGACGTCGCCAGCTCAGTGCTCTGCCGTCTAAGACCACCTGGTCACCTCATTTTGCAGTAAATTTAAACTGATAAAATAATTGTGAAACGAATATATCACATTTTTATCGACAAGCATAGTGACTTTTTGATTTAAAGCTTTCGTGACTGCAGTAATTCATATTCTTAGTTTTTTCGGTAAAGTCACGTTGAAGAGAAACAACAAAATAACAAAATATATATAAAACAATAAAAAATTCTCACGACGTTTCGACCATAACTCAAACGGTCATCATCAGGTGTGTCGGTTTGCATAAATTTATTTTGAAAACGGCATATTTATATATTTATATATATAAATAACGTTTGCGTCACGCGCAACGATGGCAGTTTGCCAGGACTAGTCCATCTATTTTTTGAAAAGAGGAGGGGGGAGACGAAATTTGTTTTTATGTATGCTGTCTGAAAGGCACTGTAAGCGTGAACAATCAATCAAGAACTGAAATGATTTATCAAATCTTTCCAATGATTGCTAAGATAGAATCCATCTTCTCGGTTGAAATTGTCTCTGTGTTTGTATATGTGGATAGCCTCATGAACGAATCTCTCATGGAAGCCAGATGGCTTACAAAGAACCTCCGTCTTATCTCGGACCGCATTCGTGAACATAAAGCAGACCTTAAACACGGTAGGACCAACACCTCGGCCGTAGCAGATCATTGTTCTAATTCAGTAGGCTCACATGCCATTGACTTTTCCAAGACGGAGGTTCTTTGTAAGCCATCTGGCTTCCATGAGAGATTCGTTCATGAGGCTATCCACATATACAAACACAGAGACAATTTCAACCGAGAAGATGGATTCTATCTTAGCAATCATTGGAAAGATTTGATAAATCATTTCAGTTCTTGATTGATTGTTCACGCTTACAGTGCCTTTCAGACAGCATACATAAAAACAAATTTCGTCTCCCCCCTCCTCTTTTCAAAAAATAGATGGACTAGTCCTGGCAAACTGCCATCGTTGCGCGTGACGCAAACGTTATTTATATAAATAAATAAATAAATATGCCGTTTTCAAAATAAATTTATGCAAACCGACACACCTGATGATGACCGTTTGAGTTATGGTCGAAACGTCGTGAGAATTTTTTATTGTTTTATATATATTTTGTTATTTTGTTGTTTCTCTTCAACGTGACTTTACCGAAAAAACTAAGAATAAGCATAGTGACGACAAATTGTGTGAGACTACACTCTCGTTCGAGGGAAGGTAGCATAAAGTGACGCATTATCACCAGAAGCATCCCCCACCACGACCTTACTCGAGAACCGCACATGTACATGTACATTTTACTTTTCGCACCGTACATAGCCAACCAGGCCAATCGAAGGTGCGAGGTAGGGGAGAGGGGAGCGGTGGGAGGTGCTCACGGTCTTTGTTGGCCGTCTTGGTGTCGGCAGTAAAGAGGATGGCTCGACTGCAGCGCTCCGGGTCAGGCCGGGGGTATCCATTCTCCCGGAGCTGCTCCTCCGTCAGCAAGTACGCGCTCAGCCGCTGGAACAGTGACTTCTCTGTGTGGCCCCACGCACGCATGCATGCACAGACAATGTAACGCTTCGGTACGTTTTGCGTCAGTGTGCGGCAAACCGCTGCCATCATCACGGCGCTCCTTCCCCGTGGTTTTCTCCCGATCTTAACCATCATCACAGCAAGCGTGACAGGCAGAGTCTTCATTTTTTAAATTAATATTGTCTGGGTCGCTGGTAGACTGCAGTAGGTGGCACGTGACTGGTAGCCATTCATAGAGAGAGGTATACAGGTGTTGGTGTGCTGAGTGCTGACGTATTTTCCAGGTCGCTGACCTGGACAGACACGGTAGAAATTAAGCCCTGGTGACAGAGAACCGACATGGGGTGTGCCGTACGCCTCACCGTCCAGGTGGCTCTCCAGTGGCTGCCCCTTGCCGTACAGGTTCATGGTGAAGCTGGCCTTGGCTGCCATCTTCCCACCTAGAACAGCCTCGTGGGACAGTGGCCGTCGGCTCAGCGACATGGCTGAGGGCGGTGGGCCGACGGGAGAGAATGCAGGTAAACAAACTCGCTCGGCGCGTAACAAACTCACATTAACGAGCCAACGAGCGCGTGCTGGGTGCAGACTCCTCGCGGGGGGCCGTACCGGGGGCGCGGGCAGGGCTCGGGTTGCCCTGGCTGCGCAGCTTCTTGAGGACGTTGACGGCCACGTTCACGTAGATGGCCTTGCTCGAGCTCCGCTCCATCGCCACCTTCTCCTCTGCCAGCGCCTGCCCACGACACACAAGCAGCCGCTAAACCAGTGGTCGGCAAGCTAAATTAACAAGAGCCATTTTTTTTCAAATGTGCATGTGAATACGAGGCAGCGGTCCTGAATAAATAACGTCACGAATCAGTCCTTTAAGGGGCGGATGTGGCTTGAGCCGCAGGCTGTGGACCCCTGTGCTAAACAAAACCACAGCGAAGGCGCTTTGCTCTGCGAGGGGCACCTCCGCTTTCCGTTTCCAGGAGTTCTAAAAGAGGTATTATGAAACAAAATGGGGCAGACATTGCCAAACTCCCGAACGAGCACTTAATTGTCAACACCACATAAGAATGTCCCGCTTTCAATTTACCCCGCAAACAATGGCCTGTATTGAACTGTATCAGAACACCGTACGTTCGATGCGAATATCTCTTCAACAATGGGCAGATAAGATTGGCATGGCTGGCGAAGTACGGTGCGAAAGAAGTTTAATATATATCCAAGAATAGCCCACATTGCGGCTAAGATCACCAACCTAAAACCATCGCCCACACAGAAACACTACTCCCCACTTCGATCATTCACCGGCAGCGTTTTACATATTCACCAGGAGTACTGGTTCGCTCGCAAACCTCAATATGAACAAATCTTTGCCGATAAACTCCACACCATGTAAAAAGAGGAAGAGGCACGGGCTACATGGCCGACAGCTGTTTCCAGTGCAACGAGCACACGCCACAGTTGTGCGCGTGGGCATGCTCCACGTTCCTACCCTGTCGAAGGCCTCCTGCTCGGAAGAGCAGAATTTGAGGCACTCGTCGATGAAGACGTTCAGGTAGCGCTGCCTTACGGCCAGCGGCACCTTGCAGTTCCTGTCCGCCATGATCAGCGGCCGCTTCATCGCCGGGTTCTGCGGGGAAACGATCAATTAAGAGAATCAGCTAAAAAATATATCTATCTATAAATGGGCCAGTGAGGTGGACAGGGTAAGACCCCAAGTTCCTAACAGAAACATTGGAAACTAACATTTTATTTACCATGGACCATTTTAGGAGCGTTTTTCGTAACACCGTGTTACAAAGAGACAGACGAACGGAGCTCATGCATGAACGCTTTCAACCTAAGTTGAAAAGCGTTCAAATAAAAGCGTTAAAATAAAAAAAGGGAGCCACAAGAATACGCGGGGTGGGGTGTGACGCGGGGCGTGACGCGGGGCGTGACGCGGGACGTGACGCGGGGCGTGACGCGGGGCGTGACGCGGGGCGTGACGCGGGGCGTGACGCGGGGCGTGACGCGGGGCGTGACGCGGGGCGTGACACGGGGCGTGACGCGGGGTGTGACGCGGGGCGTGACGCACGCTGGGGTTGGGGGTGTGCGCCATTCTTCTCTGTGGCACCACGGTGGTCTTGCACATCATCGTGGCAGGCGTGTGCGCGGGCGAGGTGGCGTCCACTTGGCGCGGCGTGAGGGCGCCAGCAGTCCCCGCTTGTCTCCCGGCCGACGCTGCACCGCACACGGCGGGGAAGCAGACACAAGTGCCCACAGCCACGTCAATCGTCTGCCGGCGAAATGGCAGAGCAGCGTTCCTTGCATGCATTGCTTTTTCTACTTATTATTACAAATGTTATTATATAATTTGAGAGAACAATTAACATATGCAACATGGAATGTCGTCCCAAGTGTGCAATGATTATCTGCATCCAGTGTCACGATTTACCCAGTAATAGGGTACGTTCAGCCCAAAGTCAGAGGGGGTGCGGATGAAGATGAAGGATGGGAGGAGGGGGGGGAGAAGAGCGGAAAGGGGTGAGTCAATGCGAAAAAGCCAAGACGTAAGAAGGAGCAAGAAAGTCTGCGTGTATTCTTTTAAGTGTATTTGGTCATCCAGGTAAGAACTCAAGAGACCAGGATGGTCTCGTTTGCAAGAGTGACCTGGGTAAGGAAAGGAGATGCTGAAGATGGTCTCTCCAACTTCGGGGTATGTGGCCAAATACAGGGGGAAGGCAGTGGCATCGATGTCAACTGCCATTGGGAGTGATATCATGGTAGTGCCCACGGTAACCATTAGATAAGAGTTCATTAAAGCCTTCCCAGAGCAGCCTTAACGAGTTAATAATTGCTCGTCACACGAGTCTGTACAACTCCAATCTTAGGGGGGAGTCCTAAAATTTCAAGCTGTTTTATATTTTATATCAATAAAATGTCTCGGGGGGGGGGTGGAAAAATAGCACCTATCGGCCCACTTCCTTGGCTCTGCCACTGCGAGGAGAGGCATGCAATAATTCACCGCAGGCGGCAAACAGATGGGCGTTACCGTTCACCGAGACGGCACCGCGCGCACCGGCGGCCAGCGACGTCGTGAACAGGCCGTGCGCGACGCGGCGCTTCCCTCCGAAGGGGGAGGTGGACGGCGAGGCGGCAGGCCGTGCCGCGGTGGCGGGCGAAGCGGCAAGAGGGAGGCTCGCCGGCGCCGGGGCCGCGGTCAGGGACCGCTGCTGCGCCTGCAGGAGCCGCGCTTGGCAGACCTGCTGCGCCGTGGGGCGGTAGGGCCGGATAACCGCCTGCCCGGGCTTGGCCTGAACCCGTAGAAGCGACAACACGACACGCGTTAGGCCACGATGTCGAGTCCGCAAGCAGCTCTGGAGAGGACACTGCTACGGCTTTTATACTACGAGTCCATTTCTCAGCCAAGTTGATACAAATGTGACAACCAAAGTAGCGTGGGTTCGATAAATGTATAACCGGCTATGAATAAACAAGTGGTTCAAGTGGTTTATTTTTTACCATGGCCAAGAATTATGTTCAAGCTAAAATCAAAACATAACTACATGCTTATGCGCCCAATGAGATGGACACAAGCACAGCAATGAAAAGTACTGCTTTGGTCAATCACAGCTGGTTGTGGGACCCGAAAGCTTGGATAAGCGAATGTTGATGGGTGTGCCATAACCACGGATGAAAACAAAGGGACGGTGAGAGTTGGGGTTATGGTTAGGACTACCCAATTGGACGCAGGGCTATTTTTCAGAGCATCACGATTCAGTGTGAATGCACGGCTGCTATTTCAGTGAACAAGACGAAGTGTGTGGAAGTTGGCCCATGCCCATGGTGATTCACGCGTACCGTCTCAAACTTGGAGGTGTGAGCAACCCTTTTCTTCAGAAGCGGTACGACTGGGGTCACCCCGGAGCTGCCCTCCTCCACGTTTTCCTGCATGCACACAAGAAGCACAAACGCACACACGGGGCGCCAGCGGTGCGGATACAACTTCAAATACCTGGGGCATATCGACACAATCCGGTTTCTATGTAAAAACACTGCTCAGCAATCACGTCACACCCCCCGCCCACACCCGATGTTCGCTTTCAAAACAGAAACCACCACTTGGATCTCCAAAGCTGATGACCTCGTGGTTGTTTTCCCTCCTTTGGCTGCCACCCCGCGATTCGTCTCAACTCCTGGCCACCAATCATTCTAACATCCTGTCCTTCTCGAGTTCCCTTACTTGTTTGAACAGTCAACGATGCCTCTGTACGTTATTTAATCCAACGCCACACAGAGAAACGTATTCGCTGTGAAATTACATGAGTCACCTCACATGGCACCATCCTCTGGGCAACAACGAAACTGGCAATATGGAAATGCATTCAACTTAAACACTGAAAAAACATAATTCAAATGCTGTACGTTAGACACACATGGTGATGAGTGTTTAGATACCTCACTAAAATTGTATGAAGAAATTATAGATACATTTTTTTTCCCCACCAATCTCGATACACTAATTAAGTATTTTAAAGGACTAAGAAATGAAAGGATCGCTTGGGGTATCTATAAATGGATCACCCTGTACTACTGTTACACATTATTTTGGCCCAACTGTTTAACGTCACCATCCAAAGCTGAAAAGTTACTTGCAAACTACTCCATCAGCATAATACAAAGCAACAATCACCCTGAACTGTAACACGACTGCAAGGCGCTGTAAAAATGACGCAAATACCAAATGTAATAAATTATTGGTTTACAACGGTCCTCTGCATGCGTGGTGCACAGAAATTAAAACAGCATTACTTGACCAAGGCTGGGCCGTCGCCGTCCCTTGTCTTCCTTCTTAATCTCTGTTGATTCGTTAAATATGCGCAGGCACTCCTCCATCGGATCAGACTCCTCAAAGTCCATCTCCGACGCAATGGCGGCATAATCAATTTCATCATCATCATCATCGTCGTCATTGTCGTCGCCGTCACCACCATCGCTGTCGTCAATGTCACTCTCGACACCGCGGATCGGTGAGGTGAGTTTTGGCCGCTTGAGATGACCCCCAATGCTGCCGCTGCTGCTCGGCAGGGGACGTTTTAACGACTTGGACACCAAACTCGCAGTGGAAACAGAGGCCACGCTCTGATCTTCGTCCTCGCTGTCATCTCCAAACAGGTCTTTCTGAGTGATTTTATTTCGCTTCTCCTTGGCAGGATTACGCGTGGGCAAATTTACGGCGGGTTTATCTTCTTTATTTCCGTCCTTTCTCTTTTTGCTGGCTTTGTGACCTCTCTCTGTGCCACCGCCATCCTTGTGTGGCTTCAGTGCAGAGTCTTTGCCCTGGCGTTGGTTGTCATGGCTCCTACCTTCCTTTTCCGAGCTACTGCTTTTCCTTTCCTTCTTGTCTCTGCTTTTTAAATGAGGCTTTCTGTCTTTGCTGGAGTGTTTATGTTTATCATCATCCTTTGCTTTAGTTGCGTGAACGGTTTCACTTTTTTTATCGTTTGTGTCACCCTTGGAAGCTTTGTTTTTTTCTGTTCTCACTGTGCTATTACTCGAGCTATGAGCGCTCTCAGAGTTTTTGTGCTTGTCGCTTTTGTTGTTTGAACCCTTATCCTTATCGCCTTTGGAACTGCTACATGATTTGTCCTTTGAGGAAATCTTAATCTCTTTAGTTTTTAAAGACCTACTCTTTTCTACTTCCGCCCCTTTACTCAATCCGGGATTTTTTTCTAATTTAGAACTTACTTTTATCTTATCAGTCAACTTGGAGCTACCAGAGCTGGTTTGTTTTTCAAGAGGGCTCTTATCTTTTATCTTCCGATCAGCTTTTAACCTGGAATGGTTTTCCTTCTCCTGTACTTTTCCTGAATTGTCGTCATCTCCCCTGCTGAGCCCCCCGATCCCGCACTGCACGGCGATTTCCCTCAACACCGGCTCCGCTCGCTTCTTCACCTTGACCTTTCGGACAACACCCGACTGCGGAACCTCCTTATTGCTGCTGGAATCCCCATTGTCGTCAGCGACCACGGCAGCACCGTCATCATCACCATCATTGTCATCCTCGTCACTAAACTGACATGGAGGCCCCTCCACTGGTGCGGCGCCGAAGGGGGAATTGTCCCCCATGCCGTTACTGGCCGGGGTCGCGACACGTGCATCTTTAGGCGAAGGCTCATAAGAGACTGTGTCAGCCGCGCGGCTGTCAGACGACCGATGTCTCTTCTTCTGCTGCTTGGAGTCGCTCTCTTTCTCCGGAGTGAACATGGAGGTGAAATTCATCAGCGGGTCATACTCCATGTTGCTGGTGGGTTTTTTGATATCGACCACGTACTTGTTTGACGGGGCAACCTGCTGGGTGCAGGCAACCACCTTGGGCACATAATGGCTGGGGTCTTCATCTCTCGGGCTGTCCAACGTGTACTTCGTTCGGCCCTTGGCGGTGATTGGCGTGGGGTTATATTCCACGGTCTTTGACAGCGAAAAATCCGCGGGATCGTACTCCAGAGCAGCCGAACGAAAGGAAACCTCGTTATTCTTCAGCAAGTCGCTCCCGGCGGTGAAACCCACATGCTTGGGGCCAAAAACGTTTCCACGCAAGAGTTCTGGGCCCACGGCTGTGGGATCATACTCGTCCACCGTGCTTGAGTGAGCGGCATAGGTCAGCTTTCTGTCCTGCAAGCAGCGCGACAACTTTTGTTTCTCCTGCTCCATGGCATTCTTGACGGCCTCGATGGCGCGCGTGACCGCCTCCAGGTCATCGGCTTGGGTCGCCACGACATTCCGAGCCGGAAGCTTCTCCAGGAGGCCGGGGTGGCTCGGGTCATACGCATCGTCTGTGGCCACAAACAACAGTTAGCAAGTACCACTGCAAAGGTTTTCGCGTTTGTGCTGTATAGCTCTCCGATGTGTTTTTTAATTGTACTGAATGTTGTGTTTAAAATCCTCTGGTTCAGTAATACCATCTCTGGTCTGAAGATATATATATAGAATGTGATTAAATACAAAAAATACAGGAAATAGCATAATCAAAGAGACCATACAGCTACGAGGCCCAAAATTTCCGATTTACCTTTTGATTCAGTTTTTGATCCTGGAACTTCCGCAGCTGAGAAGCAAAGCAGAAAATCAACATAACATGGAGTTAATATGACCATCAGGAGTGTGGACTCATTATATGCTCCTGTTCATGATAGACTTAACAAGTGCAAAATGCAACTTCAGGTTATCAATGCACTGCATGTACTGACTTCTGAACACTCACAGCCAACTTTGGCATGAGACCGTCCCTGCATGTCAGGAAAGGTGCATTCTTAAAGGTACAACCGTTAAAGGCTCAAGATTTCAACGTGTGGCTGAAGTTTCACCATAACCCTCACTCTGTATGGAATCATCACTCTCACCCTTGCTCTCATCTTTAATCACCACACACAAACCCACAATCCTAGCCCTCACCAATAATCTAATCACAACTTGCCCTAAACACCATCCACAGCCTACATCCATTCACCATCCTCACCCCAATTAATTTAACCTTCACCATTATCCTCACCCCCACACTTTAACCACCACATCCTAGCTCCTCACCATCTCATCATCATCTGCCTCACCCCACACCCTGCCCCCATCATCACCATCGTGCTCACCCCACACCATCTCCCCATACAACCACCCCTTCACTACTCTCATCACCACCATCGTGACCCTTCTCACGACCATCACCGCCATCCTCACCCCTCTCACCGTCAGCACCACCACCCTCTTTCACCAATTCCACCACCATGTTCTCCAAATACAAAGAACCCCCGTATAGCATTTAACTGACTGTAGGAGCAAGACATTGCTGTTAGCGAGCATCTATGATTAAGGCCGGCACCGCAAACGAGGGAGTGGGTGGCCAGCACAACTCCCGGCCGCCTTTGTATCCCCAGTGGCGATATTTACACACCGCAGCAGGTACTCATTTGAGGCCGAGTCAACCTAGCGAAGGCCCAGGAACGGTTCAGATATTCGTCACCAGTGTTGCCCGTGAGCGGGAATCGAACTTGGGTCGCTCTCCTCACACCCCGTCCCCACCACCACCTCCTCATCACCGTGCACCCTCTCCCTCACCTCGTCGCTCGCTGCCCGCTTTGTTTCGCGCCGACCTCGGGTGCTTGAAGTGGCAGTGCGGCCTTTGGCATCGCGCCTCGGCGTAGAAGGGGCAGTCGAGGCTCCGGAAGTATCCCGTGGAGGGCAGCATCGTCCCGGCGCACTGGTGGTGGGGGGAGGCGATCGGGAACCGAGTCCCGGTCCCTCGAACCTTAAGACCAGACACCCCCCACTCAGCCCAGGACTGGACACGCCGCGGTGGCTTTCACCCCCGCGTCCCTTATCCTCCCAGACCGGGTCCCCTTAACTCCAGAATCCCTACTCCGCCTGCGCCGGGTCCCCCTTGAACCGAGGGCCCCCCTTCTTCTCTCCCTAGACCGGGTCCCCTTAGACTGGAGGAGCCCGGCTGGTCGCCTTCTGTCGTGGGAGAGGTCTCGTCACCCCTCGACCACCGGACAAAGCTCCGTGTGGACCTCCTCCCCTCCTGCTAACCGGGCTCTCCTCAAGCTCGAGGTCACCTCTCCTCTGGACGCGACTGGGCCGGGCACCGAGCGTCTTCCCTGGCTGGGTCGGGCAGGGTCGGGCAGGGTCGCTCCCCCACCCCGGGGGTCGCCCCGATCACCCCCGGGTTCGCTCCCCTCCGAGCTTCGTTCCCGGCGCCATCGCCATTGCTCCTCCCGCTGTGTTCCCGGACGTGACGTCAGGGGGGGGGGACTTCCCGGCAGGCCCTGCGGCGGTTACCCGGGGCGACCGCGATTGTGATGATGAAGATGATGAGGAGGAGGAGGCTACACTCGAATTAGTGATCATCAGTGGCACAAAGCCAACACCCCTGCCTCACCATTATTAGTGATCATCAGTGGCACAAAGCCAACACCCCTGCCTCACCATTATTAGTGATCATCAGTGGCACAAAACCAACACCCTTAGTGATCATCAGTGCCACAAAGCCAACACCCCTGCCTCACCATTATTAGTGATCATCAGTGCCACAAAGCCAACACCCCTACTTCACCATTATTAGTGATCATCAGTGGCACAAAGCCAACACCCCTGCTCTCACCATTATTAGTGATCATCAGTGCCACAAAGCCAACACCCCTACTTCACCAGTATTAGTGATCATCAGTGGCACAAAGCCAACACCCCTACTTCACCAGTATTAGTGATCATCAGTGGCACAAAGCCAACACCCATACTTCACCAGTATTAGTGATCATCAGTGGCACAAAGCCAACACCCCTACTTCACCAGTATTAGTGATCATCAGTGGCACAAAGCCAACACCCCTACTTCACCTGTATTAGTGATCATCAGTGCCACAAAGCCATGTCAACACTCCCGCTTAACTGCCTCGCCTGGTATGAAAGGTCGTGGGTTCGATCCCGACGCTGACGATGCCTGCTGCTGTATATTTGGAGTTTGCGTGTCTCTTCCACGTGGTGAGATGTTAACTACCTCATCTGGTATACAGGAGGTCGTGAGGTCGATCCCGACCCTGATGCCTGCTGCTGCATATTTGGAGTTTGGGTGTCTCTCCACGTGGTGAGATGTTAACTACCTCACCTGGTGTACAGGAGGTCGTGAGGTCGATCTCGACCCTGATGCCTGCTGCTGTATATTTGGAGTTTGCGTGTCTCTCTCTCCACGTGCTCGCGTTGATTTGTCTCCGGGTGCTCCGGGTTTCGCCTCCATATTCAGAAACACGCGTTTAGAGTAAATGACCGCTGTGCATTTCCACATGATAAGCCTCTTGGTTGAGCTATAATTTGTGACAGAGGTCGCTTCTGAAAAAAATATAGAGAGCTCAGTGGACCTTACCTGGTAAAATAAAAACAATGTTGAGTAGATTCCAAATTTCTGTCTAGAGTAATTGGTGTGGTGGACTCTTGGGAGGGATGAAGTTATTAAAATTGATCTTTACGCTCACCATACGCGTAAGCAGTAGATCATTACATTTTCATCGCATAACTGCATTTTCACGATTTACAGTCACAAGTGAAGACTTTTAAAATACATTTTGGTAAATGTAGCGACCATTATAGCGGAGGTCAAGTTATTAAACAACATACAACCATGTATCTCAAAACCTCGAGTCTAACCTTGTGATGGATGCATGTAATAAAGGGCTTAAGAATCGATTAAACGGCCTTCGTGACCAGTGCAACCACAAGAGGCCGCTACATTCACCGCCATACCAAATGTTTTTTTTTTAATCAAATTGGGACCCCCCAAATCGTGAGAATTCATCGCATGCCGAGGTGAATCTTAACCCCAGACATGAGGGTTTCCAGAACGACTAAACGGACTTTCTTGGGCGAGGACATGCACATTTAGGAGCGATTCCATGTGTATGTGAACGCTCATACATTAAGGAATTATATGGCCTAGCGGTGGTAGTGCACATTTGCCGTGTTGTAGAGATTCACGGTTCGATACAGCGACCGCCCTGATGAATACTGCAGGTGTATTAACCATTAACATTTTATTTTAGCAGTTAAGACCCACTAGGATCGTTTTTTTCACAAGCGACCTGGCCACCAATGATAGCTGAACGAAGTGGCTTCTCATGTGGATATGTATAGCAGCCAAATACTCAACGCATATTTCTAATATGTAAGCGCCGTCCGCTTCAGTGGACGTTAAAGACCTTGTAATGCCATGGTTACATGGTCTTTACACATTGTCGCTTCCTACTTCACACACTTGCCAGGATCCTCCTGAAAAGTCGTGAATCTTTAACCGAGCAAACAAGCGTATACATAAAAAAACACAATTATCAAGTTTATTATGTTATACTTGGTAAATTTGCAATTTGTGACATTATTCCAGAAATGCGTTAAATAACTTGTATCAGTTTTGTATGTGTAATGAGATGTTAATTTAAAACGTAGGCTTTCGCGACCAATGTTATCCATAAGAGGAATTATGGGTTTAAATCGTGTAAATATAAATGTTAAAACCGCTACCACCCGACACAAAGCCAATTAGCAACGAAATGTCATGTTTTGTTTATGTGGCACACCTTACTCATTTTCAGTGTCGGGTGGTGGCGGGTTTAACGACACATGTACGCGATCGAACCCAAAAAAAACCTCTCGTGAAAAATACGTAAATTGTCGAGGACATTTGTGACTACTCTGGAAGGTCTATCTGGCGACTGATTCGGTTGGCGAATTTAAAATGTTAACGAGTCGACCACCCTGGACCCACGACATCGCACGGCAGAGGGCGCGCTCGTCACGTGGAACGACTTTCGCAGCGTTTACAGAGAAGAGATAAAGGAGGCGACAAGCGTGGGGGGGGGGGGGGGGCAAACCACCACTTCAGCCTTTATTCTGTAGACTTCAATAAATACACGCACATCATCAGTGCTCTGCGATATACATAAAACCACGTGGCCATCAAAGAGGTGGCCCCTTTCCAGCCAGCTCTTCAAGAAAGGGGGGGTGGGGGGGGCAAACATCAAGTCAAGTCAGCCTCCGAAGCCGGCTTCACGATCGCTTTGCTTCTGCAGGTTAAACGCTTCAACGATCCGACAAAAAAAAACACCCGCGCTAGTCTGACCTCTGCACTTGCAAAGTGTTGGTATTAGGGTTGCTACTTTATCCTGGTTTTTGCCCAAGATCGTCCTATTTTTCGAGGTAGCTGTCCTAGGAAATTCTGTAAGTCTTCCCACAATACATTATATTTTCATATACGTGTAATATTTCCACTCTTTCGCTATCGTTAGGCATTCTTTGCATTATATTTCCCGGGTTGGTAGATGACTTCTGTGAATTTGGACATATACCTCCACTTTAAATAGGCTATGATCCCAAAACAATACATGACCCACATCTCCCTTTAAAAAAAAGTAATTTTGAGTATCATTGAGCTCTCACATGATTTTTGCTTCGCTTGCTTTTTTACCCAAGTAAAGCCTCACTGAATCTGAAGACTTTTTTTTAGCAGGGTCCTGCCAAATTTTAATAGTAGGCGGGGCAACGTTGTTACGTGTACTCCTAATTTTAATAATTTGCAGGTAATTTTTCAACATTTGGGATGTTCGGCCAATACGTTACATTGTATGTTTTTTTTAACTATGGGATGAAACCGGAGAACACGAAACCCATAAAGAACGGGGGAGAAAAGGGAGAAAAACAGACTCCACACTGAAAGGTACCCGAGTCGGGAGTCGAACCCAGCCCGTTCCTTTTTGCGGTGAGGCACGAGTTGTGCCATGGTGCATCCTGCCGCCCATTTTTATCCAGGATTCAAATACCCCATTAGCTGAATCCTACATCCTATTAGAAAGCAGTTTTATTTCCGAGATAATCATCGTCGAAATGTTTCAACGTCACTTTATTTGATCAAACTATTCGCGTGGGTGTGCCAGCACTGGATTTACACAAACTCTGGGCCACAGTCACTTGCGTTAAGCCCGGAGTTTATAGGCGGCCGTCATACACGCTCCGGTTCCATTGGAATTGAAACGTGCTGACGAACGTCATAAAGAAAAAAAATATTTCCGGACAAGTAAAATGTAGGAACCCTTTAAAGGACATTCATAAATAGTGCCTCTCCTTTGTAACATAAACTATAACGCAAAAGAGCATTAAAACGTCAATTATCTAGTTTGGCAGCATCGAGAAGTTGTTTACAACGGAAAGGTGCTCACTTAGTATGGCATCCTCCTGCACGAACCAACCGTTAATAAATCTGCACACAAGAAATGTGTATTTTGCAGCCTACTTTATATATACGGTGTATATTATGATAAAACAGTACCATATCATAGCAAGTAACGTGCACCGATTGAAAACTTTCTTGGGCAAAGTGGTATTGCGAAAAATCAAGTTCAGGTAAAATAAATGACTCAAACTTTGTACCTTTAAAAATTTTGATCAGTCTACCATCAATTATTTCGAAGGGTACACATACTGTACTCTGATGGGGTTTTTTTCCATGTGTCCCTCCAAATAATAATTGCTCAGCAATTTTACTCTACGTGAATATAATGTCTCACTTAAATTCATCAGCTGAACGTTGCATTCTTACATTCTTTAATACTTTCCTGCAAATTAATATCCATTAACTTTTTGTTTTTAAAAAATATAGTATCACCAAACCTAAGATAATTCACATTTTCAGTCTTGAAATGATGTCAGACAATTTCTGGGCGGAATTTTGGATCTGTTGCTCAAAGTTAAATCTATATTCTGCTGCTGACTTCGATTTTCTGTTAACCATCTTGCATATTACCTGCCATGACACATGGATAGAAAACAGACACTGACAATGAAAAGGCTTAAAAATTGTGCAAAGTAGCGTCGAGAGGGGCATGCTTGGAGTTATATTTAAGAAAAGGAGCATACTGATTAGAGAATATATGCAAGTTATAGACATCACACCAACTCTTTAAAAAAGTGGGCTTGGCAGGGCATCGATAGGAGGGATTATGCCTGATGTTTGAGACTGAGGAGGGACTGGTAGCCAAAGGAGCGAACATACTCGAGAGGAAGACCGTTGCAGAGACGGAACAGTGACATCAGCTCGTGTGCAGGACCCAGATGGTTTGTTGCATTGTGAGAACGCGAGTGATGCCGAAAAACAGAGGCCTTTAACCAGCAGTGGATAGTCCATGGCTGCTGTTGCTGCCATGTTTGATAAGTAACAACCACTTACACTGGGAGAATTTCAATAAAAATTGTATTTTTAATCTTGCACTGTTTGCATTTACTTAGAAACGTGGCAAATGAGGATAAAGTGTGAGGGCGGTTTTGTTCCTGTTCCTACAACAGGGAGCCAGAGCCGGGTAGTGAACGCACACGTGTGTGCAGGATGCCACAAACTGCACCCATTAGCAGCTGCGTCTTTGTAGTAAAAGCAGCATAGTGTGTGGGCAGACGATTGTCTACGGGGTTTACTAAAACGCTTGACACCACTCTCCCAGACAGCAGCTGAAATGTCGATAAATGCCATTTGAGTGCTCAGTATTGTACACAGCATTTGACAGACACAGCCCACTGAAGCATCAATGAAGAGATACCGTATTTTATAAGTAGCACAGCCGAATATACCAAGACGCATCCTCTCTGTAGTTGATGCCAGACTGACCGTATTATTGTGCAATCTTGAACTTATTTGTTGCTACAATTAACCTGCCAGACACAATTTTCCATAAATATACCCTGTTTGTTGGGGCTTAGCGATCGAATACAATGACAAAGGTAAACAGGACTGTCTCTTGCTAGCGTGCAACTTTTACAGTATGTCCCCAAAAATGTACACAAAAATTGCCGTGTGTTTTCAAATTTTTCAAAATCGGTTTACATTTACAAAACACGTTTTACAGGCGCCTTGCGAAGCGGAACTGCTGAAAGAGGCTCAAATAAAAGCACGTTATAGAAAAAAACGAATGGCGGGAGGTGTGCAAGTGTGCAACTGTACAATATGGGGGGCAGGAACGCTGGGAAGAGGCAAATGCCCATGGTTTGAGTTAAGGACGTCCGTTGGCGATGGCGGCGTGGTGCAGGCATACGCCCCGGAAGCACCGCCCCCGACGCTTCAGTACTCTGCCGCGTACTCCGTGCCATGCAGGCCCCGGCACAGGAGAGTGAACTCCTTCACCATCTCCTTCACTTTCCTTTTGTTCACTCTCTCCCTGCAACAAAAAAAGAGTACAATAATCTGCTTTGGTAAAGAGATACCACCGGTACAGGGCAAAAAGGAGTGGAGGGGAAACCCAGGGTGTGGTGGGACGATTATATTTTAAAACTTTTTCTTGTGCACAGCCAAATAAATAAAAGCCATATTTTCAGAAATTAAATTATCAGCACGGGGTCAGGAGGCCCGAGGCTGGTTCCCTTGAAGCATCGTTGATGTGATGGCGGCAGGGAAAGTGGGGGTGGTGGGGGAAGTGGGGGGGGGGGGTCTGGCAGCGGTCGGTTCACCTTAGAATCTGCTGCCCAAAGATGTCCTTCTGCTCATGCGTGACACGCGAGGATGGGAAGTCGGGTCGCGCCATGGCTTCCTTGAGCCACAGGGGCAGGTACGCGAAGCAGTGCTTGTTCACACAGAACAGCACCTCCGCAAAGTTGTCCATGAGGTTACGGGGAGCCTGGCCGCCAATCGCCTGTGGCACACGACAGCAATACAACAACAGCAGCGAGCAGTGGCGGCCTAAGTCACTACCTCTGCAATGCTATGGGTTTTGTTAATTAATTTCAATTGCCGAATTCACAACACAGCCACAGGCCATGATTTCATCATTACAAAAGCGCAAAAAATCCCACCACCTCTGTCTTGGCATCTGCGAATAATGTTGTGACAATAAAATTAATATATCCCACAGCCGACATCTCATTTGCGTAGCCAGGACATTTTTTTCAAGTTAAAATAAAAGCTAAGTAGTACCACGATAGATTATTTTTTTTCCTCTACAGTACGATAACTTCGGTGGCATTTTTGGTGCCATGTCACCACTGCAAAGCAGAAAGAGCGAGCCAGGAACCTGTCAATTAATCGCTTTTGTAAGCCATCCATTCATAGGTGTCTAGAGTAAGCAATTCATAGGTGTCTAGAGTACAACCAACGAATTACCCCATTGAATGTGCTTAGTCTGCCCTGCAGGTCAGCTCACACAATCTCAAAAAACTTTTACTTGCAAACCAGAAAGGAGAAATTGTTTAGCCGAGTACTGTTGTATTGGTCATACTCATGCTATTTTTGCGTCTCGAGTGATAAGGAAAATGTCAGACATCAACAATTCAACAGCGTGGTTCTGGGTACTGCAGTAGCAAAAAATGTAGTTCTCAAACTCGCTTATTATCGGCTTGTTTTGGCACGGGCTGCAACACCTCGCTACCTTCCTCAGGGGTTTGAGGCAATGCCATTCTTTGTCCCAGCAACCCCTTTTTACGTGCTTTTTTTGACCAATTGCAGCGAGTCAAAAGCATCACGTGATTCCGCTCCTTCGCAAAGGCGGAGAGGCTGTGGTGCCGAGATGCACAGCGGGAAGCGGCGCGTCTCACAATCCGTCGCGTACCTCCAGCACCGTCTGAAGCAGGAGGCGCCCGTTCTCGTGCACCACCTGCCCGATGGCCGACACGGTGGCGCAGTGCGGCAGCAGCTCCGTCTGCGGCGCAGCACAGAGGCATCGGCACGCGTGGATGCGCGTCAACCCCCACCGCATCCCACGGCCCTCACAGCCGTACTCGACACCGACAGAGGTGCCGATACGTCGAAAAACACTAGACCGGCTTCTGCTCGGGAGGCAGCAGATGCCGTTGCCTGGTGTGTACATTTTGGCATATAAACAGACAAATTTATTTTGTCCCAGTGCAGCTGGAGGCTTTTCGAACGTGTGAAAAAAGACTTATCAATTATTCACGAGCATTTCTTCCCTGTACACACATTTGTTTGAAATAAACAAGCTGCCTTGCACACAGCGATGTGCAGTGACATGTTTTTTACATGCACGATTCCCAATGCATACGGGATTTGTTTATAAAGCCAATGAATTCGTAATATTTTTTCATTCCTTATTCGTTTTTTTTTACATGTTAAGAAATTATTACGCACCATTTAATGTAGACGTTTACATAGCTGCGAGTAACACTTTAATATTTTAGTACCGCGTGTACTCTGCACAACATTTAAAATGTTCTTTTCAACTAGATGTCATAACCATCAGATTAATAGCACACATTGCAACCACGGTCAGGCAAAGTTTGTGAAATCCAACTTTAGGATTAAGTTTAGTTTACATTTAAATCCTTTCCTCTGAATTAATCTGACGGCATGATGCTGTCCTTCCATTCCTTTCTGTATTTCAAAAATAGTGTGGGTCCACAAACATTCAGTAGACATAATACCCAAAAGCCTGCATGGGCCTACTTACAAAAAATCCACAGGCCGATTTCACAGTGGGACCCTCGGGGAACTTGAGGGAAATGAGACCTGAATAGGAAATGAGAAGTATTAGTCAGACGGTGAATATTTCATAACACGTGCCTGCGCGCGTTCACAAACATGCAACAAAGACGAAGATGTCGAGTCTCAAAGACTTACAGTCTGCTGTTAAAAAGCACCTATCAAGGCCATAGTGAGCACATAAGGGCGTGGTGGGGGATAGAACTGTGCAATGTCTGGGCCATCTTTGTCTTCCCAGTGCTGCCGTTCGTACAGCGCACCGCGTGCTCTTTCTATGCTTTTATACTGTTACGATTCAGCACCCAGGTTATTCCATGAATTTTCATGATTATATTATATGCAATACTAAATACAAAAATGTACACTGGTGTGAAAGTAGCGGCCACTGGATGGTTGCAGGGCTAACATGAATGCATTACATACAACATATACGAATTGAACAGCATTGTTTCTTACACAAACGATTCGATATTGCGAGCTTAACAAAGCACATTGTTGTGCTTCAATGAGTTAAAAATTCAAACACAACTGAAACCGGAAGCGAGGTTGGTGGGTATAAACATGGGGCCTCCCCTTCTTGGCTGTGATTAGGCATGGCTGTACTCACCACACTGGAACAGTGCTTTGATGTCGCAGTTGTCTGCAACCACCACATCTGGTTTTTTCCTTAGGGCCTAAAGAAAGCAGATGTATCCCGGGTAATTGTGTGCACAACATCACGTTCGAACAGCTGGTTTCTGGCTTAACACGCTGGACCATTAGTAACAAGGTGATGCGTCCGGGAGGACATCCTACCGAGAAGATGGGAGTGATGAAATCAGCCCGGTGTGCAGGGCGCTTTGCGGATTTGCTGCATCGCAGAATCGTGGGAGACGGTGAAGGCCTTCATGAATTGATCGTTGGCAGTTGATAATGGTGAGAACGACATTGGGAGGGTGGCAAAAATGTTGCTTGCAAGGACTAAAAATAACTCGGTGCAAGATCCTAATCGCATTCCGACTGACCGCGTACAAGTCAGTAACCAGACGGGACAAACACTGAGAAGGATCAGGCAAACGAGGAGAGCCGGCCGAGGTGACGCGAGTTGGCATACCCTACGACCATTGCGGTTAAAGGGAGAGACGAGCGAGGGTGAAGACAAACACGTATGGTGCACGGCCGTGTTGGTACCTGCGAAAGAAGCTGCATGAAGGAGTCCACGATATCCGGATGATCCCGGGGACCTGGCACAAATGAGTAATTGTTCGCAAGCCACATTAATAGTGTGTCGCCCCTCCCAAACTCGCGTACTTCGGCTCGATGCATCGGCGCTGCGAGGTAATGCACGTGTTTAACGTTTTGCCGATTTACATTTTAATAGGCCCCAAAATAACCTTTTACATTGACAGTTTAATTAGGTGGTAGCGGCAACTTTAGGAGATGGTGGAACACCCAAACACACCACGAGCCACGGTAATTTTAACGAAAGCCTCAGATTGGCGGCAAACGCGCATCCCTTCTATAATTCTCATCAGTTCCACTCGGATGAAACAAAATAAAAAAATAAGCAATTTAAACGAGATCATTAAAATCACATAAAATACCCAACCACATGGGTGTACATAATAATGAGCCTAAGATGTGTTTGATAAGGTTTTTGTTACATGTGTGCAAAATTACTTTTCACAATTTAATTAACATTGTTTATTCACATTAGGACACAGATCAAACATTGCTTTTAATTTGGAAAATCCTATCGCAGCAGAGCGATGCATCTTGGAATCTTGGAACCAAAGTGGCACCCCCCCCCCCCCTCAGACCTTCAAGAGATAACTGTGATAGGTGCTTTTGATCGCCACAATTTTGACTCCAATTGTCATCTGTTTGGTGTGCCTGTAAGCCAACGCTGATTACGTGCGCTGCAGGGAAAAGCAACAAAAAGCTTCATCTTCTGGCTCATCTCGCAAGGACACTCAAAGAGAGGGGACTAACAGATGCCCATCACTGAGGGTATCAATACTGGAGAGGTTGTATTGGATAATCACCAAATCACCTTGGATACATCCAATCTCCTTGGTATCTCAGAAGCTAAGCAGATTTGAGTCTGGCTAATATTTGGAAGGGTGACCTTGAGTGAATACCAGGCGTTGTGGGCATAGAATCAGAATATTTATTTATCCTGGAGGAATCCGATAAGCGACGAAGCGCTTTTTCACAGATGCCCAGTCAGGGTGGGTCAGCAAGTTACAACAAACAACACAGAAAACGACAGGAATGCAAAATAGAGAGACGTTAAGCAAGTCACTAGAAATAAACACAATATCAAGTTGTGAGGTGACCAGAAAAAGATTGACACGGCAATGGAATCAGCCCACACTTGATTCAATGGATTAGATTAATTGTTGTTCTTCCCCCGCACCCTCCGATTAGCACGGTTGGCTACGCACGGTGCGAAAGACCATCTGCGGATTAAATCTATCTGCGCAGGAATTTGAGTGGCAGCCCCTTGGAAGCAGGGGGTTTTCTCCAGGTGCTCCAGTTTCCAGATACAGGCCTAACGCTCCAGAAGCCCGCTGAAAATTAGTCTTAAAACCCAGTGAGGCGTCTCTGAATAAAGGGCATTCTTATAGACGAGTCTCACAATTTGACGATCCATTAAGGCTTTCCCGAATGCTAGAGGCATCGTTATACCGGGGAGCACGAACCTCTGTGGAATATCGTGAGAGTGCAGGCAGCCATGTGCAGGAACAGAGCCTTCACAGTTGGGTAGTAGACAATGTCCTTGCAGAAGATGAGCACCAGCTGTGCGGGGGGGGTAAAGGCAAACACAAAACCACCATCTGCTTCATCCAGCAAAGTGGACAACACTCCCGAAGCCAAAACGGTTTAAACTGCGCACCCAAGGAAATGTCACCATCGCCAAAGCAAGCACGGTCACAGTTAAAGCAACAGCAACAAAAAACTTGCATATTTAATACAAGCGCAGAAATTCAACGAGATGCGATCGAATCAGAACAAATATCATCCAGGTGTCTGTAAACGTCCCCAAGACAAAGCACAAAGCGTCAGTTGGTGCCCACACGCCGTCCACCTTCGGGGGCGGCCAAGTTTGGCTCATTAGGCGCGGGGTCCCGGCCCCCCGTTCTTTAGCCGTGACGGGCAATTTGGCGACGAGGCAGCGGTGGCGTCTGACCTCTCGCGTGAGCTCCAGCGCGGAGGCCTGAGGGACGGTGCTGTACATCTGGCCCAGCATCTCCGACAGCTGGGGGATCATGGGTCCAAAGTCGTCGAGCAGCGTCTTCACCGACTTGATGAACACCGTGCACACGGCCTGCGGAGACGAGGGGCACCGCGTGAGCGGTTTTGCGAGGCAATACGTTTTCTTGTTGAATCATAAAAAAAATATATTATTTAGGCCAAGCAACCAAATAATTTTTTTTTTTTACAAAGTATTAGGGGCGAGGCTGCTGCGTTGGGAGTGGTGCACGAGGGCAAATAAAAAACACAAAACATTTCTCAATAACACTGCCTTCAGAGGAAAAAATATATAATCGGCGACGTTTCAGGAAATAACCCTTCATGGAGTACCTAAAATGTGAAGCATATTACGTGCTATAGAAAAGGCCCATTTCCTGAAATGTCATCCATTATATTTTTTTCAAGTTTTACTTAACTTGATTCCTGTGTCGTGGTCAAATCTTGTAATCAAAATTTACTCTACTTCCTGTTGTCCAATCAATTAAAAATTTTGCACACACACTCAGATCCGGTGACAATGCATGCCTGTATCAAAATCGGCATCAAGTAATCAATTAATACGCTACTTTAAAGCAATTTACATTTTGTATGGACGCCTTATTAGATTTGTGTAGGGAAAAAACGCCACGGTCCCTAAACTCTCGAATCGCCTCGCCCAAGAAGCAGGCGCCACGTGTCTCAGGCGCGCCAGCTCCGTGTGAACAAGTTACGGAAGTAATTAATTCAAGTAAGCGTTGATGTGGGGGGAGCAGGCGCCGCATCATTGATGTACTTCTCGACTGTCAGTTAAACGAAGTTGCTAATAAAACCGTCTAAAAAAAACTTTTTTTAAAGGAGTTTATTCCTTTTAAGGCATAGTTTTATTTACAAATGTGTAATTTTTTCACGTATTTAAAAGTTCAAATTGTTTGTCATTGTTACTTTCTAAATTAAAACAAAATATTTTTAACTGCAACAGACACCGATCGCTCTCCCCGTCTAGACTTAGAGGCTCGTTTGTGCGCTCGTTGCCGTGTAACAAAGAAAACTCCGCAGTTCGTCGATACGCCTTTCTGCGGGGCATTCTCTAAATCGTGAGACCGATGCATCGTTCTGCGTGGCATTCTCTAAAGCGTGGGACCGATGCATCGTTCTGCGGGGCATTCTCTAAAGCGTGGGACCGATGCATCGTTCTGCGTGGCATTCTCTAAAGCGTGGGACCGATGCATCATTCTGCGTGGCATTCTCTAAAGCGTGGGACCGATGCATCGTTCTGCGGGGCATTCTCTAAAGCGTGGGACCGATGCATCGTTCTGCGTGGCATTTTCTAAAGCGTGGGACCGATGCATCGTTCTGCGTGGTAATCTCTAAAGCGTGGGACCGATGCATCGTTCTGCGGGGCATTCTCTAAAGCGTGGGACCGATGCATCGTTCTGCGTGGTAATCTCTAAAGCGTGGGACCGATGCATCGTTCTGCGTGGCATTTTCTAAAGCGTGGGACCGATGCATCGTTCTGCGTGGTAATCTCTAAAGCGTGGGATCGATGCATCGTTCTGCGTGGCATTTTCTAAAGCGTGGGACCGATGCATCGTTCTGCGTGGTAATCTCTAAAGCGTGGGACCGATGCATCGTTCTGCGTGGCATTCTCTAAAGCGTGAGACCGATGCATCGTTCTGCGTGGCATTCTCTAAAGCGTGGGACCGATGCATCGTTCTGCGGGGCATTCTCTAAAGCGTGGGACAGATGCATCGTTCTGCGTGGCAATCTCTAAAGCGTGGGACCGATGCATCGTTCTGCGGGGCATTCTCTAAAGCGTGGGACCGATGCATCGTTCTGCGTGGTAATCTCTAAAGCGTGGGACCGATGCATCGTTCTGCGTGGCATTCTCTAAAGCGTGGGACCGATGCATCGTTCTGCGAGGCATTCTCTAAAGCGTGGGACCGATGCATCGTTCTGCGTGGCATTCTCTAAAGCGTGGGACCGATGCATCGTTCTGCGTGGCATTCTCTAAAGCGTGGGACCGATGCATCGTTCTGCGTGGCATTCTCTAAAGCGTGGGACCGATGCATCGTTCTGCGTGGCATTCTCTAAAGCGTGGGACCGATGCATCGTTCTGCGTGGCATTCTCTAAAGCGTGGGACCGATGCATCGTTCTGCGGGGCATTCTCTAAAGCGTGGGACCGATGCATCGTTCTGCGGGGCTTTCCGACGGACGCTTTGTGTCGTTGCTCCGCACCGATAGCGCGATAGGGAATAAAGTTAGGAAAGAGGCAATAAATATTTAAGTAAAAATACCTGTGGCAACTTAATAGGTAAGGAAATTACATACGATATTGAAAATATGTTTGGTAGCTCGGCCTAGAAGAGATTTTCAGGATACAATAAGAAATGTAAGCTTAACATGTCAGGAATGATGAAAACCATGTCTTAGTTGCACCTTTTGTTTTGCATTGTTGAACTTGGTTCTTATGTTTCACGTTCAAGATAGTTACGTATACTGGACCTCCCAAAACAGACTTAACGCTATGTAATGGAAATATAAATGTTGCAATTACGCAAGCAATTTGTTGTCTTGTGGGACGGCTTGCGTAATGAAACTGCTGTTAAATCACAATTCCTCAAACGTGGGAGGAATTTGTTCGGTAACACCAATTTGTGTTTGGAAGCAGATTATGACGATTCTTTTTTTAATCACGCCTACCTCCCATTCACGAAACACACACGTACGTAGGAGGCATTCATTCGCATCCAAACTCCACGAACATTATTCTTGCAGTGGGGCACGGTGCTACTCGTGGATTTCCCTTGCACCAAGCCTGGCACGATGCAACTGTCGGAATGTTAACAGTGGAGTTGTCACCCTTAGGTGTTAGGGAACATCGAGTACCACTTAGATGCACTCTGCTATGCCCTTGACAAGGCTACGCCCTACATCTGCCAAACGTTAGGGAAAGGGGAGGCGTCGATGTTTATTTTTCCCTTTCTTATTCCAATTGTTATCAACATCGTGTCATCATCGTTGTCAATTCACTGCTGGATGAATGCCTCTCGGAGCCACCACTTCTTCCCACAATCCTGCAATGTTATAATCCACTTAGCACCTGCACACAAACCGATTTTAGAATCATGTCATGTGGACAAAAATAGATTTCGAGCTATTGAAACAGCAATGCAACCACATGTGTTTGGCAGTGGCCCGTAGTAGCAAATTGACTTCTGAGATCCCTTCAAGTGACCGTTTTGTTATCCACACATGAGTGCGGCACTTTCCTATCCACCCTGCTATCGAGATATGATTGTAGCGTGGCAGTAAAATATATTTTTAATTCTAGGAACTGGAAATCAGCCAAAAAGAATGAACAAGAGAACGAAAACCATTAACATTATCACTATGTGTTGGGTGGATTGTTACACATCGCAGGACCTTGAGCAATCGTGATGGCTTGGGAAGGCCTTTACCAGTGGATTGAGCGTGACTGATGATGAAAGAGTGATACGGTTTGAAGAACCAAGTCAATTCGCGGGTGGCTAAAATCCGGATTCGAACCCAGGATTCTCAGCAATGAGAGCTCTTTGATCTGACCCGAGCCACCCCGTCACCTGCAATAGAATGTTTATAATTCACGTTCCTGCAACACCAGATCAGAGGAAATGTTTAAATTATAAAAGAAACTGCTCGCGAATCGACGCGGCCAAGGGAAGGGCCGCGCATTTCGCTCGATTTAAATTTAGGAAGCAGAAAAACAGCAACGACGGACCCCTGCAACATTGTCTCACCGCAAAGGGCGAACACAAGCGCCGCCGCTGAGATTGATCCGAGTGCACCGTGGGCCCGTTCCCCGCAGTGCAATCAGACCACTCACGGCACGGGCGCCGCTTACTTACCTGCCCCAACTCCTTATCATCCATCAGGCCGGCGCGCGCAGCCGCCGCAAGCACTAATGAAGAGTGACTTCACTTCACCGAGCCTCGCCAGCCAAGTCGGCAGCGGGGACCCGCAGCTGAGCAATAGCAGCGCTCCCTCGCCTCAATAACGAAGATTGCGGTGTTATTTATGTTTTTAAACGTTTAAACAGGCAAGTGACCGAGAGCCTTACCAACAACTCACTCACGTACCACTAACAAGGGCGACGGGGTAAGCTGTTTTGGCAGCTTCCTCCACTGAGGACGGCTCTGCGGCCTTGGTGAAAGCAGAGCGGAATTCGCATCCTGGTGCCGACGATGTCTCCAGAGCACCAGCTATGCCACATCAGCACCGCGAGAGCCCGGTGCCCGACCAATGTCCACCCCGCGGGGTCAGACCTTTAACCAGATTCGCTCACCTCCACCACGTGGCTGTCATTGATCCACTTCGCGAGGAGCTTCTGCACCAGCTGGAACACCTGCTGGAGCACTACGACCACCTGTAATGGCGCGCGCACGCACAGACAGCAAGCAAGGCCGGCGCTTTACCGCACGCCGCGTGTCAGCGGCACAGCAGCAGCTGTCCCGGAGCCGCACTGGGGGGGGGGGGGTGTTGCCTTGAAGGTCCGATTTGTGGTTTAAAAAGGGTCAAACTGAAAATAACGGCAACGATGAGGAGCAATGTCAGCCCCACAACGTGACACCACGGCTCAATCGAGTGATGTGGAGCGTGGTCGAGCCCCAGTGGGATGGACAACATCGAGGAGCTTCATGCAAAGCCATAAAAAACGCCAGCATTCGAGCTCCCATTTTCACGTTGCACGGCTCTAAGAGGATATTTCACAGCGGCCTTTAAACCTTAACTGCTTTGGTTATAAATTGTTTCGTAATTATAATATTTTATATGGTGGTAAAGCAATTAAGAGTGAATAATTACCACTCTTGGCATTTTGAAAAAGGGGGTCATTTTGATTTACTCAGCTTTTCTAGGAGACATCCACTTTATAATGCTTGAATAAATCGACAAAATTGAAATTAGGTTTTTCAAAAGACTCTTAATGAAGCCCGTGCTGCCGGTATGAATACAAAACAGCTGCTTTAGAAGTAGTTGCCCTGGGGAACTCTGCATTTATAAGGTGGGCTTTTTTTGGGGAACTGTAATAAAACAATGTAACGCCTTCTCTACCACCCCCGGTGGTCACACGTATCCCTCCTCGCTGGTGCTGTACGTGAATCCATCAACTCGAATTCGCCAGCTTCCTTTGCTTAATAATTAAACTACGATGGTAATGGCAATCCCATGGAGACTTACAAAAGACCCAAATTGACGCGTCAAATTTTGAACAAGGCCCATTACCTTTGAGATGTGTTAATGAGCCCAAGGGTGCGTGCGTGCACACACAAAGACAATGGAAATGGTAGCGGAGGTAAAGGATGGCTCCGTTGTCACACGAATGCACCGCAGGGCTGTTCAATGAACATCGCGAGCGCTGCTCACTTTCCATACCACTGACCCTCCCCCTCCAGGGCGACGTCAACCTTCCTCCTTCCCTAGCCTCATAGGTCCAGACACCCCGAGCCAACCCCCCCCCCCCCCATCACGATTGATAGACCTTCTGGAGGGAAAGGAGAGGATGGCGCGACAATGATCGAACAGATCTGGGTTTCGCGTCACCGTGGCGAAAAACGTCTTCGTCCACGTGGCGCTCGCGCTGCTGCGCTGCTCTCGAGTGACAACAGTCGGGGGCGGATGGGTTTTGGGGGAGGGTGGGGGCGGCCCGGGCAGAGGAGTGGGGAGAGGGCCCTTGCTGGCGCGACGATCAGCCAAATTTGAGGGCAGTGCGAGTGGCTTCCCTTCGCTCCCATCCCGCCGGATGCCCTATGTGGCGACCTCGAGGCTCAGGTGGCACGAGGTGCCGAGGTGTCGCAGCACTGCCTCCATCATTACACCCTGGAGGCAGTTGAGAACGTTTGTGATGTGCTGGAATGGTTTTTTGGTGGTTAACGTTTGATTTCCCCCCCCCACCCACTCTCTCCCCGACAATTCCAACTTTAATTGAGGTATGGATTTCTTGAAAAATCAGATTTTGTAATTAAAAGTCACATCTAAGTTCACCGGCCATGGAACACCATAAGGGCTGTGTTCAGGCTGTAGGGCTTGCAAGGCTGACCGCACAGCCTTTGCAGGCTATGCCCAACCAATTAATCACCAGCGTTCACCTCCGATCCCGTTTGGCACATTTCAGAGTGATGTTGACAGCACGTATCCTCACCTTTACTCCCTTCCAACGCCCACCACCACCCTCCCCCCCCCCCACCTTTTCCCACAACTCTTTCTAATCCCTCGGGTACTCTCCCCTTTGCCAACTTGCTGGCATCTCTCAGTGCCCGTCCGCCCGCCCGCCCGCCCGCCCATTCTCTCCTAGCAGTCCGCCCGCCCACCCGCCGCGCAGCATGAGCGAGGATAGCAAAAATCCCCACAGGTTTCCCAACGCCGTACTTACTGGATTGGGTCCATCACCGGCCGGCTTACGCTTGGCCTCGGTCCCGTCGCGCTCGGAGTCAAGGCGACTGATATCCAAGGTGGTAAACAAATTGGACAAGAGACCCAAAATATGTATGATTGCTAGCTTACTGGATGGGTTTGGCTGCAAGGGAAGGTCATAAAAAACAAAAGCATGAGAGGGGAAAGAAAAAAACCAAAGAGAAACATGAGCAACTCAAATAAGTGTTTCAGTGCAGACAAATCAATTAAACCAAGTTAAAAAACTAACCGTCAATCAATGCAGGGAAAACATTGTCACTCAAAAATGACTAAATGTAGAAAATTTAAATCATTTTGCAAACACTTTAAAGAAAACGATTAACTTCGTAAAAATAATGCCAGTGGTATTTTAAATGATTATAAATACAAAAGAAATAACCACTTTAAAAATACAATGCAATATTAACTCTACGAAAGGAAAAAAAATTACACGCTTCTGAAAGCAGGATTAACAAATACTTGAATATAATAAACAAACGATATACTTACGTGATGCCAAAAAACACACGCACACAAACAGCAGAAACTATGAACGAAATAAGTGAATCAACAAACTGTCAAAATACTAAATGAGCACCAAGGGAACAAATAATTCAAATAATGGGGCAATCATTATTGTGGGGTGGGAGGGGGGGGAAGAAAATGTGTTAAAACCATTCCCAAGCAGCAGGAGGTATGCCAAGGATCTCTAATATGGAGCAAGGTGGAATAATCAAATGTAATGGCGGCATGGCATTCACTGCCATGCGCGTAAACATCGCACAGTTAACATGTGTCGATTTTGTTTGCAGGCACACAGTCTCAGCACGGGTGAAACCCGATTGTGCGGTTCACTCACTCAAGACGCGCTCAGAAGGCGTGCGTCCGATCGCGCTCGTTTAGGTTACGGGATGATGCATTGAAACATCGCGCAATTACGCTCTGTTTCTATTATACTAAAAAAAATCCCCACCGTTAGAGGGCTCACGCGCTCCAGGCAATGTGAAAACGCAGGGTAAAATTTGGTCATCCATCATGCTCCGCACATTCGAGTTTCTGTTTGCCATTCTACAATAACGGTCACGCGGGTTAATGTATCATGATGCCGGGCAGTGCATTTTCGCAAGCATTTGCCAAACATGTATGTGTATATAAAAATAAAAAAGCACCTCCGCACACAGGTGCATATTTGATTTTTCCCGAGGCATGCACGAATCCGTCACGTGTCACCAAGTGTGGAACATTGATCCTTTCTGACACGGGGGGGGGGGGGGGGGGAGGCATGGGGCAAGGGAGGCCATGGTGCAGCAAGCTCTAGGAAGGCATTCGGCAAGAACGGAGAGAGATGCAGGGGTGCAAGAGGAACGCGGGGAGGACGGCATGGAGGACGTCTGCTAATACTATTTCAATTACATTTCCTGGCGAGCTTGTGTGACCACCCGCGGAGGGCTGCACAGATTCGAGCGAGAGCAAGAGTCCGCCGCTAGCGCCATTATTACGCTTTTAACCCATTATCCGCTGCAGCTTGCCAAACCGCTTCGCAACAGACCTCGATAAAAAAAAAAAAAACATGTGAGCCCGGTGTCGGTGGTAAACGTCTCTCAGGCTCTGCGTACGGAAGTTCAGCTTCACGTGGCATCCTTGCGATCAAGTGTGATGCGGCGGTAATTATACTATACCGCCGCACTAAGGGAATTGCAGGTGTCACGGTTTACATTGTGCTCTGGGACCACAATTCGCTGCAAGCCGCAGACAGGCAAAATTACAAGGCAGATGTTTTATTATTACTTCTAGCACCCAGCTCCTTGTGGATATGTAGATACATATTAGCGAAATTACATTTGCTCCTTTGTAAGGTGAAAACTCATTCAATATGTTCTACTTAATGTGCATTCTTATTCTATACATTTGAAAAAAAATTGATCAAACGTAGCCATTCCTATCGTACAAAGACACCGGAAAGAGTTTTACTTTGCTGAACAATAAACCGCGGGGAAACTTGTCTTAGAATGTTACGAGCGTCGCGGCCATGGGTTCTCCGTTATTCAGCTGCGAATACCGCACGGCCGCACTGCCACCAACACGAGCTATATATTCAAAGTAAACAAAAATCCACTTCCCAGTTGGACATAAGAAACGGAAATTCTGGGCGTTTTCCCCCAACCGTGGACATTGGGCAACTTCTGCGCTCGCAATATTTCCGCGTGCATAACGAGCTAACCGCCCCGACACCTGACAAGCAGCGAGGTCCGGTGATGCAACGGCATGGTCTAAATACAACTGTAGTAATAATAACCTCCATTTTATAAAGCGACTTTCACACTGAAGCACCTCAAAGGGTTCAGCGGCAACCAAAGACGCCGAGGGGTAGTTGTGAAAAAACATGAAAACGAAAGCACGTAGCGGAGGAGAAAACTTAAGAGGAAGGTTCCGGTGGGGCGCGGATGAAGCCAAGTAAAGAGCAAATGGCGGCAGGCACGCAAACGACGAAGGCATTGCTTGGGGAAGCGGGGTCTCGCTTAGGCCAAAAAAATATACTTCACGATTATTATTTTCCCCTAATTGCACACCTGCTGCTGTTATAGTTACAAATCCGACGCTCGAAAAGGCTTTCACAATTTAAAGCGTGTTTTGCACAATTACGTCTCCAAAATATGTCAATAAGTGGAAAATGTGCGGCGTTGTTTTTCAACCGCATTGTTAGTCTGGAAATAGATGGGTCTGTGTTTTTTTTGAGAGACCACCGATTTCATCCATCTGGTCATGCAAAGCAAATGTCATTATCTCGACTCTCATCAGTGGAAGCATTGTGGTCCTAATGGACCACACTGTACGTTTGCTGGCTGCGGCCTCTGAGGCTGGATTAGCATTAACAGTTAATTAACAAAAACATTAAGCGTATTTTATGCTTCGGATACATCTATGTGCGTGTGCACATACATCGATTTATTTGCAGCAGATTTGATTTAGGAATTATATGATGCAAATATATATTTGTGCATTATGCACAAACGTCATGCGCCAGATGGTGATTCCGGGCAAAGCGATGAATAATTTTTCGTTTGTTTATAACCTCTCCATCGCAGCCGATTAGCAAAGCAGCCTCGCGTTCGTCGGTTGTCTCGGCAGCCTCACAGGCATACCCCGCCACGAGCCAAACGGGCTTCATCCATAATTACCAATCTGACGAGCTTACAGAATTTACGTCGGAAGGAGGAAGGGGTAGATGCGGGATGGGGAGGGGGTTGGGGGTGGATTGACTCGGGGCACGGTAATTCGTCCTAAGCGTAATGGAGAGATCCAGGGGTCGACAATGCCACTTGCCCGCCGGCAAAAAACGAGATGGGAGTTAGAGCGCGGACTGTGGGCCGGGTCGGAGCAGACGGGCTACAATGGCGACACCCGTGCCGGTCCGGCCTCTGGCTGTGCATCACCGCAATAAAAATCCTGACAGCCGCCTCTTTTTGACGGGATGCACAAGCGCACCCTCGCTAAGGCGACAGTTAAATTATCCCCTTCACGGGTTACCTTCACAGCACCTGCCGAGCCTTGTAGGCACAGAGTAGCGTGGCAGACGCCCTCTCAATGCCACCAACATTAAGGACTGGCTTTAGACATGTCAGCCTGTCAGTACAGCTTGGGAGCTAGGAGTAAATGGTTTCAATTTTCTACGTAGGGGCACGCACCACACCACCTTTAAGGCTCCGCAGCTGAACGCCAGTGGAAGCTGTCCAGTTCACTCGACACAGGATTTCCTCTCCAGCGCAGTCGGCCGTAATCTTAAAGGAGGCCTCACCATCGCCGGCCAAGGCCAATGGCACGCTTTCCGCAGGCTTTACATAAAGAGCGCACGCGGGATCCATTTTATACGGTCGGCCGCTACCACCAGCACCGCCGTACAACACTCATTTGATCCTGATTCAGGAAACATTAAAAAAATTTAAACCCTCAGTTGGAAGCTTTTGCTTGGCTACCACCACCCCCTGATTCAACACCCCGCGTGGCGGTACAGCTGTTCCATATTCACAGCCAAATGAATTATGTAAAGGTTGTGAATGCACTCGCTGCGAAGAGCTGGCAAAGGGCGATCAAAGGGGCCATTGCGACAAGCGGGGGACTGTCAACGTCGCTGGGCCCATCGAGAAAATTGGGGCTATTTGCACCATCGGCAAGCGTTGCTGGACGTGACGTGAAACACGGCTGCATGATACGACGCCAATTACCGCCGTGTGCACTCAATCATGGCCTAGAACGATGAGCATCGGCTCAGTCAGCAAGCCAGCTTTACATGTGCCGACATGACAATGCTATCGCGCATCCACGGCACATATTTGCGTACATAACCCAGTTGGGCGTATTATTGTATCTTCGCCGTTACAATAATTGTAACGGCGAAGATAATGCTACGCTTGCGCCGTCTGCAATTCGCTTGATGCCTCGTGCTGAGAAAATGGTCCTAAAGCCGCATTAGCCAGCGACTGCAGTGAAGAGAGCGAGCGAACTAAGTTACAAACAACTCGCTAATTAATCTCATCGGAAAAGCACATCTGCTACCCCGCGTCTCACCGTATCAACTGCCTCCTGCTCCCCCATTACACCCACCGTCCTGCGTACATTATACAACACAGCAGGGTAAAGGAATAAATTGAGGGGGGGGGGGAAACCCTAGCCCCTTTTCGGATCATTAACCTGAACAGCAAGCCTTCAGCCGAATACGTGACCCCTGTAAAGGAAGATAAGGCGACAACACGCCAACAAAAACTATTTCATTCACGCTTTTTGCGGTCGGCGGGGAGGGTTTGACGAGGAGCGGTGGGGGGGGACAGGCGGACGGGGCAGGGAAGTAAGAACGGGAGCGGGATGGGAGCCAGAAGGGAGGTCCGGGGCGGAAACTCTGTGCGCTCGTTGCTATCACGGTAATTACGGGAGGGGTCCCTCGAAGCGTGGCGCTTTCTGTCGACGGTCGGTCGTGAGGGGGGAGGGGGGTCACTCACCGGTTGCTCGGCCAGGCTCTCCAGCTGCTGGATGTGCGGGGTGAGCAGCGACTGCAGGTGCCCCAGGATCTCGGCGACGGGCAGTGGGGACAGCATCAGCCCCAGGGCCTGCATTAGCCACATGCATTGGCTGCTCTGTGGGCCCCGCGCACACCACAGCGCATTCTCAACGTACGGAACTGGCAGTTTGCACAGCGCGGTCGTATGTGGGGGGGGGGGGGGGAAACACAGTGCACGTGTGCATATACGCACAAAGACATAGACGGCCCCCCCTCCCCACACCCCGAATAGCCTTAACAAACTGTTGGGGGAAATGGTGTAAGCGTGCACCTGTGAAGGCCGGCACAACACGCGAAGGGGGTGGGTGGCCAGCACCAAAGCCGAGCCAATCGGGGGAGTTTGACAAAATAATGCCTGCTTCCCATATCTCTCTCTCCACACACACAAAAAAAAAAATCGATTTTTTTTTTCATCACACTCCGCACGGTCTTCTGGGAGTGCAGTTGTAGGACAGGTTCAGACACCCCTTACCACAAATATTATCTTTGGCTGGATAAGTTAACCAAGGTAGCCACGTATATAATGCAGTGTAATAACAACTGTGCCACTCAACCAATATATAAAGAGCAAGGCAAACATCCTCCATATAGCCTTAACAGACAGTTGGGGCAAGTTCTGTTAGCGAGCACCCATGAAGGTCGGCATGACACACAAGGGGGTGGGGGGTGGCCAGCACCACGCCCGATTGCCTTTGTCTCCTTGTGGCGATGTTAAGATACTGCATCAGGTACCCATTTGAGGTGACCTAGGGGAGGCCCAGGACCGGTTCAGATACTCGTCACTGGTGTTGGCCTTGAGTGGGAATCGAACTCGGGTCACGTCGTAGCTCAGCGCCCTAACCACTACACTACTGCTGGCACACACACACACAAAGTAACAAAAATTCCTAGCTTGGTCTCGTAGACAATGGGACATTTGCTGTTAGGGAGCACAATGACGGTCGGCGAGGAGGGTTGGTCTTTCACAAATGCATTGAGTGTTTTGTTAAACATTCTCATCATATGCTCAGCACCGCCACAACCGCTGTCCATGACTGCACAGTCACAAACTATTACGCAAATACGTTAGCGATGATTTAAGCTGAACGAGAGGAAGTGGCAGGGTGGGTCAGCTCACAGGGCTGAGCCGGCAATGCTGAGATCCTGGGTTTGAACCCAGACAGAAACACAGACGATTAAAATTAGTTTTCAAATATGGTTTCAGCCCGGTCACCAATGACTGCACAAAAAAAAGTGGGGTTTCATTTAAATTGGCCAAATTACAGCTCTAAGGTTCGATTGACATGCTAGGAACACTCTTTGCCAGGCATAAACAATATACGCCCCAAGTGTGGATACAGAGAATTCATGAAGTGACCACAGACAGTTCGGTTATATCATCTTCCGAGACCATTCTCCCGACAGGGTGATGCGCCGATAGCTGCCGAGTTTCCCAATGTCAAGTGACGCCTCTCACGACATGATGCCAATAGCACAAGTGGAATGCCATTTTGGGAAGAAGGAACAAAATCCAATGACACAAACCATTCCAGCAAAAAAACAATTGCCCCCAAAACTCCCCAACAGACACCCACAAGAGACATCCCAAAGCTGGAGTGCCTTTTATCGAGGAGCGCTTTGGCATGCGAGTTGTGCTGCGTTGCTGTGCTGCATTAATTTCAACATGATAAGCCACTTCGTTCAAGCTGCAATTTGTGGCCAGGTTCGCTTCTGAAAAAGAGCTATAGAACTCAGTGGGCCCTACCTGGTAAAATAAAAAAAATAGTTTTGATAGTTTAGTTTGCTCGGTGCTTCGTTTTGCTTCTGGAGGGGGCAGGGGGTGTACACATGCTCTGCCACATGTGGTGCGGGAGGGGGTGCCGGTTTTTACACATCAGCTCTCTGGCACAGTTGCACAGAACTCTCTACTCAAGTGATCCATAAACTCCAGCCTTTGAGCGAGTACACAGACCACACGTTCAACACCCTGCCTACTCTGTGCACAGGATCTGTGTGGTGAATTGCAGAGGTCTGAGAAACTTAAAAATCTGCGGGGGGAGGAGGGGGGGGGGCTGCGAAGTGGATGAAATGTGGCAGTAAAGAACAACGTGGTTGTCAACTCGTCTGTGCGGAGAGCTCGGGCGTCAGCCTCTCGGGTGCGCATGTTTTCTCCGGTGTAAGCAGGTTGCCGCCCGCACGCAAATAATTCACTAATTAAATACTGCATTGAAAAAGAGTCTTGAGACCCCAGATGATAAAAAAAAATGTCATTACCATCCATGGTGCCAATTCACACGGAGTAAAAACGACTAGTTTTTTTTTACGAGACCTTGCAGTCACTTCAAACGTCAAAATACTGCAATTCCAATTTCCTGCAGAGCCCCGACAGTGTGTGCGTGGCGGTGCAGATTAGAAGGAAGTCTGCAGTGCCCTAAAAGCGGCTCCACCACCGCCTTCAATCAGCATCAAAATATTGATCAAACCCGGCTTCTGAAAGCACACAGCAAGCCTCATTAGATAATTCACAGTCTGCGGAGGTACCAATTCCACCGGCCACCCATTTACAGGGCTTACAGCGCACGTCAGACGAGCTTTACAAGTCCTGCTTTATGGAGCGCGGAGCGAGGGGGCCTTCATTATTGCGCCCAATGCAGGTGAATGCGTAAATTATTCATGAGCAGCGAGTGTGACAGAATGAGGGACAATGTCTCCCTAAGGGAGGGGGTAACCGAGAGGTGGGGGCTAATGGGTTGGGGGGGGGGGCGCGAGGCTCAAAGCCCCCCCCCCCCCCTCCTCCGAGCATGACGAGGAAGCGCTGTGTGCGAGCGCGAGCGGGAATTCACTTTGCGTTTCCGTCCACGGCTGCCGGAGTGCGTGCACGGAAGGAAGCGTGGCGGCGGGGCGACTTTTCCGTCGCCTCCAGGGGCGGCGGTGGCGGCGGTCGTCCGCTCGCCGCGGGGAAGCAGTCGCAAGAGCCCCCAAAGACCGCGGTTAAACGCCAGCTGTTAATAACTTTGCTGCGGCAACAGCGGTAGCTAGGAGGGTACGGCTACGAGACGTAGATGCACGAGGTAATGAGCTCCTAATGATTGCTGTGACACGCACGTGAAAGCAGGTAAGTGTCATGCATTGATTCATAGCCATTTTCCACACCCGAGGCATCCTCCCTCCATGGTGTCCGCATTTCAGTGCCATTTATCTCCGCTCTGGGATCTCACCATTGAGTGGCACTGTCTGTGGGCCATGTTATATCAGCAGTTTGGCTAATTACATTTTATCAAATGCTCAGCAGCTTGAGCAACGTATATACAGTAAAACCTTGGATTGCGAGCATAATTCGTTCCGGAAACGTGTTTGTAATCCAAAGCATTCGTATATCAGTTGTGATCACGTGACGCTCGGCAGACAAAGTGTATACGTACTACTCGTATTGCAAGACCTCGCTAGTTTATCAAATTAAAATTTACTTTAAAAATTTTGCTTGTCTTGCAAAACACTCGCAGACCAAGTTACTCGCAATCCAAGGTTTTACTGTACTGTCTCCCTAATGTTGGAATGGATAAATGAAATTGTAGGGAAAAAAAGTGAGCGATAAAGTGACGCCAGGCAATTTTTACGTTCGGCATTTTAATTGGTGGAAAGACACCGCCATTTCAGAGGCCTCTTACCGGTATACTTTTTGCTCGTAACTTGAAGGAAAGAAATCCCGTGGGGTGAGTTAATTAGTTTACCACTTTATGAAATTGTCTCAAAAGCAGCACAGTGTCAGGCGGCAACTGTGAGCACGGGGAAATGCTGTGCCCCCGAGGAGGGCGCATGCATGAATCACTGCCGTCACGCCTCCCAGTAATTGCTCGAGAGAAAAAAAAAACTGAAATTGCGAACATGTAAAGAAAATAAGAATTAGATTTTTTGGGTTTTTTTTTTTTAAGATTGCGGAAATATGTTCGAATTGTGCTAATGGTGTGTTTTTCAAAAGTTGAAAAAAATGTACATTTGGAACTCTCAACTAGCAGCGCATCACCCAGTGTATGGGTAATGGCACCAGATGATGTCACAGAGTTATTCCTGATATCACTTTATTATGACATTTATCTACATTCGGGGGAATATATTAAATATATTAGCGGTCTTCTTTAGTTCTTTCGATAAAGTCACGTAGAATGAGAATAAAATAAAATAAGACAATAAAATTCTCACGACGTTTCGGCCACAGCACAAGTAGCCTTCTTCAGGTGAAGGAACAGAACTGTCGGGACGACAGAGCTTCAATGAACGCTGCTAAGATTCGTAGCGTCTTATTAAGCTGGGTGAAAGAAGTGAGGCACCTTGACAAAGGAGTTTACATATCAAACAGGAGAATTTTAGCATTGAAATAGCTGAGGGATTAGCTTGTGACTGGTGCCTCACTTCTCTCACCCAGCTTAAAAGACGCTACGAATCTTAGCAGCGTTCATTGAAGCTCTGTCGTCCCGACAGTTCTGTTCCTTCGCCTGAAGGCTACTTGTGTTGTGGCCGAAACGTCGTGAGAATTTTATTGTCTTATTTTATTTTATTATTTTATTCTCATTCTACGTGACTTTACCGAAATAACCAAAGAAGATGAATCCTTGCAGTCACGAAAGCTTTAAATCGAAATATTAGCGGTCGTCGCGTGTACACCAAACCCAATTTAGCAATTCTCAGAGCTGGAATCAAGTCGAATTGAATGAAGCATCTGGTTGAACATGATTGTGTTTTGTGCATTCATTGGTGATCAGACTGAGACCATCAGCTTGCCACATTGTAAACCTCAGTATAATCACGGGTGGCCGTATATAGAATTCAAACAAAGGATCTCACTCAGCGGTGCCGACTCTGAACTCTGATAAGAGTATCATCCCTGCCGAGTCACGCGGGCCCCACCTCCACAAATCATTTTCAGGAGAGTGGTTTCGCGATAATTTAGTCTCCAACAATAGAGAAACAATGACTACGTATGTGCAGGTATTGCAGAGAAACAGCTTCACCCAACCCACAAAGCCCAGCAGCGAGTACGGCTCGTGAATAATAATGTATCTGCAGAGGCTCAGTGCGCTGTTAACAAGTTGGAGCGTGTGAACTTACAAGCATCACAGTGCGATATAATTAGGGTAAAAATACCTAACAGGTATTGCAGTTCTCCTCCCCCCCCTGCACTTTCGGGCATCCACTATAATTTTTCAAACTCTTTAAGGTGGCATAAGCCCATGCTGCAACCCATCGCGGTGCGGAGAAGAAAGTGAGGGATTTGTGGGTAGAGAGATTGGGGGTGGGGTGAATTTGGTGACAGTGGCGGGCACTGCATTCCTGCCTCAAAAGCCTCCGCTGCACACGTTCACAACCCTGCGGGGAATTGCTAATGAATAGCATGTGAAGACAACGCCCGTTGATGACGGAATTGACATAAAAACAATGCTTGACACTTGGTATACGTTGGACATCCCACCCCCACCTCCTCTCACCCCCCACTTCCTCTCACCCCACCTCCTCTCACCCCCAACCTTCTCCCCCCTCCTCCCACCCCACCTGCACCCCCCCCCCCCCCCCAAGTTACTGCTGCAATTCAAGCGTGACATCTCGACATGCGACACATGGTTGGTCTGACCCCATTTGGCATCACCGCCACTTAACGCCCGTGGACATCCACGCCACCTCCCCCCTGCATGTCACGCAGGGTCAGTGGCCAAACACGACTGGCCACAGTCCAGAGGGAAGTTAGACGAGAGAATTACCTTGTGAATCTGCTTCACGAGCACCTCCTGGTCGGTGAACAATCGTGGAGAGAGAAAAAAAAAATACACAGGAGCACAGTCAAAATTACGAAATGCACAATACATTGTACATGTACAGCCCTATTTTAAATCCAATGCTGAATTAGGGACCTGCCCGACGATATGCATAACAGTTATTTCACTGTACTTTATCATGCTGGTGAGTGCGAGTTGAAGGCAAGGGAACAGACGGCTTTCGCAGCGCCGCTGCCTACCGACAGCATAGCCCCGCAGTAGCCTCCGACGCCCCGTTCTTTTGCATGGCGGTAAACGCCCATCCAAGGGCTTTACAGGCTCAAAAGCCTGCTGAGCTTTGGCGGTCTGATGAGAGATCGGGGCCCATTCGGTGCAAATGTTTTACACCCCTGCCATCGGGCTATCTTTGCCCACTGAGATGTTGCTGCAAAAGGCAGAGGGTTCCATAACACAATGAGCGCAAACACCATGGATAATCTCCGCCTGATATGGATAATCTCAGCCTGATATGGATAATCTCAGCCTGATATGGATAATCTCAGCGTGATGAACAGCATTCCCAGGCTGTGCGCAGAAACCCATCGCTCACAATAAATACTATTTGTTTAAACAAACACTACAAGAGTACTTAACTCCATCACACGTTCAACCTTAGCCTCAAGCACATCCATTGAATAAATAATAGGCCCGCAGATGGGAGACAACGGCCTTTGTAGGACAAACCAGACATGTCAACACAGTGACCTGGCAGTGCGCGAGCACACACACACACACACGCACGTTAAGAGTGCAGCCGTGAGCTTGAGGGCAGCTCGCGTAATGAGACATCGATTATAATTGATTCGTGCACATGCTACTATGCATAGAATAACTTATCCACATCCGCATAATACGCAAATGTAACATTTTGGGTAACGGCGGGAACAAGAGGAGTTTCAGTTGATATATTTTGGTATAACCCTGTGAGCCATTCGGCCCTTGAATCGGGTGCAACCACAACAAACAAAAAAACAAAAACACGAACAAGAGGGGGCAATGTAAATGAGAGACGATACAAACAAGACGAACAGACGGGAGGAAATAGACTGCGAGACAGAACAGGTGAAAAAGTACAAATAATGGAATAGCCTATTGTCGAATAGAATTGTGAATGTGAATCCAGACTTATCATAACTTGTGGGGGTTGGGTACGGTGGGTAAATCATTGTAAGCTCACATACCAGATGCAGCAGCAGCAACACAAAAATAGATTCCATTACTGACTAAAATAATTTCGCCAAATTGTAACAATTTCACAAATGGCACCAGGTTAAGTGGTTTTATTTCATTTCATGCCACTGGTGTGCTTGAATTATCGTCAATCGCCATCACAACGATTAAAAGTCACCGCAGGAAGAAGGCCTCCTTAGACAGTTCCCAACTCTCACAGTCCTGCGATGTTGCAATCATCTCTCAGTTTGCGTGTGTGTATTGCATGTGCCAGTGTGGTACAAGGTGTTCCACTTATAGTTACCCCACAAAAATGAGAGAGAAGTAACAGAGAAAATAACATTTTCAATGAAAGTCTCTAAATGTATCCCCACCAATCTTAAAAAGACTCATTACGTTTTTTAAGCGCGAGTCGAACAAAGACCCGGTCCGATTTGCTTTCAGCGTTCAATGACGCTCGTTACAAAGACCTAAGAGCAGATGGTGGGACATTGTTAGGGCAGACCTTGGAAGCCGCGTGTTTACTATGCAGCCGGAGTAGGGGGTATAAAAGCATTGGGGAGGTGCGGTGGCATCCCTCGGCTTTGGCTACGATGACATCTTTGATCTCGAGAAATAAATGGGGTATCTAGAAAGGAATCACCCCATACACATCTCTCCCTCTTCGGGGAGGAACCCCGGGGGGGGGGGGGGCTAACCTGCGACATGGCCATGATGCTGGGCGCGTAGGGGCCCAGGTCGTGCTTGCACTCGCGACACAGCTTCTTGAGCGTGGAGACGCTGGAGATGGACAGCTCCGGGTTGGCCAGCGCTTGCAGCACGAGGGGCAGCACCCCAGTCAGCATCACGGGGTGGTCGGCGAGCCACTCCGCCAGTGCACCTGATGAACACCGGGAAGCACGTGGGCACACGGTGTGTCGACACGCGCCGTGTTTCCCCCTCCCAAAGGGGAACGGCCCCCAAGGCTCCCGATGGTCGAATGACGGGTGTGCGGCTGCATTGCACATTGTGTTAATAATTTACATTTGTGAGGCGCATTTCGTCCGCAGATCCCAAATCACCGTGTATGGAAAGCAGAAATTAAACAGAACCTGCGGAGTAAACGGCCAGAACACGTGGGTAATGGAAAGTTTAAAGAGGCGAGTTTTCAAAACAGATCTAAAATATATCGAACGATTACTGAATGGTGTGTGAATGAACAGAAATGAACAAAAATCACCCCGCGCAAAAAATAACACGATTTCATTTGAAGGGGGCAAAAGGATATACAAGAAAATCAATGTTTTGACTGACAGGTCTTACTCAATGGAGTATATATCAACAAAGGTCATATGAGAAAAGCACCAAAAATCTCTCAAATCAATTGTGGATTAGCTCTTTGTCCGACTGATGCCTTCAAATCTAGCGCTGGCTAGGTAAAGTGAGTGTGGCAGGCCACGTACAACAATGCACACTTACGTTGGGAAGTCAAGATAAACAGGGTTCCATGTCCATTACTCTTTATTTTGGCTCATTCTAGTGAGCAACTGATTCCGTTAAGATAGACAAGCATGGATTAATCGTCTGATTATTTTAAATTCGTATATGTTGTATGCAATTGGTTCACGTGATCCCTGCTGCCACAAGAGGCGCTACATTCACCACAATAACAAAGGTAAATTATTGATTCAAATCGTGACATGTCTGCTGGATATGGATAATGCACAAAATGGAAAAAAACCATCACCACCACTTGATACAATTAAAATATAACGAGGCTAACTTTAGACAATCGGCTTTCTTCCAAGGCGAGAGAGAAAGAGGGCACAGGCAGAAAATGTTGACAAGACACGGGGTGCCTGCAATAACATTGTGAATATTTGAGATAGCCGATATCTGGAGGCAGGCAAGGCACCACATGGAGATACCTAGCTGTGGAACGGCGGCATTGGGCAGGGCTGCCGGAACCGATAGGCAATGGTTCCAGCAATTTGGCGGTCGGCACTGGCAAGCATGTGTGTACACGCGCCGGCTACACGTGCCGGCTACACGCGCCGGCTTCACCGGCCGGCTTCACGCGCCGGCTTCACGTGGAGGCTACACATGCAGGCTACACGTGCGGGCTACACGCGGCGGCTTCACGCGCCGGCTTCACGTGCCGGCTACACGTGCCATGCACGCTCGCCGCGGCTCGTGGAGGCACTGTACGCCGAGACGCATCGCGGCCCCCACAGCCCGTGGGGGATAGCGGCGGAGCCAATAGCGAGGCAGCTGCCATAGCGACAGCCGGCTCTGTGGCAAAGACAGCTGGGATCAGGCGAATGAAGAGAGTGGGGGGGGGGGGTGGAAATTCAAGGAAATCTTGTGCTATACGAAAAGACATGATTGCGGCCACATTTCTTCAAATAAGCATGTCCAAGTGGTCATGATTATATTTATTTTGACAGCTGCCGCCTTTGCTGTGGACAAGCACGGGGGAGGGAATATCGAGATGTCAAACTTAGTTCTCCGGCGCACAATCCTTTTCTTCATGAAGGCACAATAAATATCACCGACTCGGCACGGTAAGTTATAACCAGGGGGGAGGAAGGCACCTGATGTCCAAAATAAATAATGTTCTTAACATATTAGGAAATAACGAGTCTAATTTATTCCAACTAATTAAAGGAGATTAGAGTTTCTGGGCTTTAATGCAGGGTCACAAATTGAGATCATCAATGCGGCACACAAATTAAACAGCAAGCCGTCACAATGCATTTGTGTGCAATATTTCACGTGAAACTGTGCACGCTTCTATCATTTACAACTAAAGCACCTGCGATGGGTGCTCGGTAACCTGTGGGTGCCTGGGTGCTCGGTAGCCTGTGGGTGCCTGGGTGCTCGGTAACTTGTGGGTGCAAGGTTCCTCTGCACAGCTCAAAACGGTTTGCAGCATCAGCGACGATTTAACAATCCCATGTAAGAATAAAAAAAACCTAGTTATGGGACCATTGTTTAACACCGCTGAATCTAAATTTAAGGCCGATAACAAGGGCACGGTTACATAAATTCGAAACCAAAAACATAAAAGCGTGAAAATAATAATGCACAATCGTAAGAGCAAAAATAAAGATAATCCCGTGCCGTTTGTGGCTGACGAGTGGCCCGGGCAGGCCGTGGCGGAGACGGGTGAAACGGTGGAGCACTCTGTTCCAATTAGGCACCCGTATAATTAACGAGGCACGTGTTGCGCTGGGGCAGGAAAATTACACGTTCAACGGACACCATTTACAAATTCTCTTTCGCAAGAAAAACACATCGCTTTCAAAGCCCGTGCCTCTAGCATCTATGTAACGCGGCTAAAAATACGTTTGCGGGCAATGAGTTGCTTTAATTTTAATTGGTCCCCGCTATTTTAAACATGCAATGCACCGCGCTGGAATTGATTTATTGGCGTAATGTCTCTCCTGGAACCCAAGTGATAAAAAAACATTACACGTGGGGTTAGGCTTTCTATTTGCGTTTCGGCCACAGCTATGCGTAGAATTAATCTGCCGTTCACAAGGTGACGTTACATTAGCGGTGCAGCAGCTGGTAAATTAAATGCAGTACCTGGTATTTAGCCGACAATCCACAGAGTGCCTATGAAACACCAAGCTGCCTGACAACGTTCTTTATATTCCCTGCACTACACACAGGACATGTTGAATATGGATTTTTTTCAGCTCTTTTTTTTGCAGAATACTATTCGGAACGCACGCTCAAATTATAAATCATTTCAGCGGTACGCGTAATCGCCCAGGCCATGCGTTGGCTCATTTGCTTATCATTGCTAATAGATGCACTGCTCCCCTATCCATGCAACTGAACGTACATGGAAAACTCCACTCACAAAAGCCAAGTGATTTGGAGAACACTGGGTGATTCGGGGCAATAGCGACATTGTGTAATTTTGCAGTCTGTAATTTCAGCAGCGTGCAAACAGTCTGACCATTTGACCTTTTTCGCCGGCATAATTTGATTTTCTCCCACACCTGCCGCGTATGACAGCCTTCGCGAGGTTTCACAAATCGTGCCAAGAGGCGAATTTTTGCCCCCGATTATTTTCATGGTGCGTTGCACCCCGGTACAGGTTTGAGTCCGACCAATTTTTTTTTTAATCCAACACAACCGCCAAGCCACCCAACCACGTTTCGATATTTGCACCACAGTGCGCGACACAGATGGCCACGAGCGGCGAGGTCAATCCCGTTTCTTTCTTTTACTATGGCAAAAGCCGCCGACGGTAGTGCAAGGGACGCCGAAGAGGGCATTGGCCAGCGCTCACGGGGCAGACGCGGGGCTTGCACCGCGCTGTCTGCGCATCACCGGGTCGCGGCGCCTGTGGCCATGACCGAGTGCCGTCGCGCGTGCCCGAGCGCTCGGCGAGGCTGGCTCGAGGACTCTGCAGTCGCGCAGGCTCATTAGCGCTGCACGCAGTGTTTGCTTTTTGCCGCATCCATAATTTAGAGGGATTTGAGGAAAATTGGGAAAGACAATAGCCCGTTTACCTTCAAGTCTGTTAGTGTTAAGAGCAGAACTCACATGTTACGCACGTTCAGCAGAAATAGGTACGCTGTGTATACCTGGCATATGTAAATACTTGTAAGTTAATTAATTTCGTGTATGCTATTTCACAGTTAAGGTTTTCAGTCGGGGTGGAATGATTCACTTGAGAAAATGAGGAGTCGAGATCCATGTGTTCGATTCAAATTTGTTTTACAATTCTGTGAGTGGCTGTGCCTCTATTGGCTGCTGCATCACATGAACCGATTATATACAACACAAATAACATGAAAAACATTGATTGTTATACTGTGTCGGATTCAATGCATGTCATCATGGGATTCGGAATGGATATTAACCGATGCATCTTTGCAATTCGAGTGGTCCCACAAAAAGCAGAAGATGACATAACCACTCTCTTGTATACACGGAGAGGTTCACTGCACATTTTTATAATTATTTTAAACAATACACGAGCCGAACAAATTCTTTTTGGACGAATAGATTGGACATGACAGGGTCCTGTAAAATTTAAATGAGCAGCCTGGTAATGTCAAACGGGGGGGCTCGTCCCTACGCTGGGTGAAATGCAAATGCGAGGATCAATGCACAATTCTAACCAAGTGTGAAATGAATTTGCGCGGCAGATACGGAGGTCGGTCGGTACTAATCCCCCCATTTTTTTTCTTGATTCCCTTTTCAGTCACCGGCGTTTGCCGGACAATAATAGCGTGTGTGTGTGTGTTTTTTTTAAACAGCAACGCCGACTGTTAAAAACGATCAACTCATTCGTCACTGAAACGCCGCAACAACAAAAAAACCGACACAACGAAGGGATGCGATAGAAAACGAACCCCCCCCCCCCCCCCCCACAAACTCGCTGGCGCCTCCGAGCGCCACCCACACGATGCCCACCCCCGTCGGGCCAATAATCTGCACTCTTGCAGAGAATAAATGTTCGAGCGTTGCGTTTACCTATTACGGGCTGCGTCTTGGAGCGCATTATAGGTGCGTATAACATTACAGCTTCCCATCTGCTTTCCCATGTTCCGCAATTGACAGGGGCTGCTGCCGGGAGGGAGCGGGGGGGGGGGGGAGACAATAAACCAGCCTGGCACTCAAAGGGCGGCGCCCGTTTCCAAGGATAATCTGGTCAGAACACTGGATTCAATGGCTTAGTTGGGTAAATAGCATCAAGGGACCTTCATACCGTTTAATAAAAGGGGAAATGGAACAATGCGATGACTCGCAGCCAGCGATTCTGCTGCAAAAAAAAAAGAGTTAAATCCGCACGCATGGCAAAGGCAACGCAATCTTCCTACCGAGCATAACGCTACAATAACAAGCTGATGTAACGAGTGGTATTCCTCAAGCCTCAAGGACAAGGCTACCCGCTCTGATTCATAATTTACATTGAGGTGCATCTTGGGGGCACAGTCCACTGCGGCCTCTTCACTGTGGCTCGTCAACAATGGCATCCGAGGCAAACCCCCCTTCTTTTCCACAATCGTGGACAAAAGTACGACGGATTCGACGAACGGACAATGAACGCGCGGCACAGCCGCACCGCCGATTTTGTGCGCGCGTAAGCACATCCGTTGATGCTCAAGAGCACCAGCGCAAACGCACATGCATCAGCAAACGTGCCCTTCAGACACAAGCCATTCGCTTCTCCGCTGCACCCTCATGGCAACCGGGGAAAAAAAAAAACACATTTCTCAGCAGAGGTCAGTCCTGCAAACACTGTGGCAAGGTGAGGTCATCGGAGCGCATTATAGGTGCGTATAAACATTGCAGCTTCCCATCTGCTTTCCCATGTTTCGCAAATGACAGGGGCTCATCGGCATTTTACAGAAAACTTTTGTTTTCTGTTCCCAACAGAAACACGGCAATCCCGTCAAAAGTAAAAAAAAGCATACGTGATCAAAAATAATGCCTTTGTAGCTGGCTTTCAATGCACCTCTTTTCACCGTGCAAATCGACTCCGACTGCACAGGCCACGGGGCAGCTTCATGCCGCCAGAATCAGCTCGCGGCGCTTCAAAAGGGAGAGGGGGGGGGGCACGCATTTTTCAGAATCACCCAAAGCAGCTTTTCTGCCGGCACTGATGGAGACCTCGAGGCCGTAGTACTGAGCGTACCGAGCATGCGTGCTTCCTTGGCAAAGGGCCTGGTTGCCAGGCAATTGTCTCCACTTGCAAAAACCAGGGAGGCGAGGGAGGGAACGGGTTTTGGTGTTAAGGTTTCAAATCCCCCCCACCTCTGGGGGCTGTGCACAGCCCCAGGCTGCAATTTGTCTTTGCTGTCGTAGCTTGATATTTTTTTGTACGTTAGAGGTCACAAAGGCATGTCCATTAGACATTTTTTATAGTGTCAAATAGAGAAGCCTATATCATATATATATAGCATGTGGGGTTTTTTCCCTCAGAATTACAACAACAACAACAAAAAATTCCGGACACTTTTTGTTGTTGTCAATATTTCTGACGACGGAGAAACCCAGTGGTACTGCACGCAGAATAAAATTACGACTTAAAAAGTGAAGGTGCAGAGAAAAGTACACATCGCAGAGGTATATTACAGATGCATCGATTCATCTAATCTTATTGCAAATGTAATAATTAATGTTTTTCAGTGGGTTCACTGGGTCCCTGCAGCCACAAGCGGTGCTACATTCATCACAGTAATAAAAATAATAAAATTCTGAAAACAAACTGTGACCCGGAATTGTGACGAATTCTGGAATAACTAGCCAGAGGAGGGAATAATTGCACCCGCATTATATCACACAAACAGGCGTGCATGAGGGCAACATAAATAAAGTAAAACCATCCCTGCCAATGAATATGAATGGAGGCTGACAAACGCCCATGAGCGGTCTCGCATTGGGCATGCGGAAGAAGAGGCAAGAAGCAGACGCCGCCGATGAGTGAGGTGGACTGGTGGCTTGAAATGAGCACGGCTTAAAAGAGAGAGAACGTAAGCCGACGGGAAACGATCGCCACCACCAGAGAAAGGCAGGGGTGGAAGAAGTTCGCCCAGCCTAATGATCAGCCCCAATGACTGACAGAAGAGAGAGATAAAGAGTTGAAGTTTGGGATTTTGCTGAAGGGCTTCAGCCTGGAAAGTGCCCAGAGACTCGTTGGCACTGCTCAAGGCTGTACCTCTCCTGTGTTTCCCTGCCCTCATCCTACCAACCCTCCCACCCCCCGCCACTTCCACCCCCCCCCGCCCCCCCCCCCCCCCCCAATTCTCCCATATATTCGAACGTATTTTTTCAAGCATCATGAGATGCTACAAAAATACGAATTGTTGTCCATTTAAGACCAAGGCTTTCGCGACCAATATTATCGCTGATAAAAGTTTTTTGGGTTAGATCGTGTAAATATAAATGTGTCGTTAACCCACCACTACGCAACACAGTCGATTAGTAAAGTTTATCACGTAAACAAAACATGCCAATGAGTTACTACTTCAGCACACACGTGTGTTCAAGAGCAAACAACATTTACAATTTGAGTATGACATTTTGCTGGTGATTACAACCAACTCCTTCAGGCGATTTGTCAGAATTATGAAGGAGTCTTGCTGTTTTGGTCTTAAAAACACCTTTAGTATGGACTAATTCTTGTTTTTGTTGTAAGAGAGAGAGACAGGCTTAGAGTGCCATGCCTCCGACTGGTGCTTACCGATTGTGAACATGATGGTGTCAGCCAGCTGCACATTGCCCACGGTGATGCGCGGGATGAGGCCGATGAGTCCCGGGATAACGTCCGAGTCGTTGACGTCCAGAGTCTCCGCGATGGACTGGAACCCGTAGAGGAAGGCTTCCGTTTGCTGCAACAGGGCAAACGTTAGCCACTTCGTGCTGCGCTGATGTGAACCGTAATGAATCGTAAGGACAACAATCATAATCATGCTCCGCTGTTTACCAAGGAAAACCTCAGCAAGGCCTCACCAAGTCCCCACCAAGTCCCGAGACACATTGAGGATTTCCCTACCGAGTCGTTTGAAAATCAGAGATGGTTATTGAATATTTTTTCATTTATGTTTACGCTTATTTATTTCTCCAATCCAATTACTGAAAATATATTCTAAGGTTTACGTGAATCACCTTTGTTGAGTGCGTATCTCCTGGCCTGGCTCCTCTTCCGATATGTATTTTTTTTTGCCGAGTTGTTTTTGTTTAGCAACAATTATAATAACGCCAATTATTTATCAAGCAAGGCCACACTTGGCTTCAGGGCTCTTTTTCAATAGGGCCCTGCATTGCGACGTTTGGTCCATTCCATTAATGAGCGTTTGGCGTGTGGGAGGGAACTAGTACCTGGAGAAAACCCACAAGTATCCGGGGGCAACACTCAAAGCTTCACATAAATGGATTCAGGAATCCTTGCCCATCGTGAATTTTGATTCACTAAATAGTACTGTCTGAATGGCTGATTTCAAATTAAGGTGCTGCTGCTGTTGAGGTGGCATTTCCCATCTTGGGCATTTATATCCATTAGCTTTGCCTTATTAAGATTCAAGTCTTTCATATTTGAAGTCAAAATGTACAGCCCCTTTTCAAATCGTTTTTGCACTTATATTTTGGAATGTCAATGACATGCTGTATTGCGATTGCTAATAGCATTGCATTTATTGTATATTGGGTGCAAATAGGGCGACTGGGTCGTAGGCCGACGTGGTATTGCGTGTGTGTGCGAGCATGGGTACCCAGCACACAGACGGATAAAAACCAGAAGAGTAGCAATAATATCGAAGGACCGAGCGAAAAGCACGATAGATCAAGCATACGTGTTAAACTGACGATAGATCAAACCTCAGTTGTATTACAGTGTGAATTAAATATGGGAATTATATATTATCGCTGAAGGGCTTTGCATGCCTTAGGATGCCCTGGGACAATGCTTCGCCCAAGGAAGCAACAAAAAATAAAGACAACTGCTCCGACACCGTCGATCAATTTGTTGAACACGTTAATAATGAAAGCTTCAAAGCATCAACATTTAAATACCACCCAACGTTATTTCTTCGCAAAAATAACCAACCTGCAACTGACACTTAAAGGAGCGACGCGCATTTCAATGAAGTGAGAAACGAAATAGGCGATTCGCAAAAAATATATAATGAACTGAGGAAACGAATTTCCCAAAGAGTACAATAAGCACAGCTTTTAAAAGGGAGCATTTCAGGACGCGTCTCCCAACGACCCATATATGGCTCGCGCAGTCGATGTAATGAATCAATGGCTTAATTTACCCACATTGAAAAAAATGTCACGACAATTGTTGGAGAAAATCCAACAGTGGGCGACCAGAGGCCTGTCACATTCATAACTGCTAATTCGAATGAGAAGAAAATGACAAGCAGAGAGAGTGTTGTTTATCTGTGGTGGAGACACGAGTCGTCAAATTTAGCGCAACTCATGTGTCTGCACATATTGTGAACGAATTTTTTTTTTATACTTCAGTTGGCTTATTGTCTTTGAAGAACAATGCTTTCAAGAAGCATTCAAGTAAGCAAACTCTGGACCAGTTTTGACCTCGTGGGTCTCATCGGCAGAGTCGGGATTAAGTTATGCTCATGGACGTCTGCTTATTATGGTTTTATCCATAATGCTCCGCAACAAAGCATAATGAGTTTGTATACAAGCCTTCTATAATTACATGAGTTTCAGGGGCCACATTCTATGATCCTCGTGCCTTGTTATTTAGAAAAATGCTGCGGCACAAGTTAAGAAAATTAATTCCACAGTCATCATTTCGGCAAAGACGGCAATGCTTTTTAATCTCAGCTGGAAGCCGGCCCCCCGTACAACGACTTTCTCATCTGTTTGTGCAAAGTAATTCTCTTCGGCCGAACATCCCGAAAAGGTTTTCTTGATTTTTTTGGTTCCATATCACAGACGTCAGCTCGCTTCTCTCCGACAAGAAGCCGCTATTCAGCGCTTTGTGGAAAGCGATACACCGGGTAATAGCGTCGGTTTCATCTCAGAGATTGCGCGGTGATTTACAGAAAATCAGTACCGTTCGTGAAAAATGGGGTAAATCACTGGTGCTTTGTTTTTTCAAAGCAGATACCTTACAAATAAATGCGTTTCCATCTATCCCCAAGAGAAACTTGAAATAATAAAAGGTGATGGGTGCCAAATTCAAATGCCGAATGCCAAACAGTTTATAGCAATCGTGTGAAACGCAGACAGCCTGTCTTGCAAAATCCTTACAATGACAAAATAAAAAGTTGCTGGAACATCACGATACAAATCGATGCACCCGAAATTATATTTTCCTTTGTGCAATAAACGAAACTTTTAAACTTGACAGCCTTCTCCAACCGTGATTAAATATTGTTATATAAATAATGTACTCTCTTTTTTCTTTCAACAAATACGAAACTTCCACCATTTCTTTATTTTTTGAGCAGCCTCAAATTTCTTTTTTTTCCTCCACAACGAATAACGCATTCCTTCTGATCCCGATGGAAACATCAATGAGAACAAGATCAGTGCAGGGGAAAAGAACCTTGGGAATATCACAATGCACAAATGGCAACAGCCATTTTTTTATTTTTATTTTATTATGTTTTATTTTTATTATTTTATTATTTCCCTTCTACGTGACTTTACTGAAAGAACCAAGAAGATGAACCACTGCAGGAGTCGCCCCAAAAGCTTCAACGCTACATTTGCACATCCCTGAGCATCTCGGGGGATTTAAACTGTCACTATGGGGGCTCACGGTTTATCTGCTGCTGGGGGTGGGGCTAAGGGTTTAACTGCTACTGGGGGGCTAAAGGTTTCACTTCCAATGGGAAGGCTTAGATTTTATCTGCCAATTGGGGGCGTCTGTTTACCTGCCACTGCGGGGGCTGTCCGGTGGCCGTGAGGAGGCGTCCCAGCTTATCGTACAGGTTGCTGAGCAGCTCAGGGCCCAGCATCTCGTACACATACATCAGCGTGTCCGAGATGTCCACCCTACAACCACAAGAAGTACTCGTTATTTGAATGTGCGTGTTTTACACCGGGTCTTCCGGCGCACAACAGGCACGACACGATTCACTTGCCCAGTAATTTTTTTATTAGTCATTTCCTGTCTCATTTGTAGGGTTTTGTTTGCACCATTAGTATTACATGACGGGAGCATTTAATTGGCATATCATTTGCACCAATGGTCAACAATCTCTTCTTAAACAAATGAACGCAAGGATCAACGATAATATAATCGATGCAGCGTTACAGGCCTACATACGTCTTCCTGGTAATAACCACCGTTAACATTATCCCAGCAAACTGAATCAAAATAACTGGCTTTTTTCATCATTTTTTATTAAACCAACCCCTTTTATAATACACGAGGGGGGTGGGTGGCCAGCAGCACGCCCGGCCGCCTTTGTCTCCTCAGTGGCCATGTTCACACCACAACAGTTACTCGTTTAAGGCTGAGTAGACCTAGGGGAGGCCCAGGACCGGTTAAAATAATCGTCACCGGTGGTGGCCGAGAGCGGGAATCGAACTTGGGTCGCCGGGTTCGTAGCGCGGCACACTAACCGCTCCACTACAATGCGTTACGCATCCACATGCGAGGGTCACGTGACAGATTTGACATCACAGCTCACTTGCCGTGCAAAAAATAAATTCATTATTGAGCTCCCCCCCCCACAAAAAAGTGTAATTTTATAATTTTTGCATGGTGTACAGTCTGGAAAGTACCCACATGTCAAATTTCAAGTTTCTTGCATGTCAGGAAGTACGCTAAACATTTTGAACAGACACACATACACAACTTTGCCTTTTATATATATGGAGATAACGTGTGCCGCCCTCTTGGTTTGGCTTATGTTGGCACAGGTAAAACCAATTGGGCAATGAATGCCCTCACTTTGGATGGGGACCCGGATACACAATAGAAACCTGGTATAACAGCAAAAACCGCGAACAAAAAACTATTTAGAAAAAACAACATTTCAAGGTCAAATTCCGAACAGCAAGGTCGTGCATCTGTGTCACTCCACTGCTGGATGAGGGCCTCCACACACCGGCAGGTCCACGGGGGTTTATTTGACCGTACTTCAATGCTCTGGCGGTAATACGACCAGTATTACCTCAATGGAAGATGCCGCTATCCTGGTTGAGTGTTCCGGCTGGCCGGTGCGATGGTGGTGGAGAGCGGCACCAACAGCCCCTACCCTCAAATTTAACTTGGTAATGATGTAGCCGATTATTTATTCATTTTAGCTACTTGCTTACCATTTTAACGATTTTATGCTCCGATCGGTTTTTTTTCGTATTGTTTGCTGTTGTAACTTGGCGACACCGCCCATACTGGACATCTGTGAACAAAGAGCTTCATAGCTCATCGGATTTCTCCTCCAGTCTAAATCAAGATTCTGATTCACCTGTAGATGCGGAACTGCTCCTTCTCGTCCGCTGACCACGACGCGTACTCGGCGTCCGTGGGGAACTGTGCCTTGTAAAGCAGCACGTCTACCAGCTGAAAGTACACGGGCCGGTACATCTGGAGGTACATGGCCTGCTTCTCACCGCCCAGCGACGTGATGTCATCCTGCACATGCGCAAACACAACCAGAAAATGTGTTCGTAGCACACTGCACGAACCATCACACCATCGCTGACACCCTACGGGCATAAATACCTGCATGCAGGTACGTGTGCACACTCGCAAACACACGGATGCACGTACGCACACAAGCACAAAAGACAAAGATCTCCCGTCTAACCTTAACACACTGTTGGGGCAAGTTCTGTTAGCGAGCACCGGTGAAGGTCGGCACGGCACATGAGGGGGCGGGTGGCCAGCACCACGCCCGGCCCACTTTGTCACCCTCGTGGCGATATTTACACATGACACCAGGTACCCATTTGAGGCTGAGTCAACCTAGGGGAGGCCCAGGACTGGTTGAGATAAACGTCATTGGTGTTGACCGGAAGCGGGAATCGAACTCGGTTTACCAGGCTCGTACTGCCGCACGCTAACCGTTACGCTATCGCTCCCCACGCACACCCACCGACACACATCGAGCTGTTTCTATGTTGCCTGCACCCGAGTGGGAGACCCTCTCAATGATTTACTGCCAAGGAAGCAGCTGCAAGATTCTCTCTGTTCTCTATTAGTTTGCAGCGTGTTCAGCTTCACATTAAAATGCATGGGAAGTTGTCAAAAAGCACTTCTTTAAAAAGAACCCACCGGCTGCTTAATTGTATCAAATAGAGATTTGGTATGCCCGAGTTTCAATAGCGTGGAAGGTATTTAAATATCACACAAACGGACTAAGTATTATCGTTACCACGGCATCTTTATACAAACAATTTTCATATCTTCCTTTCCTGGCATAATAAAGCAATAGTGAACGAACTGCACACACAAGATAAACTCAGAGATGCCTCTGCAGAGTAAGAACAATTGCTTTTGCTATCACTCCCGCACTGAAATTTTAATTTCACAACGCATTAAGAGTTACGGCACTTATGTCGGATGAAAGTCAGTTCCTTCAGCAAAGTTACGAAAGGGAAACCAGATTATTTTTTCTCACGCGCGCGCGCTTTTGACGACATAAAAAAAGGCGACCCGCAACGACGGCGGGGAAAAAAAGCAACAAAAATAATCGAGCAGAAACGAGACTGATGAAGGTCCCACAATACGCACGGCCGTGCACAGCAAGGCAGCGCAGTTATCTGTCAGGCTCTTACAACCTCAGCGGAAAGGCACAATGCAATCAATATCGATTTCTAGAGCCATAACTTCCCTTTACAGTCGCTCCATCTCTCGATTATTTTTGCTGCATTAAGCAACGCGGAGGGCCAATTACTGTACCGGTGATCACACCTCGCGGCCACCCGCCCGCCCTCCCCCGATGCTTCTCCATAAGACAAGATTGGGGCACGCAAGATCGATACCTTCTCAATCGTCGTGCAAAAGGCAAGTGTTCAACTATAGCCTCCCTTGCACTTTTTTTTTAAGGTAGGCCTCCGAGAATTCAACTGCTGCATCGCGACCTTTGCCCAGCGACGGCTTAGCTTCTGGTTAAATACACACAGGTGTGCGCTGCACGCAAATATCACAGCGTGGAGCGTAAAGGTAGGGCTTCACGTGTTCACACTGCCACTCGCTGCGTAGCTTTGTCTAATTTATCCCACTTAAGTAACTGGTAACATCGCAGCGCCAAGCGTGTTATTATTACAACGTTGCACGGCTTGGCCAATTTGATAGTCACTTCAAGATGTTTTTCTTGTTCGTGTTTTTGTTTTTTTTGGTTGTTGTGGTTGCACCCGATTCAAGAGCCGAATGGCTCACAGGGCTATACCAAAATAAATAAACTGAAACTGATTAAAATAAGCTTTTTATGCAAAGCCCACTGATTCAATGAGGATGAATAATATCATGCACTTAACATTTGGAAATGCCTGCAACCTACATCGAGGGGAGGCACATTTCAAACTAATTAATGCCGACACCAGACAGGGCCTTCATTTATTTTGACTCGGTCCTAAATTAGAGTCACCTTCCATTGAGTCTCCCAATTTCAAAATGAAAGTGTACATGCGTTTAGCTCACGAAGCAACGCACACATTAACAATGCCGTGGCGAAATGTTAACTGCTGTGCCTGGTATGCAGGAGGTCGTGGGTTCGATCCCGACGCCTGTTGTATATTTGTATATTTGGAGTTTGCATGTTCTCCCCGTGGTTGTGTAGATTTTTCTCCAGGTCCTCCGAGGTTATTCCCTCCTCATTAAGAAACATGCGTTTAGAGTATTTGGCTGCTATAAATTTTGCACGTGATAAGGCACTTCGTTGAGCTGTCATTTGTGGCCAGGTCGCTTCTGAAAAAGAGCTACCTAGCTCAGTGGACCTTACCTGGTAAAATAAAAAAAAACAGTTTATAGCTGGAAACCCCAGGGTAACCATCTAAGTGGCAGACCACAGATGATAGTGACACTGATTTTGATTAAAAAGAAACACACGTTATAGACTTTAAAAGCTCACATCCCATGCTTTAGCAGTCAATCGCAACACAATACCCAGTAAAAAAAAGAGCAATTTCCACACATGAATGGTGATGAAATTTGCAATTATGCGACTAATTTAGATTCACTGGTACACTGAACTATAGGGCTGCCTTTGATATAGAAATGAACGCAACAAAGACAAAATGTAATTTGTTTTTTTTTCTTACTCCCCTTCCCATTTATTGTTTTCGACCCTCCGCGGTTTGCTCGCGGGGCGTCCGAAGAGGAATTGCGGCTGATTTTGCACGGCTGATCAAATGCGCTACAAATGCCAAGCTTGTCAGTCGTCCCCCCCACGCTGCGGTTGCCCCTGAGACTTTGTGCACGGGCAGTGTGGCGTTGTGGCCATGGTGGTATGATGTGGCGGAAGGGTGAGGGCGGTGAGCGCTGGGGTGGGCCTCCAATTAGCTCAATAAATGAGAAACAAAGATCACCCGTATAGCCTCAACCGACTGTTGGAGACAAGTGCCGTTCGCCAGTAGCACCTACGAAGCCCGGCACGGAACACGCGGGGGGTGGGTGCCCTGCAACGCGCTCGACTACCTTTTTCTCCCTAGTTTACACATCGCACCAAGTTCTCATTTAAGGCCGAATCGACCTAAGGGAGGCCCAGGGCCGGATCAATTAATCATCACTGGTGTTGGTCATGAAATCGGGTCGCTCGGTCCGTAGCACAGTGCGCTATCCGCTACACTACCGCTCCGCACAGCGTTCAAATAAAGAACGAACAACATCGGCCTGATTCCAGTACATGTACAGGCCTTTGTCAATCCACCGCTGGATGAGGGCCATGCATCGTGGGGGTTGAATATAATACATATTCTTTTTCACATCGCGAGTCAAGACATGTTGGCGGAGGTGGGGAGCAAAGAGGTACAGTACAAGATTGGCTTTTGCTGTGCTGCTCTCTGCTGCCCACCAAAGTAACCCCACATCCCCATGACCTTTGAGCAAGGTGGCCACCTGTCACTGTGTAACCACGTGAAGTGTGTACGCACCTGCAGCGTGTACCAAGTGTGTACGCACCTGCAGCGTGTACCAAGTGTGTACGCACCTGCAGCGTGTACCAGAACGTCAGGGTTAGGCAGCTCGTGGTCTCGTCCACAGGGTAGTGGCCCGGGATGCCCGTGCAGTACATCACCATGTTGACCAGGGCCAGGAAGCTCTGCCAGTGATCCGTTTGCTCTAGCAGAGTTCTGTGCACAGCAACGCATCACAGTGGCACCAAAGTCAAAGATCCCACGTCTAGCTTACATAGACTGCTGGGGCAAGTGCTGTTAGTGAGCTCCGAAAAAGCCCGGGAGGCAAATTAAAGAGGTGGGATGGCTAGCACCATGCTCAGGCTGCATTTGTTCCCACAAGCGCTGATTTTTACAAATCGGACCAGATACTCACTTAAGGCCAAGTCAACATAGAGGAGGCCCAGGAGTTGGTTGATGTCATTCGCCACTGAAGTTAGCCATGGCCAGGAACCGAACTCGAGCTGCCGGGTTCATGGCGCAATACACTAACCACTGTGCCACTGCTCGCCACAGTGGCAGCAAAACAGGAGGGGACCATTACCCACCTAAATATTCAACAGTGTGCGCATGATTTGATTAAAGTTACACATGAATGAAACAATGAAATATCTTACTGGCGGAAGTAATTATATTGATGAAATCGTTCTAATAAGCAATGAAAAAAAACAAGTACTGCACAGTTATAAAACACAAAAACATCTTAATTGTAAGAACGGTCGGTGTGAAACGATAACAAGATCATGGGTGGGAAGTGGTGAACTATCTGGAATAACAGAAGAAATTTCTCACTTCGATGTAACTATTTAACTATTTATTTTACCAGGTAAGACCCACTTTTCATAAGCAACCTGGCCACAAATTCCGTAAATTTATCGCAGCCAAATACTCGAAAATCAATGTTTGTAAATGTGGAGGGAAAAAAAGCAGATACGGAGAAAAAAACAGGCGACCATGGAGAGCACATTAAAACCCCAAATATACAGGCGTTTGGGTCGGGATTGAACCCACGAGGTAGTTAACATCTCGCCAGCCGTTGGGCATCACGGCGGGGCTCGCGAGTCCGACGGCGGCCAGGGCCGCCGCCCGCCCCGCTCCCCACCTGGCGTGGTTCTCGCCGAGGGCCACGACCACGCGGCAGATCCCGTGCGTGGTTTCCGTGTCGCCATTCTGCACCGCCTGCGTCAGCTGCTCCTGCAGCTGCAGCACCTGAGGGATGAGCTTGAGCAGCGTGTTCACGTACCTGCACGCGCCAGCAGGCGACACGAACACGGCGAAGGGGCGACTTTCGTTTGACGCGAGAGATCGGCGAGTCTTTGTAAGGAGTGTGCACGTGCGAGTGTGTGTGTGTGTATATACGTGCATTGTGGTGCAGAGGTTAGCGCGTTGCGCTACAAACTCGAATTCGATTTCACGCTCGTGGTCAACACCAGTGATGATTATCTGAATCGGTTCTGGGCCTCCCCTAAGTCGACTTAGCCTCAAATGAGTACCTGGTGTGGTGTGTAAACATCGCCACTGAGGAGACAAAGATGATCCGGCATAGTGCTGGCCATCCACCCCCTCGTGTACCGTGCCGGCCTTCATAGAGGGTCGCTAACAGCACTTGGCCCTGTAGTCTATTAAGGCTATATGGGGGATCTTTCTATTTGTATACGTGCACTGTGGGGAGCGAGAGGTCGCACAGTGGTAAGTGTGCTGCGCGACAAACCAGGCAACCCAAGTTTGATTTTTCTGTTCCTGGATTTTTCTGTTTGCGCAGTCACTTTAAGATGTTTTCTTGTTCATGTTTTTGTTTTTTGTTTGTTGTGGTTGCACCCGATTCAAGAGCCGAATGGCTCACAGGGCTATACCAAATAAATGAAACTGAAACTGATTGCCGCTCACGGCCAACACCATTGACGACTATCTGAACCGATCCAGGAAGATCTTTCTCTATTTTGTGGTGAGCGGCAGTGGAGTGGTCAGCGCACAGCGCTACAAACCTGGCAACGCAAGCTCCGTTCCCAGCCACGGTTAACATCAGTGGCGAATATCTAATGTCTTGGGCATCCCCTAGATCAAATCAGCCTTAAAAGAGCACGGTGTTTAAAAGAAAAATGTCACTGGGTGTGGTGCTAGCCACACCATCCCCTCATCGCAGTCCTAACAGCCTGTGTAGGCTACATGGGGATCTTAGTCTTTTGTGCATATATGCACAACCTGCCGGTGCTGGCTGTCAAATGGAAAAAAAGGAATCGACGAGCCAAACCCCACTGGAATGTAATGAGATTCCTACAGTAGCGCCGCACTACGCACGTGTCCTCCAATCTCGAGGGAGAGCCGTTGTACGCCATCTGCGGCTCATAAACAAAATGTCATGATTCATGAAGAATCCAAAATATTAATGCAAAGTGGTCCACGAGGGGCCATAAATTGCTTCCGACAAACTAATTTATATTGGCACACTTAAACCTCAGCAAATACCACATCTGAAAATCATTAACACCGCAACTTTTTTTTCGGCTGGTAATTAATCAATCAATTAAATCCATGCGAAAACCCACGGAGATAAAGTATCACTCTTGCAGAGAAAACTTTGTAATCGTTGCAACAAGGGTGCTGCCGGCAGGGAACATTAATGATGGCAGCAGCGCTCGATCATGTCAAATAAATGTAATTAAAAAAACAAATCCGATACTAGAAGCCCCTGTGGAAGAAGACTGACCGCGGTGCGTGCACAACTGAAGTGCGCGCAATTCGGACCATGTGTAATGAACACTTTTGTATTTTTTTTGCACGCACTTACTTGTAGACAGTGAGCCCATGGCACACGCGGCTTATATGGCCACACTATATGCCACACTTGAGAATGTGCAATTTGCTTTCGGCGACTGCATAATAACTAGGGGTCTTCAACCTAGTATGGTCGAGGTTAATGTAGAGCAAAAATCACGCTCTTACATTGAGGTGGCAGAGCCAGATAACTGCGTCAGGAGGAGCGGACGATGCCCCCTTCATATTTGTGAATCGGACGAGTCTATTATGCTACACGGTTTGTTCTGGGTGACAACAGTCGCACAGTGCAGAACTTTTTACCCTTCCATTTGTACATCAGGTATCCGCATCTGCAACGGTTCATGCAGTGCGGTTTATGGTTGCCAATAAGCTTCGCGGAAGATCGACTATGGGTGTAATAATTCAGGGAGGTGATTCAATAAAAAAATTACATCGTTTTTTTTGCAGTGAATATAGCAGCCACTAGCGGCTAGAGATCATGTGAAGTCAATATACACAGCATACGAGTAGAAAATAATTTACTCTGATGTGCATTAATAAATGCATGTAATGTAAGCTTAAAAATCAATAATTCAATGAATGGATGCATCATTATGCCCCGAGTAACCACAGTGTTAGTGTAATGATACTGGAGGTTAGTGTTAATGCTAGTGGCGATGTGGTGGTTGTGGTGACAATGGTGAGATGATGGTGTTGGTGATGAGAGCATTGGTTATGCTGCCTAAGTGGTAGTTATGGTGGTTATGTTATTCCCTTTGGTGACCATGATAACGATAATGGTTGTGGTGTGACGGTGGAACGGACAGTGGTGCGGACGTGGTGGTTGCAATGCAGTGGTTGGAGAATTTCACGAACGGACTGTGCATCCACGTGTCTCTATAAATACGCCCCTGGTGACATTGGAACTGTTTTCCAGAATCTCAATCCCAAAATAATTCTTACAAAGGGGACTCCCTCCCAAAACATCCGTTTTTATATCCCCAAGATGTTACTCCCGCACAACCCCAAATCTAATCTTACCAAGGAAAGATGTGTGTGCCCACAAGCCGGCCAAAAATCTCTCTCTCCCCCCCCTTGGCAAAGGCGGCCTGATATAATCACCATGTCTCATGTGATTTTCATATCCAAAAACAGGAGATTCTAGGAGCTTCAAAAATATAACTCGCGCATGCAAACACCTTTGGACATTTTATTTGTGCAACATGGCGCGATCAGTGATAAAGGTCATTCTTCGGGTTGAGGTATTTCACAAGCGACCTGGCCGCTCGTTTTAGAGGGCTTTCTGAAATGCCACATTCGGTCAATGTAAATAACCATCATAGACCACGCGAAATTAAACTATATTTCGTTAAAGAGCAGACCATCCCAGTGTGACTTTATCTCTCAGACTCAATGCAAACACACCACACAAAACCACTACCACTGCACCCCTGACCACTGCCCGATGGGCGCTACAATGGTGACGCTTATCTCTCAATTTTATATTTGAAACTATACAGGGGTGTTTAATATGGCAGTCATTGTGCCAATTTGTCATACAATGGCGAATGGACCGGTGTCAACATCAGGCAAACCTGGCCAATCAATGATGACCAAAAACAGCTAAAACTGTGCCAGCTTAAAAAAATTATTCTGCTGGAACACATTAGTCCAGAAGGCTAATAGGCTGAGAGATGAAGATTTTTTTTTTTAAACAGACATACCCTTGCCTGATTATTATAATTTAATTTGTCATTAAATTAATCTCTGTAAATCTTTTATGGCGACTTAATTTTCGTGCAAACTAAGGCTGTTTGGGGGCCCCATGGCAGGAACTCCAATTCCTGCAAATTAAAACCAACCGATGAATCACCGCAGGAGTACGCGGGGGAAAACTAAACAGTGCAACATGCAGCTGCATGGGGGGTCCATTAAATCGCACTCGACCTCACTGGCCAGTCATATCTGAAGCGGACAGCCGTTGCGCTGTGCCAAGGCCAAACAGAAAGGGGCTTTTCATCATCCCGGAGCCGATCGAAGATTAAACGTGCCAATGAAGTTCACAGGGGATCAGCTGGGGAAAGAAAAAAAAATAACGATGCGCCAAGTATCAAAATAGCTTTCAGGTCACACGCGAGTGAGCCAGTGGGAACACAGGACTCAATAGAACCCCGTGTGTGCCAGTATTCGTGAAGCGCTCGCTGTCAAGTAGCAGTCACTCAGCGGGCACCGGAAACACCAAGCCACCAGGGCACACACAACGCAGGCTTATATGTGTGAACGAAAGTAACACAAAAAAACTGATGATTAATTGTTCACCGGGAGTTCACGATGTAAATTAGATTGTGGTCCGCTGGGGAGGAGCACGATTGCACACTGAGGAGGTCAAAGAGATTAGTGGTGGTGGTTGTCAAAAAATGTGACAATTTGCATTTTTTATTGGACAACTTAACACGTAATTAACAAATGCGCCGAATGACGTGACGGACACGTGCATCTCATTTGCGTATTTTGAGCGATAAGCACGAGACAAAGGCACGGTAAATAAGACATTCTGGTAGGCGCATGGCTAATGATTATTGCTGCTTACACACTCATGTTTTTTATGCACATGTTTCCAGCACGCTGCAAGTGGGTTTCTGCACCAACTCATGATGCAAATGAGGTCTCAGATGGGGCGCTGCCACTCCTGCCCCGTCGGCACATCCCTTCACACAGCTGTCAAAGTGACAATCCCCTTCATTTCGAAAAAGGGAGGCATTTAGGAAGAAAAATGAAATTAAATGTCACGCTGTCATTGCAGGACCATACCAAAGGCACATAAAATCCCCTATCGAAGGGAACTTCTCCGGCATCATTGCCCAGTCAGGCAATTACATTCTGGCTATCGTCAGCATCTTCTGCAGCAGCACCCAACAACTTCGAAAGCCGCTGAATGGGCGTTCTCCGTCCCTGCGCCCACGCTGTGGAACAGCCTCCAAGGCTACGCCATCGAGTCCTCCGCTGCCAATAAGTTCGACACCGAGATCTTAAGACTTATCGCTCCCGAATGCGTCACGATCTCTAAAGCGAGTAGCACGGCTTTTGTTGGAAAATGTGATGAACTCGTTGTTGCTGCAGTTGTTGTTGTTGCTGCTACTCGGCTCTCGAGGAGCCTTCATCGTATTTTGTCAAGTTAATTTATTCGCGTGCCAGTGTGGCGTTGTGAATGTTACGTGTGTTATTTGTTTGCCTACTTCCCCGGTTGCTGTGCCACCATGCTGGCCTCTGATACATGTTTTTAGCTGTGTGGGGTAGGAGATAATTTGTCATCATCGTTTATTTATTATTACTGTGACTCCAATGCAGTCCACCTTAATTCATTGATAATGACGATGAAATAATAAACCAGTGAAAATGCCCTCACTCGTTGATGTCTCCTCGGACACGTACAATGGTCTGCATACCTGATTACAGCTCAGCGCAGCATGTTCTCCACACTGGCCG